TCTACTGAAGTAGAGCAATTGAGACTATGGAATTTAAAAAAAATAAAAACAGCTTAACGAATATATACCGTTACTATACAACCGTTATGGTTAGCCTTTCTCTGAATTTATCGAAACTTTTAAACCTTGATATATCAATTTATACAATACTAGCGACTCACCCTCGCTCCGCTTTTAACTTTTAGTATAGATTTTTCAAAGATATTTTCCCGCAGTAAAAAGTATCCTATACGTTGACCCGGATAACCAGCTATCATCATACCAAATATCATCAAAATGTATCCAGTGGTTTTCTGTATCGATAATAAAGTCTATTTCAATAAGATTTTCCAAAAAATATTTAATGTACAGATTCGGCTTAGTTACAATTTTATTATATGTATAGACTTAGATTTTTTATTTATCATCTACAGGAAAATAACATATTATAAATATTCGTACGTATGTGTATATAAGTTTAAAGCCATCATTATAAATGTTGAGAATAACTGTCCTCCACCTACTTACTTATGTTTGAGTATATCTAGTATGTTACCAGAAAATCTTACTAAGTCTTTTAAGTTTAAAAAAAAGTTGATGCCATTATTCTTGTGTAAAATTAATCACAACAACCATTTTTAATCTTCAAAACGGATATTATATTAGGCCATGTGTTCTTGTACATCGCTCTAAGTGCTCTTATGAATGCTTTTGTACCAAAATTTCTTTGATAAATAAATAACCGATCAACAAAACATCCTGTCATAATTTAATTAGAGCATTTATAATACTGTATCTCGGTTGAATGACTAGTACCAAAAATATTGTATGAACATATCTCTACCATTGTGAGTTGAAACTTCGAAATTAAAGGGTTAATGATAAAGAAAAAATATGTATGATATATTTAAATTATAAATTAAAAAATTTAAAACCCAATACGCAAATTTTAACGATTACACTGGCACGCGTGAAGCACCTAATCGAGTAATCATACGCCAAAATGCCTTACATCATTTTGAAAAAGAACTAACATTCTTACACTGCTGGACCTATATTAACCAAACTTACCAAAGAACCACCGCAAGGAAACTGGCTTTCAAACGAAGAAACCGCATCGAAATCGGTCCATCCGTTTGAGAGCTACGGTGCCACACAGAGACAGACATCGACGTCAAACTTATAACCCCTCTCTTTTTGCGTCGGGGGTTAAAAATATTTTTTTCGTTATCATTAGTACATAATATTAGATTAGAGATAAATTCAGTACTTTGTTTATTTTTCTCATAAAATTTTACAATTGTTCAATAAACAGGCTGTATGTAATTTAAATATCATATTTGACTTATATTTTTTTTGTAAGCAGTACTTCCTGATAAGAAACAGGTTTTATGCTTTAACTATATGACTCAACTATTAGTATATATACATACGCACATATTTACGTGCGTCACTTGATATCTAAAAGGTTTATTACGGAGGAAACGTGTGTGAGTTGATCTTGCATATTAACACTAATGTCTTGTATGACGTTGTTAAACGAGTTAAACAATCGATTCTGTTGGAAGCTGTTGGCAAATTGACTCATTTATTTCCGTAATTAAAAAAAAAACTCGCACTTCTCAGTGTTTCATTACGATTGGATGCATAAGTTAAAGAGTGGGACGATAGGTGTTCGGCGCCCGGGAATGCTGACGCGTGATGCGGGAGCTCAGAGTGCCTAGTGACTGAAATATTATATAGATAGGCACCACAGTCCGGGTTTATTTTGGACAGTCTTGCGTTGGTGTCTTGCGTCTACGAGATCGGCAGACGCTGTTCGCGCCAATATTCGCGTTCCAATACTTAATTTATTTAATCAATAAACACACGGCCTGGCAGACTATTAGATCTATTTATTAACGAGGTTGACAGTTCAACGCCAATCAAATTTATTATACATTTTTGATAGTAGTTAAACACTGTATAATATATGAAATATGCTTATTTAATAGGCATTAGGATGTTAAATTTAACTCAAAAACTCATTTCTTTTAAATGAATCATGATATGATGATGATATAGTCGTATAGGTGATAAATCAATGGTGTTAGAAAAAATTGCATTTTAATACGTTTCAATTATTTCAAGATTATTATTATTTAAATCATACAACAGACAACTAGAAAGTGCTCCAGGGATGCACATTAATTTGCGCCAACATAAAATGTATAATGTGTTGATGGGTAGCGCTGTCTATAGCGCATATGTCTACATAGGGATATATATATATATATATATATATATATATATATATATATATTTGTATGGGATGATCTGGATAATCATTGAATGGAATAAATAAATCGAGGCTTATTATTCCACTTGTCTTGTACAGAAAATGGACATCCTTATCACCGGACAATATGTTCATCAGTAACATTTCTATTAAAATTTTCGAATTTTAGTATAAAATTAATGTTTTAGTAAACGTAACTAACGATTTGTATAAAATGTAAGAGAAATTAATTATACTCCATTTTTTATTACATGTAAATATATACAGTTTGAAGAAACACATATATCTAAAGACTTAATAAATTAAACTTTCCAAATTTAAAGGAATATATAAAATATAATTAAAACTTTACCGGTGTTAATCTGTCTCACACTGGGCGTATTAGTGATTGCAATCTCTATCTCTCGTAAGTTAATTTTTTCAGCAAATACATAAATATCTTGTGTGAGTGTGGCTCGTACTTAGTCAATTTTTAAAATAGTACTTTTAATATATAATTAAATTAAAGAAAATTCTGCAATTTTGTCTCAGGCACTTGCTTCTTTTCTTGATTTTGTGCCAAGAAATATTAGCCCAAAAATAAAATATGTAAGTATGACGGTCTAGAAGAATCAAAATCTTATGTAAATCATATTAAATGAAGTCTTGAAAATCAGATCAAAAAATATTATTATTATATTTTAATGTAATTAGAAAAAATACTACTATGCGTCCGCGGTTGCGCTTGCGTAGTTTATTTATGTTTAATTTCTCTGCTCTAAGACCTTGGGGTCTTAGTTTCATGTTAGTTCTATAGCCAACTAGCGACTCACCCTCGCTCCGTTCGGGTTCGTCCCTAATTACGTTTTAACGTATAGTATAGATTTCTTATAAATGAGATTTTTGCCCGTAAAAATTATCCTATATTTTGACCCAGATAATCATACCAAATTTCATCAAAATCTGTCCAGCGGTTTTCTCGTGACGCAGTCATAGACAGACAGACAGACAAAAATTATAAAAACTAGATTCGGCCTCTGTATCGATAATAATGACTATTTCAATAAAAAAATTCAAAAAATATTTAATGTACAGATTAGACTCAGGATTTTATTATATGTCTATATAAATTTACTCATTAAAGTCTATAATTAAACAAAAAAAATGTTTAATCGTAGCTATTAGCATTCCCAAAGATTAGCGCGTCCAAACAGACAAAAAAATCTCCATCTTTATAATATACTATAGATATATATGCTATACTTAGATTACGACAGATCTTAAAAACTTAAAAAAAATTTAAACCATCGTACCAGTGTCTTGATCGCCCCAAGTATATTATGTGAACCATTAGTAAGCTAATCACGTGCGTTCTTTCGACGGCCGTGAATATCTGGGAAGCTCATTAAAACTGCCGCTTCAGCAATGATACTTCTAAAAAGCGATCGTACACAGATGCTGACAAGGCGATATGGATACGTTGATTAATTGCTTACATTAGTCTTGTTGAAGTTGGCAGTCGGATTGAGCACGTAAATAGATTGACTTAGCCCACGTTGCCTGATTATATTCAGTTGAAATCTATCAGATATCAGCGCTGATGTTCCGCCGTACTCCTCCTGACTACATACGGAACGAACGAACTAAATTTACATAAATGTTGCCATGAAAGTCTTAATGCTGGAGCTAAATATAGCAGTTATTGTTTACTTAATTAAGTAATATGGCGATGTATGGGCTGAGTTCAATTCTTGACGTGTCACTCACTTATTTATTGCATCATATACGTCAGCTTTATGATAATCTACTTAGCGGCTTCGTCACAGCACGTGTATTGACTGTCGTAAAACGACAGAATAAACCTAATTCGACGACACGTTTGGCTCAGTTTGTAGTGACCCTACTTGCTGCGCCAGCGGTCGCGGGTTCGAGTCCCGCTGGGGGTTTTCATTTGTGTGATGAGCACGAATGTTTGTACTCTAGTCATGGGTGTCTATATTTATAATATATATGTATTTAAAGTTATATATGTATAATGTATCAACTATCTGGTATCCATAACACAAGCCTCGTAGCTTACCATGGAACTAGATGGTGTTGTGTGTTAATGTCCTGACATATTATTATTATTATACGTGGATGTATCAATGTAACAATTTCACACAATAATGCGATTTTTAAATCACTATTCAAATACCAGTTTTACATGGCATCCTTATATTAAAACAAAGCTGTGTTACCCACATAAGAAAAGTATGATCTCAATGTTTACATCTTTTGTTCTTTATTCTCTTATCAAGAAGATAAAGCTAAACTAAGAATTGCTGAGTTTTGTCTCTTTTTTTGTATTTTTTGTTCCTTAGCAAGATAAATATAACTAATACGACAAACATATTATGTACATTCGAAATATAAACATTTGATATCATCGACTTAAAAATCCTTTTTAAATAAATTTTCTTGAAATTTATATGGGACTGGCTAACCTTAAGGTAAAACCTCTGCATATAATAAAAATTATTTAACCTGGTTCTTAATTGGTTAATTTATCGCGCATCATAAACAGAAAAGCATTCATCCGAAGAATGTATTATATGAAAATCTCATTTTGCTTAGCCAGCGCATATTTAGTCAAGTACGTGTATTTATGCACATTCTTAACTATCGAGATAGATAGCATGTCTGCTCTGACTAGTTTATAGTCTGTGAAAATTCCTTTGATGTTTTATTCAAAACTCTAATTACGGCTCTTTTCTGTTTTCAGAACTGCCTGCTGAGGAAGGTAAGCCACAGTTGAATTGACGTTGTAATAATAATATTTTTTTCAAACTAAAAAATATAATATATTTCTTCAAAATTTTCTAATTCCTTAAATAATTCAATCGACACCATTTGTTATTTATTTTAATCTTATAAACCATTAAATCTAATATTGAAATTAATGACCTGCGTAATAAATAAGAATATTAACAAAATGATGACTTCCAACTTAGTTCAAACAAAAGTGTGTCATGGACTCACGATATGTACTTCTTTACTTCCTAACCTACTTAATATTGTTAGCTTTTGTATACAAACAAAAAAAATAATTCTAGAACTTGTTTCAATATTTTAACTGGTTTTTATAAATATTAATATTATTTACTAAATAAATATATGTTCTTAAAAAACATTGTCTACGCATAATTTCCGCTACGCGTTTTTACAACGCGAAGATCTCTAATAAACTATTTAATCCATAGGAAAGAGTATATGGCAGTTAGTCCTGGAACAGTTTGATGACCTCTTAGTAAAGATTTTGCTGTTAGCCGCCATTATTTCTTTCGTAAGTACTTATAACAAAATATACAAATCGAAATTACTTTTCGTAGTTAAATAACAATTTCAGTAATAAATATTGTTTTTAATTTCCAGGTATTAGCTTTATTTGAAGAACACGAAGATGCATTCTCAGCTTTCGTGGAACCTTTTGTTATTTTACTAATTCTTATTGCTAACGCTGTAGTAGGAGTATGGCAGGTGAGACCGATAATAATATATGTTCACAATCACTATCATTTTATTTAAGCTACTAACAAATATATATTGAATATAACTTATCATTACAGGAAAGAAACGCAGAATCCGCCATCGAAGCTTTAAAAGAATATGAACCCGAAATGGGAAAAGTAGTTAGAGGAGACAAATCTGGTGTTCAGAAGATCAGAGCAAAAGAGATTGTTCCTGGTGACATCGTCGAGGTGTCCGTCGGAGACAAGATCCCCGCCGATATCCGCCTGATCAAGATCTACTCTACTACCATCCGTATTGACCAGTCCATCCTGACTGGTGAATCCGTGTCTGTGATCAAACACACTGATGCCATTCCCGACCCCCGCGCTGTAAACCAGGACAAGAAAAACATTCTGTTCTCCGGTACTAACGTCGCCGCCGGCAAGGCCCGCGGTATCGTCATCGGAACCGGTCTCAACACTGCCATTGGTAAAATCCGTACTGAAATGTCCGAGACTGAGGAAATTAAGACACCTCTGCAACAAAAACTCGATGAATTCGGTGAGCAGCTTTCAAAGGTCATCTCAGTCATCTGCGTTGCCGTATGGGCCATCAACATTGGACATTTCAACGACCCCGCCCACGGTGGAAGCTGGATCAAAGGAGCCGTATACTACTTCAAAATCGCCGTCGCTCTGGCTGTAGCCGCCATCCCTGAAGGTTTACCCGCTGTCATCACCACTTGTCTTGCCCTCGGTACCAGGAGAATGGCCAAGAAGAACGCCATTGTCAGGTCGCTCCCATCCGTAGAGACCCTTGGTTGTACTTCCGTTATCTGCTCTGACAAAACCGGTACATTGACCACCAACCAGATGTCAGTATCCCGTATGTTCATCTTTGAAAAGATCGAGGGTGGAGACAGCAACTTCTTGGAATTCGAAATCACCGGCTCTACATACGAACCTATTGGTGACGTTTACTTGAAGGGACAGAAAGTTAAGGCCTCTGAATTCGATGCTCTTCAAGAACTCGGCACTATTTGCGTTATGTGCAACGACTCCGCCATTGACTTCAACGAATTCAAACAAGCCTTCGAGAAAGTCGGTGAAGCTACCGAAACCGCTCTTATCGTTCTTGCCGAAAAGATGAATCCCTTCAACGTGACCAAGTCAGGACTCGACCGCCGTTCCTCTGCTATTGTAGTCCGTCAGGAAGTTGAAACTAAATGGAAGAAAGAATTTACTCTGGAATTCTCCCGTGACAGGAAATCTATGTCGACCTATTGCACACCCCTTAAGCCTTCCCGCCTCGGCAATGGACCCAAACTGTTCGTTAAGGGAGCACCTGAAGGTGTTCTGGACCGCTGCACACACGCCCGCGTGGGAACCGCCAAGGTACCTCTCAACACGACCCTCAAGAACCGCATCTTGGAACTCACTCGCCAATATGGTACCGGACGTGACACTCTCCGTTGCCTGGCTCTGGCCACCGCTGACAACCCAATGAAACCCGACGAAATGGACCTTGGTGACTCGACCAAATTCTTCACATATGAAGTCAACCTCACCTTCGTCGGAGTGGTGGGCATGTTGGACCCTCCCCGTAAAGAAGTGTTCGACTCAATCGTTCGCTGCCGCGCCGCTGGTATCCGTGTAATCGTCATCACTGGTGACAACAAATCCACCGCTGAAGCTATTTGCAGGTATTATTGATATTATTCAATACATTTGTTCAAAATGACACTATACAATTAAAATAATAATTTTTGACCCTAATCTATGCCGCGTGTTTCTATAAAGTTCGCGACCACTCAATGTTGTTCATTATTTAGTATGAAAACGTTAACTTATAACTTCAGAAACTACTTCTTCTTCATAAGTAACTTCATTTACTTTTACTAATTAACTATTCTTATCCTGCAAAGCTTAGAAAGACACCTTTGAAAAATATAGAAAAGAACACACTAATCAAAAAACACCTTTTTTGAAAGTCGATCAAAGAGTTATTCACTCACCTTGAAAACCTTGCAGAACAGAAACCTAATCTGTGACCTGTTACAGACGTATCGGTGTATTCACGGAGGATGAGGACACAACCGGCAAGTCCTTCTCGGGTCGCGAGTTCGACGACCTGTCCGTGAGCGACCAGCGCGCCGCCTGCGCGAAGGCACGCCTCTTCTCCCGCGTGGAACCCGCACACAAGTCCAAGATCGTTGAATACTTACAGAGCATGAATGAAATCTCTGCCATGGTAAGGATTTGTTATTTTTGACGTCTTATTAGTATTATAAATACGAAATTTTGTATGTTAGCTGAAGTGACTGGATAATGGCACTACGGAACTTAAGTGCGTGTATTCGTGAGTGACAAAATACCTTATTTCCGACGTTTTGACTGAGTTGCACCAGCCGTCGTCACGGGCAAGCTGGCTGTGTACGGCATCGCCTGCTACGATTTACGATTGGTGTTTTTCCGCAAATTCCTCCTCTTGATCTCACCCGCACTTGATCTTCATAATTTATAAAAGCCACTAGCGATGGACCCTCGCTTCGCTCGGGTTCGTCCATAGGTACGTTTTAACGGTTAGTACATATCTTTGAATTTCTCGGCTTTTCTGTACTATAATATGCATGTATTATACATATAAAGATTCCTCTTGAATCACTCTACCTATTGCTGAAAACTGCATTAAAATCCGTTGAATAATTTAAAAGATCTAAGCGAACAGACAGCCGAAGCGACTTCATTGTATACTATGATAGGCTTGAATTTAGTATATGGATAGTTTATGACCTGGAGTAACACATAAGCATCTATAAATACACTCGAACGAGAAAGGGAGGGCAAGTCCTACCGACTTAACGTAGTAACACCTTTAGTTATGTTTGGCTTAGACAGATTTTATTTGATTATGATAGAAAGTTTGATTTTATTTTGCTGATACCATTAATGTTGCGTGTCTGTAGTTAAAATATACACCGATGACAAATACATGTGTATTATGTTAATTGCTAGATAACTTTATTCAGGCCGTTAGGAAATGACGTCATAATTCAGGTTTCTATAATTGATTATTCATATAATGTGGGCATTTAGTTTATAAAATAATTCGAATTTATATATTAGCAATCAGAAAAGTCTCAAATAGAAAATTTTGTATATTTTTGTTTGAAAATTATGCAAAATATAGAAAGAATCACATTTCATAAATTCCAACGCCAGAATAGAGTGTAGTCTGGCAATTGTTATGTTTATTGCTCAGAAAACAATATCTTCATAAATACGGCAGCGAATAAGCGTTATTTGATGTTTACAATTGTACTATTGGGAATGCTTTTCTAAATGTTTATGTTAGTCAGGTCGGACTGTTTATAAACTGTAACACTTTAGAATATCATGTCTGAATTGAAAGATACAATAACAATAGCGAAAATCCTTATGCTATGAAAAACCAAATGAGAATTACACATCGACGATGCTATATTTGTCTTGCCGAGTGTATATTCTGGTGTTCAGTATGCGGAATTGGCTGGATTATAAACATGGTATAGTGGCAATGAACTAGATATATATTAATAAATAATTTAGCGGTATTTATAGGTCGATGATAATTAAATTTTGACGTTTGCAACCAAAGTGTGTACTACTTTAGTGAAGCTATAAAATCGTCGTTTCAGTGCCTATTTGTCCAATTTACCGAAGGAGTTTTTAATATAGAAGTATAGTTCATACTTCTATATTAAAAACTCGTCTTTTCGTTCGAATGTCAATTTTATGTATATATATATATATATATATATATATATATATATATATATATATATATATTTGTATATAGATGTTAGAAATAAAGCAAAAATTTGGTTTTAAAATAGACGAAAACTTCACTTTTCAACAAATAAGCACTAAGGGGACGAAATGTTAACTTAAAATGTTTATTTCAAGTCAAAAGTGACTATTCCACTTTTTTTTTAATATTGTTCACGTATATTATATTGATATTCTATTACAATTAAAAATCTGTTTACAATTGGCAAAGTATACTCGTAACATATATATAAAAAGAACGTACAACCAAATTGTTTACCCCCTTTTCGAAGTTGGACAACAAACCTAAAAAGTATATTCACCCCAAAACCCCAATAAAATAATTTTAATATGGATTATCTCCATACAATAGACTGGAGATGGTGTGAATGACGCGCCCGCCCTCAAGAAGGCCGAGATCGGTATCGCCATGGGCTCCGGCACGGCCGTAGCCAAGTCCGCCGCCGAGATGGTGCTCGCTGACGACAACTTCTCATCCATTGTCGCTGCTGTTGAAGAAGGTTGGCTATTCTTGAGACTCCTTTTAGAACTCACTGAACTTCTTCGGGCTCAGTAGTTTTTATGTAACTCTTTTCTTTCATTCTCTTCTTTTTAAAGCTCGAAAGGGTCAAATCGTCCTTTTAAAATATATTAACTTTTTCTCAATAGGGTATGTTTACAAATAAGATCAAAAAGTCTTGTAATTACCATACTTTGAACAGAAAATATAGATCAAATCAATATAATAACATACCTTAAAACATAAAAATTACATATTTATATATGGTATCCTTTAAAGAAATTAACAATAATACAATTCTCTAGGTCGTGCTATTTACAACAACATGAAGCAGTTCATCCGCTACCTGATCTCCTCCAACATTGGTGAAGTCGTATCTATCTTCCTCACTGCCGCTCTGGGTCTACCTGAAGCCCTGATCCCCGTCCAGCTCCTGTGGGTCAACTTGGTGACTGACGGTCTTCCCGCCACCGCCCTCGGCTTCAACCCCCCTGACCTGGACATCATGGACAAACCACCCCGCAAGGCTGATGAGGGCCTCATCTCTGGATGGCTGTTCTTCAGGTATTTGATTTTCTGTTGTTAATTTTGGTTTGACTTGTGATATCACTTTGTGTATGAAGATGTGTAGCTAAGTTAGGAAATGTAAGTGTGCAGCCCATTTTAACGTCTCACTGCTGGGCCTCTCTTCAATACGAGGGGGATGAGGCCATAAGAAGTGAATATGTATTTACAATTACGAACTTAGTCCATTTTTAGATTGCAAATAAAACTTGTGCAGGTAAAAAATAATAAATAAAAATATTAATATCCTACTATTTATAGAAATATATATCCTTCACAGTATTTAAGTTATTATTTCCACATATACAGATACATGGCTATCGGTGGCTACGTCGGTATGGCGACAGTCGGTGCCGCTTCCTGGTGGTTCATGTACTCTCCCTTCGGCCCTCAGATGACCTACTGGCAACTCACCCACCACTTGCAATGCATCAACAGCGCCGAAGACTTCAAGGTAATTAAACTGCTTTAAATAATTTGTAACGAAACTTTGTATATGTATTTTTATCATACTTGTACTTTAAATACTTGGCAAATTTGTGTTTGTCTAATATTATTATTTAGACTTATTTGAAACTAAATGTTATTAGTACCTTGGCAGCTTTTATTTTGATTATTTAAGTGAGGACGTCTTCATTTATTATTTTGATGAGGATTTCAGACTTTGTATATACTTGAAGACAAAGCTGTAGGCAGAATGTAATGTTTCACTTATTAACAACATAACTATTTATTTATAGGGTATTGACTGCAAGATCTTCACGGACCCACACCCCATGACCATGGCTCTCTCTGTACTCGTAACCATTGAGATGTTGAACGCCATGAACAGCTTATCAGAGAACCAGTCCCTGGTGACCATGCCCCCATGGTCTAACATGTGGCTCGTCGGCTCCATGGCCCTGTCTTTCACCCTCCACTTCGTCATTCTATACGTTGAGGTCCTCTCGGTAAGTTGTGTGCCTTATGGCGTCCCATACTTTCCATACATAGTTTAAAGGTAAGCTCAAAATGGTGATCAACTGATTGTGAGGAAAATTCATTTTTTTATGTAATAGCCAAATTACATTCTCACACGTGATAATTAAACTTTATCCATTAAATTACACAGGCTTTAATAATTTAAGAGATTTAATTATTTTGATAATGTTAGTACACACTTGTATGAATAGTGGTGGAAGCGGAGTCTGTTTGTATTGGCATGTATTGTACGGTTGGGAGTGTGTCGTGTGTGTTGCAGGCCGTGTTCCAAGTGACGCCGCTGTCGGTGGACGAGTGGATGACGGTGATGAAGTTCTCGGTGCCAGTGGTGCTGCTGGACGAGGTGCTCAAGTTCGTCGCGCGCAAGATCTCCGACGGTGAGCGCAACACTCTGCTCAAATGGCTCGACGGCATGCAGTGGATTGTGCTCATGTGGGCCGTCTTCTTTGGCATCATTCTCTACGGACCCCTATAAGCAGACAGTGTTCATCCCCTTTGATTCACACCTAATACCCTCATACCGTTCCGCGAAACCCTCTCCCAGGAGGGGGTGACTCGGAATCCCACTGTGGAAATCGATGGACGATGAGCGCACGCTCACCACAGTACCTAACAGTTTGTACCGCTAATACCGAAGCACAGTGTGAAGTGACCCTTGTGACGTTTGACTGCAGTGTGAAGTGGCCCCGAACAGTGACGCTCCGACGCCCGAGGCTCGTGTGAGCGTTTGGCATGTGCGAGACAATAATAATCATTTTCAGTAACCCCCTTGGAGTCCATTATTCTTTTCATTCTATATTCGTTGTCTAAGATAATTTATAGAACTCTAATGTGATTACTTCGACCGTTGGACACCAAAAAATTTTTTATAGTTTTGTGAGAATTTACTATGTTGTAAGTTAGTATATTTGAATGATAGTAAATTTTGTATACATAAATTATTAATTCGAGACAGGCTCCGTCGATAACATTAGACTCGCACACGGCTCAGTACCTTGTCCTCTCGGACTGCAGACATATTATATATTTACATTATCTAGTAATGTGCATTGTTAGCTTAGAGTAATTTATTGTAAGTGTATTAGGATCGTCGTTATTCCGATAGCTATTCTTATTGTTAGAAGAAAACTTTACTACTTTTTCTCACCTGTGGTCGCTTGATAACCTACTCCAATGCATTACTTCTAACTTCAGATATATTTTTATTTGCAGCTAGCAGTGTGCTACTGCCACATATATGTATATGCCTGCTCATTTTATTAACAAATTTATGAATGTGTCTTCTTATAATTAACAATAATAACATTTGCAAGACGTTTAAGAGTTATGCTGTAACATACAACATATGCCTCATTGTAAATTATTCATTAGAATTCAGTGTTTACGAAATATAAACTAAGGTTATTTGGGAGTAAAAATAATTAACGATTTAAAGCAATATAGTCAACTATCTAATATGAATAGATTATATTAAGATTTTTTGGTTTTGGTGACAACTTTTTACTAGACTACTTTAGAATATAATAAACTATCAAGTTGTAATAAAATTGGGATTCATCGTTTTATATTTGATTTATGAACATTGAGTAATAGTACGTTAAATATTTTTTTTTTATTTACAGTCATTTAAATTTAATGAAGTACATTTAAAATTGTTTTCATTTGTAATTTAATAACTTTGTAAACACAGAGATGTGTCGATATCCCGCATGTATGCATTGCATGGTTTACTTTTTTGAAGAGTACAGTTTGTGTGATTTTAAAATTTTGTTTTTCAATTTTTACTAAATCATCTTTTCTAGATTATTATGTGGAAAGCTAAAGTAAGTTTCGAAATATTAATATGTACGAGGCAATTTGTTACCGACATACACATATATTACAACACAGCACAATTGAGGGCATGCTCAAGAATTTGTTGTGAATCCTCATTCTCTCCAACTGTTATTATGAAATAACTATGTACTAAAATGTTGCAGATAACTAAAATATACACATTTTACATTAAATAAAATGTTGGATTTATTATTCATTCAGAATATATACAGCCCCTTACCCCCCGTTTTGATAACTACCCTCAATACGCACTTTTCCACACATACAACAGGTCACGTATCCCTCGTCGATGCACATTAACGCGTGTTGTGTGATTTCCTGCTAACAAACTAAAAAAAAGGTTTTGCAAGCTTCAAAACAAATCGCTATTGGCTACACGATTTGCTATACAATATTCTAAATTTCTATCTCGATCTGTGACAACGTAACGTCTAATAAGTATTAAAAGCAATCAATGAAATGATTTCAGTACGATAAATTTACAATTGGTTCTGTTTATAGTACTTGTTGCAAAACTTTAATCCTATCGGTTGCCACGGCGGGAACGGTCCAGTGGCCGCATGCACTAACGCGGTGTTGTCTGCCCCCAGCCCAGCCAATGTGGAAGGTGTAAACGCCGGACGCCGCCCAACGCCTGCACGCACATATCCCACGAACACTCCTTGTTTGTTGTGACCCCGCAGTGAAACTACACATAACGGTTGTGATAAAAGACCTCGTAAGTTCGGGAAAGGCACTCGCTCGAGCCTCGCACTAACGCTAACGTCACCGTTACTTGTTTTGCAGCGAACGAGGTGGTCGTTGACAAGTGGTAAACCGTAAACGTCACCGACCACTCGCCTGTCACCGCTTCTCTCTGCCACTCTGCTCTACTGTCTATGCGTTGTCGCGGAGTGTCGCGTGCCGTGCGTAGGCGCCCACCTGCGTATCTTCTACAGAGAGGACATATTCATAATGTGTATATACTAAACGTATTTAGGAGGTTTCGATTTGTTATTACGTTGTTCTTGAAGACTACATGGTGCCCGTCGACAGAAGCAGTGCGATAAACTATGTGTACTTAAGTTGACAGCGTGCTATTATTTATTGTTATATTTTATTCTCTTTATCTAGTTTGCTTATCTAGATCCGATATTTCTGTTTAGTGCTGACGCCTCGACGAGCAATATGGTGTCTGTAAGGGAAGGATATACAATATTATCCGGAGTTTGGGACCTAAGCGAGTCCAAATTTTAAACATACCTGTACATTTTAATGTATTATTGTTTTGTACAATAAATCGTTATAAAAGAACTAATGTTTTATTTAAGAAATTTATCGACAACTTAGTGTGATGCTAAATTACACTTTATGGCCACCTTTGTTCATCACAATGAATCCGTCAAGTAGATGGAGCTGAACACGTGTACAAAGACTCCAAAAATTATTATTTTTGTAAATGAAGTATTACCTTCTGCTCAACTCCACAAAAAGGCATTTTCAATTAGTACCCTCCAAGCAATCTAGACTCTCTCACTTTTAATTAGCATATTACATAAGATCATTCTATGCCAAAAATTGCATCTTTCGACTTATAAAATATTACGTAAGAATAGCTTTTACCCCCGCCCCGCCTCCTCCCGGCATAAAATATAACCCTCCTATGGGCCTGCCGCAGTGATGATGATGAGCAAAAACAAATGAGTGGTGTTTATGTAGTTTTCTGTATACTAAATGCGAAATCTTCCCCTATGTGGGGCTTGGCATAAACTGACATGGGAAATTTATAAATGAAATAAATGCATCCCTGTGGATAAGTCTGTACTTTATCGTAGATAGCCTGAAAAATTACATAAAAAAGTGCAAACTTAAAAATGTTTCCCAAATGGCTGCTCTAAGTTTGGAAATTATCAAAAATATTATATGTAAAACGTCTCGCTAAAAGTTGTGAGACCTAACGTAAAACCAAGTCAGTTCATTTATTCAGTACATATCTATGGAAGCATCTATCTATCTAATAATTTTATCATAAATTGTTACCTAATCACTTGAATAACATTTTATGGTGACCGTATCAATATATCCGACCGTATAATATATAGATATCTTTATTTCTTCAATAAATACAATGACTTGGCTCACGCACAAAGCTATAGAATCTACAAATAGCAAAATTTACCTAATATTGGCGTTGTAAGCGCTTTATTTATATTGCTAACCTATGTGTTATTCCAGACTATAATCTATCTCTGTGCCAAATTTTAATCAAATCCGTTCTGGCGTAAAAGAGTAACAAACATCCATCCTCACAAACTTTCACATCTAAATCGGTTCAGCGGATTAAGCGTGAAAAGGTGAGAGACAGACAGAGAGTTACTTTCGTATTTAATATTCGTATGGATATATAAAGCTAGCTTTTTTGTAAGTGCTGGTATATTATCATCATCGGCTTGGGCTGAACGTTGATAAGTCAGTCGAGTGCAATTATAGGTGTATACCTCGGAACCCAGCTATAGTGAATGAATTTGGCTGATTTTAGATTTCTTATACTAAAACCGAAAAAGATTATCTTTATAAATCTTCCGCTTATGTTTTTTAAGGGTTGTCCCATGAAAATGATGCTACTTCTAGTATAGTACATTCCTTTTACAACTATTTATATTTATTTTTTCTTTCGAGTACCTATAACTCAGATTCTATATATACCTACCCTCGCCTCGCTCGGTAGGTTGACCTAGTTAAGTACATTATAGATGTGAATAATAATTGCGAGTGTATCTTATTAGAAATACTTGCGCTATAGATTTTTCTGAAGACCTTATTAAGTTGTTGTGTTCTATCGAGTCGTCCTTAGAAATTTATATGACTAACACTGGCCAAACCTTGAGAGATACATCAAAACAATGTACTAGAAAATTATAGGTATGTTATATTTATACTACACTAGCGGCTCACCCTCGTTTCGCTAGGATCGTCTGTAGAAAAACAAAAATAAATCTATCCCACGGGAACCGTTCATTTTTCGGCATGAAAAGTAACCTATATGTTATTATTATGTATGAGCGATATTATTGTAAAATTTCATTATAATCCATTCAGTAGTTTTTGCGTGATAGAGTAACGGACATCCATACACCCTCACAACTTTCGCATTTATAATATTAGTAGGACTAAAATATAACAAAAAAAAAGTTTAAAAAAGGTAGACTCGTCTATATACATATATAATAAAATAGTAAGAAAACGAAATCTATAAATAAATTATTTTAAAAAAAGACTGTTAGTTATTGTGTTTAGAATATTGACCCCAAAACAATAGACGATGAAATTTTTGTTTATTTGTCTGGATATCTGGATATATAATTTTGTGCAATGATAATTAATTTATTAATCGGATCACCATCTAGGCTACTTTATATAACAGAAAAATCTCATTCCCATGGGAAAAACAATAACTGGTCGACCGAGTGGCCTTTTAGAAAAAAAAAATTAATGACTTACCTATTACACAAAACCTTTCAGTAGCTGGGACATTATTTGCAAATATAACAATTACTCATTCAATCGCTCATTTTCATGGGAAAATGCAAAAGTTAGTTCTAGCGCAAGTCGTTCATCTATATAGTCGTATATACCTATACAATATACATAGTAGGTATAAAACAAAGCCTTTGTCTGTTTCTCTGATTACTTCTTGTAAGCTACGCAACAGATTTTGATACAGTTTTCACTAATAGAATTAACGATAAACCAGGAAGGTTTGTGTCGTTTGTGTGTAGAACTTAGCTAGTTAGAATAAAAGTTGGCAATTAAAAAATTAAATTAAAAAAAAAATAATCATTATTTATATTATAAATTACATGTAAATATTTCTTGTTATGTAAAACATGCGACCGCGATGCAACGTGCAATGACTTTTGTTCTGCCTTGTGACTTGTGAGTCCGTTCAAAATTCAAATTTCTTAAACAATTGTGATTAATAGATCTCCCTAGTGGGTCTTTTCGGAACTAACGAAAGCAGCTTACAATATTAATTATCATCAACAGCAGTTATGGAATAGTATAATGGATTAAACTTATTCGCTTGTTGATAGAACGAGAATTTTTGAGAAGAATTTATTGAAGGAATAAATAATGGTTAACATAGACCTTTTACCTTAATTTGATTAGAACAAACCCAGCTTAAACAAACGGAAAAACAATATTTTTTCCCATTGGCATCACAAATAATTAACAATATTTTGTTATGCACTGTGCACGTATCACAAGTTTGAAGTCACAACCTGAGGTCACAAGTCACAACACAGACTCTCAGAGACGTCTCACGTATTGAAGCAATAAATAAAGGTTAATATAGACCTTTTACCGTAATTTGATAAGAACAAACCCAGCTTGAACAAAAGAAAAACAATATTTTGTTGTGCACTGTGCACGTATCACAAGTTTGAAGTCACAACCTGTGGTCACAACTCACAACCGTCAGAGACGTCTCACGTCAGTGTCAACTTGTCAAATGAATTTTGTAAATGCAAGTTGCAACGGCTCAGAGGTGTTAGGTACATAAAATAAAACAGTAAACACCTGTAAAGCTAGTTAATGAATTAAGAACATGAAATAAAATTTTAAATAAAGGAAATGGAAGCGTCAAGGTCCGTATTTTTTTTTGTCCTATTCAATATACAATAATTACACGTGTAAAAGTTATCGTCTAGTTTTTTTTCTTTAACTTATCTTTACAGATTGGATAATGAATTACCAGCTAAAATGGCTCATCTAGATATAATGGAGGTAAATGAAACAAGTGTCGACAAAGTTAAGTGTGAACCAACTAATTCCAGAGTATTAAGGAAAAGAAAATCTCTAGCACCAGAACCGACTAAGTCTTCTAATCGTAGAGTTAGTATGAAACCTAGGAAACATATTGTAACAGAAAATGCTAATTCTAAACAAATCGAAGCTTTATATTTGAATAAAAAAATTAAAACATTGAGTCAAACTTTAGAAACAATATATGAAGAACCTAAACCAAACAGTCCAGACACCAGTAATTACATTGGAGGAAGAAAAATCAAAAGACTTCTTACATTTCAAATAGGTAACCAATATACAAAAGAAAAGATTAAAAAACGTAGAGCAAAGATAAAGAAGCTACTTGGAAGTAAATCATTTGTTAATAGAAAGAAAATTCCTATGAATGTATTTTTGAAAACTATTGAGTGCTTAGAGCTAGATGAAGTTATTCCTTCTGAAAGTACTACAATTAATAACATTGTATGATACTGGTCTATGATAATACCTGTGGTATATCAAACTTATAACAGAAACCCTACGATAATAATTAATGATCAAAGACTGCTCTGACATCTATAAAGATTTTGTGTGTATGTCAAATATATCTAAAAATATTCAATTAAAGATGGATGGTATTAAATATAGCCTTATTTGTCTGCCTTTTTGACAGTCACCATTATGGTAGGTATTATAAATAACTTCACAGAATAATTTTGTAAAAAATACTTTAATATAAAATGACATAAACAGATAAGTACAACATCATAAGATTAAAAAATAGAAATGCATCTAAACAATCAGATCAAATAATACTTTGTATAATTATTTACAATATTATTCCTTAATGAGTTAATCTGCCAAAATACACTCTGTTGATGTTTTCAAACATCCAGGATATTCTTTTAGCATACTTGTGCTTGTGTTTCGGAGATTTACACAGGCGCAGCGGGGCTTATCTTCACCAGGTGTATATAGTTCTCGTGGCACTCCCTCCCAGTTTCTTACAATTCCTCCACTGAAAATATTATAAAGCAATTAATTCATATATTGAGATCTAATATGTTATAAATATCAATAATAATATATCAGTTTATGTTGAATGATAGAGATATTGCATTTTTAATAGTTAGTAATATTATTACATCTAAGACATTTGCTTGTGGTCAGTTTTCCTACCAACAGTTGCAGAAATAACTTATGCATATTAAGTCACTAAATAATAAATGTCCGCCTAACCGATTTCGGCCATGGCGGCCAATCTCATTGAGACTAGCCACCTGCGCAGGATATAGTGCACAAGTGCACTCTATTACTGTCACTCTCATACTCCAGTTGGATGACTACTCGACACGACCGGTAAGAGTTACAGCGCAAGACCGACGGCTTTACGTGCTCTCTGAGACACGGGGGTGCAACACCGCCAACTTCCCAATTCCGGACTGTTACTAAAGCTAAATACAAAATATAGAAAGACTCAATAATTAAACTTAGCCCAACCCGGAACTCAAAACCAGGCCCTCCGGGTGTGCAACCGTACATGCTAGCCATTACATCACCGAGACAGTTATAAAGTCACTAATTAGTCTATGAATAATGTTCTATTCAATCATTACTAGCCATAGGAAATTGTTTATAAGTTTAAAGTTACAATCAATGAATCTACAGAAGGTATTAGCCAACTAATGTTAGTTCCCAAAAGAGCCTTGGGGAAATCTCATCTCATTGATTAATAGGAACTGGACACAGCATAAAAAAGTAGACTATTTATGTGCAACATGAAAGTGTCAAAATGTCTACCAAAAGTGTCACAAAATGCAACACTATATGACAAAATAGCAAATTTTGTTACTTTTACAAAATCGGGTGGTACCTAAATCTAAGTACCTAATCTAGTTTAGGAGTATACCTAGCCAACTTAATTATAAGCAACCAGACTGGTTTATTAAAAATACTTCGGTAGAAGTTAAATATGCTTACTTAAATTAATATTTATGTAACATTTTTTACATAAAAATATAGTTAAGTTAAATGTTATTATTCACATTTATTATTATTATAAAAATAGATAAAATTAAATATATTTAACTTGTAGTAACGTTAAATATACCACCTTGATTTTGTACACCATACACGAGTAGTGCCTTTATCCTCGCTCCAAGCTATGTTGCAAGGTGGATATAATTGCTCTTGTTTCTTAATTTCTTCCTGTTCTAGTTTACATTGTTTTATTTTTTGTTTGAATTCAATCATATATGAAGTTTCAGCACCATTGTCATCATAATATCTTCCTACTAGCACACCTGCAAAATACTTTTTTGTAATGGTATATAATATATTTTTTTCAATTATATTTTCTAATAAACTAAATTTATTTGACAACAAATAAATAAAATGAAAACAGTTAATATTTTTAAAGTTAGATACATACCTACATATGCATATTTTTTTTTAAATGTGCCTCGCCAATGTAATATTGTCATTAATTCATTACAAGAAAGATCTAATACATGATCTTTATCACTACTTTCATCATTAAATTTTCCAGTAACTAATGCTCTTGACCCATCTTTACCTAAAATAAATATTTGAGCTCATATACTACCTTAAGGCTATTGAAGAATATTATTACTGGCATTTGTATAAAAATAATGAGTAAATTACCAACAAAATAGTTGTATGGTGAACCTTTCGCATAGTGCTTTTTGCCTTCAGTAACGTCATAAATACTACCAAGTATTGCTAAATAAAGTTTGCCTTCGACTGCTAAATCTTCATTAAAATAAACTCCCTTTTTCAATGTTTTTACTTTTGGAAATAAAGTATATTTAAAATAATATTTTTGTAAAATAATTGCTACTATTAAAACAGAAACAGTAAGCACAAAATACTTTAATCTTAATCCTAAAGGAATAAACATGATTGAAAATAAAATATTTTTTCTTAAAATTTACAAAATACAAATAGGTACAAAAGAGATCACTTCATAGTTCATTCGTGTCAATACTCAATTGTCATCTGTCATCACTCATCATTGACAATTATTACCATATTTGATGTACATAAACAATGGGGGAAGGTTTTTTGAGAAAAGGGCGCTACATGTATGATCTATTTACATTTTTTTGTCTGAGATTAAATAAAATGAAAAAAAAAACCATCCAAGCCTTAAATTAAACTGAGGAAAATAGTGATCATAATATTTGGCGCGAGTAAAAGTAAAATTCTTCCCCTTTATGTTTGGCTTTATTAATCAACTATGGTACGAACTTTGAACGTACATAAGGCGTAAGCCTCTAGGATGATGTATCATTGTGATACATCGTCCTAGGCGTAAGCTGTCCCCATACATACTCTATGCTAACTCTGACCCGGGACCCCTGTCAAGTGTCAATTATCATTTTTGAATTTTATTTGTCAATTGTCATCCATATTTTCAATTTTGAATTTTGACCGCTTTCACTACTTTGTCCTAATGAACACTTTAGTGATTAGTCTTTAATATTCATCTACTATTATTATTAAATATTAATACTTAATGTTAGTTAACATGATGACGAAATAATAGCATTTAAATAATTATGTACTAGAAATTTACTCAACATAAATGAATCAAATATTTTTATTAAATAAATTTTATATATGAAAAAAGCGTTATATTATGGTTTTTATAATGAAATCAATCCGCAACTTACGCAAATATACCAAATTTCCTCCTAGACGAAGAATTGTTGTTACTGGGATGGGAGTAGTGTCACCGTTAGGAACAGGTACTCAACTTGCTTGGCAAAACCTTTTAAAAGGTCACTGTGGCATAGTTGAACTCAAAGATAAGGAATATTCCAAATTACCTAGCAGGATAGCAGCAGTAATACCAAACGACGCCAATAGTGAATTAACCAAAGCTCTGTCCAAATCAAATTTGAGATTTATGGCACCTGCTACTTGCTTAGCTCTTCTTGCAACTTCCGAGGCATTGAAAGATTCTAATTGGATGCCAGAATCTGATAAAGATAGAGAATCAACAGGAGTAACTTTAGGTATGGGAATGATTGATCTTAAAGATGTATGTGAAACGAATGATGCTTTGCAGTTAGGTTATAATAAAGTAAGCCCATTTTTTGTACCCAGGATATTACCAAATATGGCTGCAGGTCACATAAGTATCAAATATGGTTTTCGAGGACCTAATCACGCAGTATCTACAGCCTGTGCTACAGGCGCTCATTCTATTGGTGATGCTTTTAGGTTTATAAGAAATGGTGATGCTGATGTTATGGTTAGTGGGGGAGCAGAAGCCTGCATCAGTCCTTTAGCCATTGCTGGATTTTGTCGTCTAAGAGCATTGAGCACAGCATTTAACAATGAACCTCACAAAGCTTCGAGACCATTTGATAAACAAAGAGATGGTTTTGTTATGGGTGAAGGTGCTGCCGTTTTAATTTTAGAGGAATATGAGCATGCTTTACGAAGAAATGCAAAAATATATGCTGAAATATTGGGTTATGGTTTATCAGGAGATGCTTCACATATTACTTCTCCTAAAGAAGATGGCAGTGGTGCTATATTATCAATGAGGAGAGCTTTACAAGACGGCAATATTGAAAGTGGTGAAATCACATATATCAATGCACATGCTACATCAACTCCACTTGGTGATGGTATTGAATCTACAGCTATTAAGACTCTATTCAATGATAATTTTAAAAATATAATGGTTTCTTCTACTAAAGGAGCTCATGGCCATTTACTAGGTGCAGCAGGAAACCTTGAAGCTGTATTTACTGTTTTGGCATGTTATCATGGAATTGTACCACCAACTTTAAATTTAGAAGATCCTATTGATGACCTAAATTATGTAGCTAAGGTACCACATAAATGGAGACAAGAAAGGAGAATAGCACTAAAAAATTCATTTGGATTTGGTGGAACAAATGCAACACTTTGTATCTCAAATATTTGAATTAGGAATATTTTTTTGTAAGTGAGGTATAGGAAATAAAAACATGTGTTAGACTCGATAGTATATTTAAAACTGAGTTACAAATGTTTTCAGATTTATAATGATGGCAATCATGCCATGGTAACTCCCAACAATTGCTGTTCAAGCATCAGCAAAAAAATAACTTGTTGTGTACCACATATTATATTGAGTCACATAAAGCATTAAAATAAAATGATTTGATCAAAATGCTACAATATTTCATTACAAAGCTTTAACATTTTATAGTAAATATTTGTTAAATGCTGGGTTTCATCCAGTCAATTATTTCATAATATCATAAGCAGTTGGAATCATTCAAACATGCACTTCGTCTGACATAACTTACAATTACATAATGACTGCTATTACAATATATAAATGTTATTCAATATATACTAAAAGCACCTTTTTCAAATATTCCTATGTCATTCTAAGAAATGTTTCTATTTATTTTTAACAGGAACATGATATCTGGAGTATAAAGTAAATTCCATATCAAAAAGTTCTAAAACAGTTAAATTTGAAACTACTCACTTACATTATTACAGAAAAGGTGCCCGATGCATTTAAATTTCTAAATTTTATATGGTGTTATTATGTCAGGCCTAAGATTTTCAACATAAAATAATAATTAATATAACTTTTAAATAAAATAATAAAGATATCTTATTGATTGATTATTTTCTAATAAGCATCTAGTTTATATTTGAATATAAAATAAACATAAATAATATAAATAAATTTTAAAATTTATCTATTAATTGTTCATCTGATGGAGGCATGTGCAGTTTGAATGTTGGTGTACTCGGGGGGATTAGGCGGGATGTTTGTCTTGTTTCAACATTACTGGCTGCAGTGTGTTAACACATAACTGAGCGAATTTCTGTCTTAAGTTCTGTCTTAGCTCTTGCCTCTTCTCAGTAATATTTCTTCGTGATTTAAATTCCAGAACATCTTCAATAGGTATATAACTGGTGTCTTGCTCTTCATCTGATGAACATGTATCCTGTAACAAATAAAAATGTTTTATACAATTTTAAATAATGGCATACCACAAGACAATGGATTAAAGTTACTTATTGTTATATCATCATGTCGCGACATCGCTAGCGTTGTACGTCGGCGAAAAACAACCTATGTTATACGAGTATATGTATATTGTATATGCTATCTACATTTCTGAATTTCACTCAAATCAATATAAGTGAAGGAAAACATCGTGAGAAAACCTGCATGTCTGAGAGAAACTAGCCAGTTTTCAAAAAAAAACATGTGAAGTCCGCCAACCCGCACTTGGCCAGCGTGGTGGACTATGGCCTGATCCCCCTCGTATTGAAAGGAGGCCCGTGCCCAGCAGTGGGACGTTAAAAAGAGCTAAATACAATATTAATAGGATAACATTATGTGCTGTTATTTGATGTTGTTTTAAAATAACTAGTCTTCGCCCTGTCACCTATGGTCGAAATTCGATCGTAATCATTATTGAAAACTTGAGAAAAACATGTATGAAAAGAATTTAGATTCCTATTTATATGAAAACCGTTTCCAATTTTTTTTTTCATTGATAACTAAAGCTTGCCAATAGATAAATTGTGTTTTTATTTAATTATAAAGAAAGTTGAAATGTTACTGAAAATGTCTCATTTTGAACGATGCCAGTTTGGCGTCTCACAAGGAGGATTAACTTGGTGGTTTAGTGGCTAGAATGTACGGCTGCACATCCGAAGGTGTCCTGGGTTCGAGTCCCGGATCGTTTCAGTTATGGTAGTCCCAGTAATAGCCGGAAGTTGGCGATGTTTACAACCTGCGCCTTAACTCTCACTGATCGTGTCGAGTAGTCGTCCCACCGGAGTATGAGAGTAACAGGAGTAGAGTACATATGTGTCTGCGCACACACGCTGCACTATAATATCATTTCCTGGGCAGATGGCCAGTTTCCATGAGATTGGCCGCCGTGGCCGAAATCGGTCTGGAGGACATTATTATTAATTGTAGTTTTTTTCCCCATAAATATATTTTCTTATCAGGCACACAGTCTACTTTCAGAATATGTAAAGAGAAGATCAAATCGTAGGACATATTTTTTTCGTTATTCGGAGACAGAAGAGGCCTTATCGATATCCTTCCTTTACAACCAAAAAAACTAATACTTTCTTAGATTTACGCGAGCATTTGACGTTTTAAATCAAACTGTCTTTTCAGATTTTTTTGAAAGGATAAGTTTATCAAAAAAAAAAAAAATTAATAAATTTACCTAGCGACAAAAAGGAAAGAGGAGAAGAAATGTGGCTGTTTTACTACATTGGCTATTATTATAAAAAAATCTTATAAAAAAAGCAATGCCTTCTTTTTTGATTACACTAAATTCAAGTGAAGTCTCAAGAAATTATGATACAGGGCACATATAAAAGCCCTTTTGAGTTCATACAATAAGCATTAATAGAAACAAAATAAAATCGTATTCTAATAATAAATAAGTTATACGTACCAGCATTTCTTGGAGAGAAAGTGTGAAACCAGTGCAAGAGATTTTATCAATTTTTGTTTCCATACAGTCACCTCTCTCGTGGTTGCAGAATCCTTCAGAGCAGGCCACTTCCGAACCCTCTGGGGAGCTCATAAGGGAAGATGACCCAGACATTATTTCACAGCATACATTATTACCGGAAGAATAACCACAGTCTTGAGAGTGTTCGTTTGGTGAAAATTTGCCATTTTTACCCCTTTTTTTGCCATTCTTTGGAGAACTTGTATAATCTTCTTGGCACGATTGACAGCTGACAACATTGGATTGAATTGTATCATAACATTGGTTGTATTCCCGCGAGGACAGTAAACTTGTAGGCGTGTCTTGGTCCTCTAGCAAGCATTCTTCACATTGGCACTTTTCTTCAGGTTCTTCAGAGTCAGCTTCCTGCAAAAACAAAAAAAAACGTGTGTTAACGTTAGTATGTAAAAGTAACAGAACAAAAATAGCTAAAGATTTCATCTCGTATGTCACAACTCTCTAATTGTAAAAGCAATGAAGTTAACTTCATCATGTCGATTTTTGGGTGTCGGTGTGCGCGCGCATCGTAAAAATTTTACCCTCATAATTTTTTCCAAACGTGTGAATTTTGGTAATTCTCCGACTACGAGAGAGCCACATTGGTGATGAGTGACATGTATTAGAATACGGTAAAAAAAAAAACAATACAATTCTCATCAAAATGTCACATCGAATGGAGAAGAGACAAGGTAAAAATATATTTAAGAACTCATGTTGCTGTCTGCAAAATACCTACTATAAATGTGAAAAAACACATTTTGTAAAAAAATATACAACATATATCTCCACTAGTTCATATTCACGTTCAAATCACAACGGTACTTCCACTAAGATATAATTTGTATTATATATATATATATATATATATATATATATATATATATATATATATATATATATTGTGTAATTAAATAACTAGAAAAGTTAAAACATTATATTGGATTTACCTTGCATTTACTTTCGACGGCCTGACGCTCCTTCTTCTTACGTTTTTTCAATTTTTTCTGTTCTTTTCTTTGCTGTCTCGTCGTTTCCTCTTGCGTTATTTCATCGTATAACATTTGTAGTTTGGACACACCACTTTTCATTTCTACTGCCGTTTCAAATTTCCTGTACAAAGCCTCTACGCCGATGGCGGCTAGAGCCTGACACGTGCCTTCTTCCTCCCGGAGTCTCAACGATATACGCTGTAGCCGCTCGTATATGCATATACCAAGGCATATTAATACCTGACATAAGAAATTAATTAATTTATTTGTGCTTTGCTTTTCATCTACACATATAATAATTTTTTTACTAAATCGAGTCTGTATATTAAATATTATTTGGAAAATATTATTGAAATGGTCATTATTATCGATACAGGGGCCGAATCTATAGTTTTTGTAATTTTTGTCTGTGAATACTCTGATCAAATTTCCACAAGTATGATACACATTATCATAGATTGACTTAATTTTGTAGATTGTAGGTGAATATAATATATTATTTGATTAACATTTCATTATATTAAATTTGAGAAAATGTTAAACCTTATAAGTTAATATATAAAGCCACATGCAAGGCTCACGCGAATTAAATAATGAATTAATCATCCATTTTGTCTCAGTATAGTGTGTACACAAAGTGAAACTGTTACATTAAAACAGACCTAACTTGGTGCGAGTTAGGCATATTTTATGATAACAGAAGAAAATGATTGTTAAGAGATTTTTAATTCTTTATTCCTGATCAATGTAGCCATATACATAATAATAAAAAATAATAATCTACATATTACAATAACTAAAATAAATGTTGATATGTTACTTCTAGCAAATATGAAGTCATTTTGCACTGACAGAGTAAATTATTATAATTAATTGAAAACTGTTGTAAAACTTACCTCTTCCTGTGCAATTTCTAATGTTTTGGCATGCCTTTCTCTATGATTTCCAAATAATTCTGGTTCGGCTCGAGCTATGAGGTGTGCTATGTAATCGGTTTTTGCTTGCAAGTGTAAATGTTTATCTAACAAACATCTCTTGATACCTCCATATAAGGCAGCAACATAACCTTTTTCCTTCTGTGGTTCCTTTTCTTCGACTAATAATTGATAAGCTCTTAATACCTGTTAACAAAAATATTTTTAAACAATATATACATAGTGCATTAAGTAGCGATACATCAAGCTGATATTTGGGTTATCTAAGTGATAAACAAGTGTCAGAGATTTTAAGATTACATAACATTAATCAATTAACTAAATGAAATAGTTTCTGTAGTGTATATATATAAAAAAACAACCTGTATTTGTTTGTTAAGGTATGTATTACACTAGCGACTCACCCTCGCTTCACTTGGGTTTGTCCCTAGCTTGATTTCCCATACAAACTTTCATCCCCATTTTCACCCCCTTAAGGGATAATTTACGGGATAAAAAGTATCCTACGTCCTTACCAGGGTCTCAAACTATCTTCGTGCCAAATTTCATCTAAATCGGTTCAGTAGATCCAGAGATTACTCCCTACAACGTCACAAACTCACAATCACACAAACTCACAAACTTTACCTGTTTATAATATTAGTATAGATTACACCAACCTTTGTCTTACAATCTGCACAAAATCTGTGTTTCCTTAGATAATTATGTAGGGTATCATGTAGTGTGTTGAAGTGAACTAGTGTGACATGTTCTCTAGCAGAGGTGCGCATCGCGTCCCATGCGGCGCACCACGCCGTGCGGCCGCCCCAGCCCCACGCGCCCCACCCCCACCCGCAGCTGGTGGCGCCCCAACCTCTTGCTGTACCAGCTTCTAGGGAATGGAGTGTACACCGCTGGGACTTCTTCCATCTCGGTTGACTTAGGAGTAGACATTCTATACCAGTACTGAAAGGAATAGTGTATGTTAAAGAAGAAAATATGAAGATCACAGTTACTGATGAAATTTCTTCATATTTTCAGTGTGAATCATAGAGCATACAATTTATTTATTTAATTCACTAAATCTGAACACGGTGCACAAATATTCGAATTTTTAATGATTCCCCCATTGAAATTTGAACTCTTGAAGTTGAATTTAGGGAAGATATTGAGGTAACACACACAACATAAAACAAACAAGCAAATATTCAATAACTTCTATCAATCAATCTTCTCTTGTAGTTAAAAAGTGCAAGTACAGAAAATCTCATATAGAGTTACAATTTACTAAAGTCATTTGCTTTATTAAGTCTCATGAAGTCTCCAGAAATGACAATTGAACGAAGCATATCTTAAGTAGCAGTTTGAATAATAAAAGTATAGAGCAATGACCTTTAATTAACTATTTATGCTCAGTAATCTATTTCAATGACATCTCTTTAAGTAACAATTTTTTTTTTAAATAAACTAAATAGAGTATTACTTCATATGACTATACAAAAATATATATACAAATTGGATTTTATTTTAAATGGCTAATTGGCCAATTATTATGTTTAATGAATAATTACAAATATACCAGTTACTGACACACAGAGAGCTCAAAATAAGCAGCAGCAGTTATCTTTTTGAAGTTATATTTCTTTTGGCACGTTTGGAAGAAATTATGAGAGTAAAATTTTTACGATGCGTGTGCACAGTGCACACCGACAGCTAGAAAGCTACATGATGAAGTTATTGTGACATACAGGATGAAATCTTTAACTATTTTATTTTTGTCCTGTTACACCAAAGTATAACTTCTTATGTGTGTACATAAGTACACACACATGCGTTTTTTCCTATAGATATTAATGTAACAAAATTTAAGAAAAACTACTTATTTATTTATTTAAATGAAGTAAATTTTGTTTATACTGGAAAAATAACTAGATACTAGATAAGTTTTATTTTATTTGATGGCATACATTGAAAGATATCAGCTTCTGCCTTTCTATTACATGAACATAGTGAATCAATTTTTACAAGCCAATTATTTCTTTGAATAAAAACAATAATTAAGTCAGTTTTGAAGTTTAAATATTATTTAAGTATATGTTATTTTTTATTATATTGATATTAATAGCATAAGTAACAAAAATACTTGCCTGTGACCATTTAATAATGTAGCAAGTGCCTGTGGATTTGTTATTTTTTCTTCTTTTATTGTCATAATTTCATCTGGTGTCAAAATTAAAGGATCTAAAGTTGGATGTCCTGATTTACATAATTGATAAAAAAGTCGTTCAACACTGAAATAAACAATCTTAATTTAAAAAAAAAATACATTAAAAGAAACTAATTAGATTGATCTTATTCTATACTGCCTATTACTATAATGAACAGTGTTGCTGGTAAATGTATTATTATGTAATTAAAAAACTTTATATTAAACAATATAAAAAAAATGTGATAAAGTATATAATATTCTTTTGATTTAATTAATTGAAGATATTAAGAAACCACGTCTTATCAACTAGACATACAGTTAAGCAGTATAATTTATAACATTATATTATTTCTTCTCTTTTTCTTCAATTGAGCAAAAAATAAAATTTTCAAAAATCTATGAATAGTTCTACCTTCTTCGACAGCCAACACAAGGAATGCTTTGATTTAATACGTTAAATATATCTGAAGCGTCGACCCTCAGTGCCGATTTTAATTCATCTGTCGTAAGGATTCTGTATTTGCGCATAAATTCTTCATACTCGCGACCTTTAACTTGTGGACTGTCACAAATAAGGCCCATAGTATTTAGATCCATAATCATCTGTAATTTACAATTAAATGTATACATTAACAAAGAAAAATTTCCAGAAAATAAGGTCAACATTGCGACGTCACTAGTCAATAAAGAAATTAATGTAATAATGGAATTCCTAAGACTGAAGAAAATTCATAAAAAGGAAAGATATTCCAACATTAGTAAAAATTTAATTATAAAAATCCTTAACTGTAGGTTTATTTTCGATCGTTTAATAGTAATCTACGTTTGAGGTAATGTCAAAGTACAACTAGGTAACTTACAGTTAAGTTTTCATATATAGTTAGTGGCAATTGTCGCCTCTTAATTACTGGTTCTTTCTCACAATTGTATATATCGACTAATTTAGCCATTTTTATGATTATTCACATAAAAATTGCCGACAAAATATACAAATATAACAAAATGACGGCTGATGACGGCTAACTTTAGGATATACACGTCGAGTTGAGAATAGATAAAAATTTCGGGATGAGTTGCCTACAGACTACATACACTCGGTAAAATAATACGATATGTTTCTGTTTATGAATCGTTTCGAATAATTTTGCATTTCTTTTTATATTCACTAAATATGAATTTTATTGTTTAAATAATATCACTTTTTATGTAGTCAAGTTCATAAAAAAATTATGTTGTAAATTCAGAATACGATTTTACCGAAGTAAATTTACAGTGGTACCACTATTGTAAAAAAGTGAAAAGTTGAAAACCATTTAACAAATAAATAGATCGTACGTCATAGTGATTTATATTTCTATGAACCAATTTATAATTTGTGAGTGAAGTCAAGTTTACCAAACATCAAATAATAAAGTAGATGCTGAAAATTTATCGAAAATGTCTAAAATTTTTACACCAACTAATCAAATTAGATTAACAAATGTCGCTATAGTGAGGTTAAAGAAAGGTGGAAAAAGATTTGAGATTGCGTGCTATAGGAATAAGGTATTATCATGGAGAAATAAACTGTAAGTTTTTATATAACCAAATTTTGTGAATATACTTTTGTTTACAAGACTAATAGGAAGACACCAATTATTTGTTACTGATCTATTCATTTATTTATTTTTTCAGAGAAAAGGATATAGATGAGGTATTACAAACCCATACTGTTTTTACTAATGTGTCAAAAGGTCAAGTTGCAAAGAAAGAAGATTTAGTCAAAGTCTTTGGGAAAGATAATCAAACAGAAATATGTAAAGAAATATTAGAAAAAGGTGAGCTTCAAGTTTCAGATAAAGAAAGGCATTTACAAATAGATTCACTTTTCAAAGATATAGCCACCACTGTTGCTGATAAATGTGTAAATCCTGAAACGAAAAGGCCATATTCTGTATCAATCATAGAAAAGGCAATGAAAGACTTACATTTCTCAGTAAATGTTAACAAAAGCGCTAAACAACAATCTCTTGAAGTAATACCATTATTAAAAAATGAGATACCTCTTGAAAGAGCACAGATGAGAGTAAGAATTTTATTGAGTGGAAAAGATGCTCGTAAAATACGAGACAAAGCTGTAAAACTAGCAATGAATATTGAGGAAGAGAATTGGGAAGCTGGCACAGCACACATAATATGCTTTATTGATCCTGGTAGTTTCAGAATCTTGGATGAAATGATCAGAACAGAAACAAAAGGGAGTGGTCAATTTGAATTATTAAATTTAAAAGAAATGATTGAGGGAGAACAAGCTTTATAATTTTGTGTTGTTGCAATAACTTTCATATAGAATAAAAAAATATTTATTAAATATCTTTTGTATTCAAATTAGTATTTTTATTTTTAATTTAAAAGTATAAACATACAATTTTAGATATTGATATGTCATAAACAAATAAAATCTAAGCAAAACTAAACATATGAAATCTATCTAAAAAAGTGTCTACATACTCGTAGTACCCTCAATTTAGTGTGGTCTGTAAGCTTAATTTTTTTTTAGCCCATTTCACAGGCTCCTTTAGTGATATTATTATAAATCATGGCCATCCAAGGTTAAATACCTTTAAAAATATTGGCTACAGTTTTAAGAATGAAAAGGTTTGTGGATTTTTAATAAGCATTATACTAAATTCTAGACAATGAAGCATATTGTTTTTTGTCATTTATGGTAATTTCGATTTGTTACTATATTTTTATATTTACATATATTAATCATTTATTATAATACATACAGATTATAGATAAATAAAATTGAAGTGTCTGTTTGTAATGTCAAAATAACAGCGTTTTACTTATTGCGTATGAAATTATATACGGCTTAAAACACAATTTTGTAAATTTTTGTCTGTCTGTTTCTTACGGATGATCTCTGAAACGGCTGGACTGATTTTGATGGAACTTTCACTGGCAGATTGCTGATGTTGTAGGGAGTAACATAGGATATTTTTATTTTAGAAAACTAACTAGGGTTTCGCTCATAAAAATTAAAACGTATGTAAGGAGTGGGACGAACCCGAGCGAAGCGAGCGTGAGTCGCTAGTTTATATATGTAGCAATATACTCTATGGTCGCTAGTTAATAGTTATAAAATATAATTATATACGAGAATAATCAAATTGAAGTGTTGGTAGACTTGATATAAGAAATTTGGAATTATTTCGTCTATTTATTTATATTTGCTTCACGTATTAATATATACATTTTAGTATTTTTTATAATTATTATTTTTGGGTTAAATCATATTTTATAGGAAATATTTTTTGTTAAATGCAATATGTTTAATGAAACAAAATTTATTTTATGTATAAAAAAACTATTTTTTTTAATAACGGGTAGAGTCAGCAGATTAAAAATTTTAATCTAATATTCTTATAATTTTTTAGATAATGTATATGAATATTTTCTTAATAAATTATTAATTATATACGAAAAATGTGTATATAACGATTTATTGAAAAATTGGTTGAAAAACATTAAAAATGTGGAAAATTATTATATCGACTAAAACCGGTATTGAATCGCTACGTATAAAGGAACGTTGAAGTGAATGTACCCATCAGCAAATGAATGACAAATTAAAAAGTTTTATTTTTCTTATATTGGTACGAGATTTTATTGATTGTTTTCTTTCAAGATTTTCGGCCAGACGGCGACTGAAATTGCAAGTTACTGTGATATATTTATTTTCAATAATTAACTATTCTTATCAACCAATTAAATGAGCAGGGATATCGAGTTATGTCTATAAGTAATGGAAGGTACAGAACTGGGTGGCGACCAGCAATTCTGTTTGAGATGGAACAATTTTCAAGCAAATATAACTTCTCAATTCGAGGCACTGCGCGATGATGAGGACTTCGTGGATGTCACCCTGGCATGCGAGGGACACAGGCTCGAAGCCCACAAAGTGGTTCTTTCGGCCTGTAGTCCTTATTTCAAGGAATTATTTAAAGTAAGTCCATCTTTCACTCCCCACACTTTGATGTGTCACCATTACAATGACTCTAGTGAAAGTTGTTATGTATAAAACACTTGATCTACTTACAAATGCCATGTCTCGCGATCCAGTTAAGTATTCGTGATTTCATTATTTGTACCTACTTTAGAATTCTGTTTCACAATTTCTAATTAATTCTTAGCTATTCAGGCGCCAATAAACTAAATAGTTCGATATATTCAAATTTGATCTTTACATTTATAATAATTTTAAAAACACCTTTCTAACTGCTGTCACATACATTTTCTTTTCCTTTCAGTACATAAATTTTATTACATTTCATCTTTATTACTACTTTTATTTTAGAATGTTAGTGTTAAATGGCTATAATGTGGCTTTCACAATAATAGTATTGTATTAGAAGTAGTTATGATTTGAAATGCAAAACATATCACATAGGTATTTGAGATCACATTAGAGTAGTAAATATATGGGCATAAGATTAAAGATGGAAAGTAGTTTCTTATAAAAAACAACATTAACAATATTGCTTACAAGTTATAAAGTAATGTAAAAAATCACAAGGTAAATTATGAAATAGTTAATAGATTAAAAATAAAATATATTTTTTATATTATACTATGTAGAGTAACCTAAAACAATGGAAATTGTTTATCTATCTTGTGCTTTTGCTAACCAATGGAGGATAAAATTTCCTACAGAATTCTGATTTATTGTCACTGCTACAGTTACAAATGGGCCAATTAACCACCAACCATTTTATGAAATCACTGTACTGTAAGGTCTTTGCCCTCTAGTGACAATAACAATGAATATTAACATTTACTTTCTGTACCATATGAAGTGTTGGTAAAAAATACTTTTTTGTACCAAAATGTATTGTTCCATTTTTAATAGGTATATCTTATCGTATTAATCACCCATCTAAAAGATTATGTCTTGAAAACTAATATATCATTGAGGTTTTAGTGGTTTGTTTTCTTCTCAAATATTTTACTTATGACTTCTATTATATATTAGTCACCATAATGCTTGTTATGTTCTAAAGTGAATAATGCAAATAAACATTAATTAGGTTTGCCTATAAATTAACATGGATGTATATTTTAAAGGGTAAACATTAGAATAGGTATTGAATCACAGAAAAGTACTTTTTGGTACAAACATCATTATATTTATTAGGAAAAGTATATAAAGCAAAAAAATGTAACATTCAATAGGTGTACTGGTGGATTTATTATAAGATATAAAACTACTTATAGATAATGTTTGAAATCATAAATAAACAAACACCTAGGTTTATAAAAATGATAATGATTACACACAAGTAGTGCATTTGAAGGTAAGTTATACCATATTAAAATTAAAAATTGACATTGCATAGTGTATACCATTATCAAGATCTGTCAATGACCTGTTACAAAATTGATAAGAGATGGTACTTCAGTGATTGTCTTGTTTATAGTAAAGGATAAAAAATATTTATAACTGGCTCAAATAATATTTATTTTAACCTGGTTGTACTATAACTATGGCCTGATAATATCTAGACGGTATAAAATATTTTTATTACCATGAATTGTTATAAAAACTGTTTACCATTAAAATTGAAAGTAATTTTTATTTATTTACTAGCATTGCCCGCGGCTCCGCCCGCGTTCGATGACCAAAAACCAAATTCTTAGGTTTTATATATTAGTATACTCTTACAATGCAGTTTTTGTATTTTTTCTCAGAAATGAGATATTTTCCCGCGGTAAAAAGTATCCTATATGTTAACCCGGATAACCAGCTATCATCATACCAAATTTCATCAAAATCTGTCCAGTGGTTTTCTCGTGATGCGGTAACAGACAGACAGACAAAAATTCTAAAAACTATAGATTCGGACTCTGTATCGATAATAATGTCTATTTCAATTAGATTTTCCAAAAAATATTTAATGTACAGATTCAACTTAATTCGATTTTGTTATAGATATAGATTTACCATATAATATATGTTAAACAAAATAAAGTAACAAAATGTCGACATAGGATAACTTATCTCTTTAAGAGATTTCTTCCAGAAACCCTTCAGAAGTGAGAAAATAAGTTAATTTAGTGTGGTATAGGTTAATACAGCATTAAATGGTATATATAATTTTTAATTTTATATTATTATTATTTAGGCTCTCTACATGAAATATTTAAAACAATAATGTACATTAGCACATGTAGGTAATTGAGTGAATATATTTTTTAAATACTAATTTTACATATAAAAATATTCTTAAGTTATAAAATATACCACCACATTTTCTTTATTTATTAATTAAGAAACAGCAAGGCTTTTCAATCACGAAGTTATCCATAAACTAATATTTGTTAAAGCATATTTTATATTAAAACAATGTTTATTTACATAAATGAAAAATGAACTCTAAACTGATATTTATTAAAAATATTGTAACATTTATAAATAACTAGGTATGTTATATTAGATACAGATAGTTATTAGCCAGCGTTAGTCATATCATTTTTAATTTTTTTTTATGAATTTTTCCAATGTTTGAAATAGTTATTCCTCTATTCGGGGTGGAGACAAATTTAACAAATCAAAGACCATTAAAATCGGTCTGGCAGTTCTTGAGTTATAAGTTAAGATTTTTATGAATCACAATAAATTCTTTTGATTTCCTAACATAATCATCTATAGAAAATTTGTAACTATTCATTAAGTGGAAGCAATTAACCTAATTATTGTGGCATAGGTATGTATGTATATATGTAAGTGTACTTATATAAGTATATAACAACTTGGTTAGTGTTGCTGTTGACATAGCCTATTTTGTCAGAGGTAATGATACAAATGTCATCACTGTTTTGAGAACCTCCACCTACCACGCGTCATTACTAAAATAGCAAATAATAACATATAAATCCACTTTTATGTAAATGAAATACAAAGAAACAATTTAATTATTCTACAAATAAGTAGTTTTTTTTTAGACTTGCTTATTAACATATTCAGTGTAACATATATTTTTATTTTTTTCAGAACAATCCATGTCCTCACCCGATAATATTTATGCGCGATTGCGAGGTGTCGCACGTGCGGGCGCTCCTGCAGTTTATGTACGTGGGCCAGGTGAACATCGCGCAGGCGCAGCTGAGTGCGTTCCTTCGCACTGCGGACGCGTTACAAATACGCGGCCTCACTGATTGCTCACAACACAACGATAAAGTAAATAAACCTTTTTAATATTCATAAATTATAGTATAATTTAATTTTGTACTTTGCAAGAATATGATGTATTGTTTTGATTGCAGAAAGTGAATCGAAAGTCGCCACCTTCCCAACTACGTAATTTGCTCAGCGCCAAGCCGTCACATTCTACCTCCTCCTCCAAAGCCGCAAGCCAAAACGTGGAATCGACGTCTGCCGATGACCTAGAAAAGAATGCGAGTCGCCGTTCCGAGAGAAATTCTCCCGATGTTGCCAGAAACAATCTCAGCGAAGAAGCTTCCTTTCAAACTTCTAGTCAAATGAGGCCTAATAATGACGACTATAACCAAACTTGTAACTACCCTACTTTGAGGGTGAAAACTGATCTCGAAGCAACTGAAATTAACAATGATGAGAATGATATTCTTATGGACCCCGGGGATGCAGAGGGCGTGGACAAGTGCCAAGAGTTTAGCGCGACCGACCTGCTCGAGCCAAAAATGGAAGTCATGGAGCAGGAGGCCAGCGATGAGGAGCGCTCCAGCTTCCAGCCCATCTACTACAACGAGAACAACGCGTTAGCGAACCCATTCGCCACTTTACAAGGTAAAATAGAATAGAATAAAATTTTATTTGTGAAACACACTGCTACAGACACATAAAACAATAATAAAAGAAAAAAAAAAACAAGCATTAAAATGATATGAAAACAGGTAGCAATGTTATTCTCTTTGGTAGCTATAGAAATTACATTGGAAAACTGACTTGTAATAACTATATATATATATATATATATATATATATATATATATATATATTAACCAAAAATATTATTATGAACAACACTCGTATGTTATTTAGTAACATAAAAAACTAATTGGCAGGTAACATCGATCTCATGGCGGGCATGAACACTGAGCTGCGCGACGAGAACTCTGAAGGTAAATATGATCTGTCTAATCACTGTCACGTCATTCACGTGTCATGTCATTCACACGCACATGCGGACTCGGACAGCCGCGCCCCCGGCGACCACCGAGCACAGGCTAGGCCGTACTTGTGTTATGTACGCCGAAGTAGAGAGCGCGCGGTGTATCGGCATCGGGACCGTAGCTCAGGTGCTAGGCGCGCGGGTGTCGGGGTCTCCGCCTCGCCGCCTCGCCGCCGCCGCCCTCTGCCCGACCACTCCCCCCAACCCCTCCCTCCTCCCCACCCCACCCCGCACTCCACCGCATCGTCGCCGTCTTAGTAGCTCGCGTGCGATATACAATAAATGCGAATAGGGTTGTCTAAAGTAGTACTAAACAGTAATACTGATTGGGTAGAACTATTTACATATATTATAATACAATAAATCAATATTATTGAGTCTAGCTTTTAAACTTTTGAATTTGAACTAATAAAACTAGGCGCAATTTCAGTTGCGATAATTAAAGGAGATTATGATATTAATAAGTTATAGAATTAGTAATTTTGAGCATAAATTTTTGAAGCTAAAGTATAATAGAATATTTCATAATGTAATTGATTGCCTTTGAGTCGAATACTGCTTGCTTTTATGGGGATGGGATGGGGTTAGTGCGTTGGGGCAGTAGGGCGGTAGGGCGGTAGGGCGGCGGACGGCGGGACGGCGGGGGCGCAGTGCGATCGTGGTGTTGTTGGCAGCGGGCGGCGGGGGCGGCGCGGGCGGCGGCGCGGCCGGCGGGGGCGGGGGCGTGCGGTGCGCGCAGTGCGGGCGCCGCTACAGCAACGCGTCCAACCTGCGCCAGCACGTGCGGCTCATCCACGAGGCGCAGCCGGTGGTGTGCGCCACGTGCGGCCGCTGCTTCAAGACGCCGCTGTACCTGCGCCGGCACACGCTCGCGCAGCACCCCGCGCGCCTCAAGCCGCACGCGCCGCCGGTCCCCGCGCTGCGGCCCGCGCACCGCTAGCCGCCGCACCGCGCGCTCTCACACACACCCCCCACACACCCCCACACACGCACACATTGTAAATACTAATACACACACGTGTGATAGTTGAGCGATCCATAGGCTCGAGCCAAGTTCATGAATTCTATTGGGATTTAAGATACTGCTTGATGAATTAAAATTACGCAATAATAGTTAAATTAATATATATGTATATTAAGCTGATTCAAGTGTTTAAATATAATTGATATAGGTAACGTGATTCGGTTTTACAATGTGTTGTGAGGGGAGTTGTCGGAAATATCATAAAAATATTCTAGAGTCGACCGAGTCGACGATTTCGGGCGGCTATTGGAGTATGTATCACCTCGTTGGGTGACATTGTGAAATGTGGCTTAACGGTATAAAGAAGACTGTCTGTAGATATATCTAGTCTGTGATCGGAGCGTCGCCGGGGGCCTATTCGCCGTCACACCTCTCCGCTTATTGCGTGCCTTTCAATGTTACAACCGAGACGTTTCAACGAGATTCCGCCATATAACACATTATCTAGTACAGAATTATCTAAACTATACGTATCGTATTTACTTAAAATAATGTATTTCATTGATTAAATAAACGCCGATTCATCGATCTGAAAAGTATCTCATTAGAACGGGCTCTCGTTGGAATCGCTCGGGCACCCTTCCTTTCTGACAATAGACTGATCGTTGTTGAAGCATTTGTTGCGACCGGTGCTGATTTTATCATAGGTTATTTACAGGTTACATATTATACACACCTACATTATACACGTCCGCGTATCCGCGCGCGTCCGTCCCGCCGCCCCGCCCCCAGAGAATATCCAATATTTTCATATTAGAGTGTAATATTTTGTACCGCGAGCGACGGGACGCGACGCACGCGTCCGTTTTTAGTGTCGAACTCGTGCAGGCCACAATACCAATAGTAATATTTTTATACACGATAGTTTTATCTTTACACAGATGTTATATTGTTGAGTGATCGGAGGGCTCCCGGTCTATAGTTTGTACAAATCACATGTTACAGTTGATATTTGATAACTACAGATTTACGTATCCAGTGGATTTATCTTATACAATAAATAATTACATAGTTGTTAACACTTTTATCGTTTAACCGCCGCGTTGAATATTTGAAACCGTTTTAGATTCTAAGAGAAGGTGCATTTTTTTTTTGGTTCTTTATTCGTATATATTGTACTATGTATTGGGGATTCGGTTCGGTTCGATCGGCTGTTTTTTTTTTTAATTTAGTTAATGAATGCCATTTAAAACGCTTCTAGTCATTTAAAAATCTGCATTTAAGAGCGTCGTGATGTCGGAGATATGATTAGGGTTGTGAATTACAATATTAGTTTAACTTTAATGAAATATCTGAATATAATATTATAAGATCTCATCGTTTTTTTTTTTAATATTACTCTTGATCTCTAAATTTTATCTGCATTTATTTTTAAGCGATGTAAATTTTAATAAATAAATTCATATAAACATAATAATATGTATTGCAGAAAACGAAAAATAATATATAAAAAAAATGTATAAAAATAATTGCCTGTGTACTCGACGTATTAGAATTGTATTTTGGCGAGCACTTCAAAAATTTTTCCTTAAATATTTTCTACACTAAGTTAAGGCTCAGCTATCACTATTTAATGTAATCTCTCAGACTCGATATATGAAGTTTGAATTACAAACAATCTAATTTGATTTAATTTTTAAAGATTTCCTTTTGAAATTTCATCCGTACGACGATGACGTTGTTATTATTATAATTATTATAATATGAAACAAATATATTGTTATGAGCTTTTATGATAATATTCAGTTATTTAAAATAGTTTATTATGAATTTTATTTACCGACAAGCCACGTTATTTTTAAATACAACTGTTCCATATTAGACGTATATTTTTTCTATAGGTATTTTATGCGACCATGATTTTAATGTTTTTTTTTTATTAGTCACCAGATACCAATTTATATATTATATTGGGAATATTATTGATTGTGTATTAATAGCTTATTAAACAAGTTTGAGTGCTATCAGAATGAATCCACACACAATTTATATGTTATTTAGTAAAGATATAAAACTTATTTATTATACTGAATAATTTTTTTTATACATATTAACGCAATAAATCTGTCAATTTCATAGCTACTGTGTAACCTCCTCTATATCGTCTATGGTCCATGCAATAATGTGAAATGACTTTAGAATCTTATATTACTCATATTGTTCGTCTGTGCAATCGCTTTGTACAGAATATAAAACATTTATGTATGTACATAAATAATTGTAATTTTTTACTAAATAAAAAACAAAAAAAAAAATAAAGTATTGCGAATACAATATGATTTTGAATTTTATATGGAGATTGTTTTTAAAATATTACCAAATACAGGCTACTTTCATGTAAGTATTCCTTTAAAGAATGAGTGCAGTTTGGCTTATAATTTAGTTAGCTGTATATTTGTAATCTGTATGTTATATCTAATCGTGACGCTTTACATTAAAAAAAAAATCGGCTACATTTTTTTTTTAATTTAAACCAATTTTAGTTGCCAATTATTATTATATATTATTGAAAATGATAAAATATTGCATGGTTATTACATTTATTACATAATGTACATATATACGGTATCTACGAATTTTCAAATGAGGTGATACCTAAACTAAATATATAGGTACAATAATACTTTATTTTACAAAGCATAAAAGTTAAATACATATTTATTTATGACTATATGCTATATTTCATAGCGTGAATTTATAAATATATATTATTTACCTAAAATTTCTTTTTCTTTTCTGATAAATGTATATTTATAGTGTTTTTATTTACAAATATGTACATACATACATATAAAAAAAAATCATCAGCAACGAAACGAAATTTTCTAACCTGTTATTGTTAGTTTACTAAATTGTATTATATGTATCTATTTTTCAATTTCTTTGATAATTATTATATTTTTCGATAATTTATATATGAAAGCGATGTAGATTGAGTGTGGGAGTAGGTACTAGCACAGTCTACTAATCCATACAGTCGAACGAACGCTGTAACTCCGAAACCGTTCGTCATGGAAATTGGTATTTTCTGACAACCCTAGCTAGCATTTGACAGCATTATCGATAAAATCAACGGGCGATCGCATACTGAATGGATTTTTATACTGTGGCACCAGGTAGGGCACTCGATCGAGCAGGGGGTGAATGTGTCGGTATGTCGCAGGCGCGGGGCGCTGGGACGCGCGGCGCGCGCGGCCGGTGCCCGACGCCGTGTGGCTGGAGCAGCACCGCCGCGCGCTGCCCTTCGTGCTCAAGCGAGAGAACGAGCGGAACGCGCCCGCGCCCAGACTTGTAAGTTGTACATTATAATACTGGTCATCTATAAGTTTAGTATCGTTTTATTTATTATATTATTTCTATATTATATACTTGTGACCATAGTCCTCATTGTATAGGTCGAACTAGATACGTTTTGATTTTTTTGAGTGGAACCGTAATTCTATTTCTTAAATAAAAGAGCCTATGTTACTCCTATAACATAGCCTATCTTCCAGTAAAAGTCCCGTCAAAATCAGTCCAGCTGTTTCTGAGATTATCCGGAACAAACATACAGACAGACAAAAATTTAAAAAATTGTGTTTGTCTTATGAGTACCGTATATAATTTCTTAAGCATTTAGAAAAACGCTGTTATTTTTGCATTACAAACAAACACCTCTATTTTATTTATCTGTATAGATATCGACAATAATTAGAGATATTAATATAATGGGAACAGATTGTAAATAAATTGTTTATAATGGTAGAACTATACACATTTTCTATCATTTTTTTTTCATATATTTTTATTGTGTATTGTTTATATTATAAAAACACATAACAATTAAAAGATGGAAACGCTAGCTATGATAGTGAAAATGCATAGGTTATTTTATTCCCTTAACAGCTTGATAAATATCGTGACACTTCACTCCATTCTTTATGCTATTTTGTATAATAAACAATAAAAGAGTTTTTAATTTTTTAGATATTTAATATATGTATTAGATATTGCTTGCCTATAGCGCAAAAAATTGACTGCGATATTTCCCGCATCGTTTCGTTTGTCTTTTTATTGTGAAAAAAATTTTCATGTCAATCAATTACATAAATAGAAATCATTGATAACTATAACGTAAATTAAAACTATACTTAGATATAGAAGATTATGAAAGTTTTTGACGTCACGTTTGGCTCAATTTGTGGTGACCCAATTTGTACTTGCTGTGCCAGCGGTCGCGGGTTCGAGTCCCGCTGGGGGCAGCCATTTGTATAATAAGCACGAATGTTTGTATGTATTCCAATCATGAGTGTTCATATTTATAATATGTATGTATTTAAAGTTATAATAGGTATATGTGTAGTGTATCAAGTACCATTTTTTTTAACGTTGGGAAATGCATTTACGCACGACGTGTGGGACTCACCGGCGTAATACAGCCAGTACTACCCACTTAAACCCAACAAAACCTTCCCCCGTCTTAATGGGGCGTCGCAGGATCGCTTACGCATTCAACTACGACGCCCCGACGGCAGGTCTGCCGAAGCAGACCACCACAACCATGGGGTTGCTCCAAGGTCCACTCTGCTATCAGAGAAGTACCAGGAGCAACCCGCAAGGTACACCGCCCACCGAAGAGGGCCACCTCTCACCGCCCACCGAAGAGGGCCACCTCTCACCGCCCACCGAAGTAGGCCACCTCCCTGTGCGTTTCTTAGCTTCGCGCCCGGTTGGATTGCCGGGAACTACTGAGCCCCCCCACCACGACAAGGTGAACGCACGTTGGGGGGGGGGGGAGTGTATCAACTACCTGGTATCCATAACACAAGCCTCGTAGCTTACCATGGGACTAGGTGGTGCTGTGTGATGTCCCATATTTATTTATTATTTATTTTAGTATTATAAGTAAATTGATTTTAATACTTACAACTTACAAAGCACATTTCGAATCACAAAATATACCTAGTATTGATTATGCTAATAATTTTTTTATTAATAATCAAGTTTTATATCGAGTTGATTAAATCATTAATGCTCATAATTGTAATAAATTTTGATATCGTTGTTAAGAAAAATGCGATACCTACCGTTTAAATTAATATTATAATATCCACTATTCATTACTAACGAAACACTAAGACCGCAAGGTTATCACAATGTAGTGCTACAGCTAGATAACGTTGCTTCAGATAAAATTGGGGGAGGGAGTGGAGATCCGCGAGGAACTATTGCGGGGGGTCAAGTGGGGGGACTACAGGAAAGTGACCCGGGGGCTGGCGGCGGCGTTGTTCTCGCCCATGGAACTGGCCACCTGCTCCGTGACGGGGCAGAGGTGGTCGCGCGCGGGGCAGGAGGCGCGCCCGACCAAGCCCCCGCTCGACCGGCGCCGCGTTCATGCACTCATATCGTACGTCAGCAGGCATTTCCCTGACGTCGAAGTCAGCCGCATAAAGCAAGTGCTCGCGTATAAGTGCAAGGAGAACTGCGCCGCGCTACGCATGAGGACCGCCAGGTGACTACACGACACTCGTTCACTATTGGTCACTAAAACTTCACATTAGCAAAAAACTACAAAACCAAACCACTTACATTTGTGAAACGAAAACCCAAGTCCACGTATTTACCTTAAAGTTAAAGATAAACATATAATGACACACAAATATTATAATTGTTTAATTAATATACTCGCAATACTACTAGTCTTTCTGTCTACTAAATGAGTAATATTGTAAATACCGATAATCTATTTATAAGCAGGACTTATCCATATACATTGGTGAGGTCAATAGGGTTATTTGTGGTCTCACGATAAATCATACAAGTAAAAATGGTCGCGCACATTCTGATTCTATTGTTATAGCGATGACATATTTTTGTATCACTTTACATATGATATACTATGCTTGTGTTACTCCAGGTCATAGTATGAAACGTTTACTAAATTTGCCCAAATCCGCCCAGCCGTTTAAGCGTGAAAGAGTAACAAACAAATATACACACATACAAACATTGGCAATTTTAATAGTATAAGATTTGTATATAGCATTGAGAGTATATATGTATGTACGTACTGAAAGTCCGGTCGGTCCAGCGCCGCGCACCGGCGCACTAGAGGCAGTAATACAATTTGAAGCAGGCTGTCGAACTGTTTCAGCGAGTCCAGCAACTACCTGCTGAGCGCGGCGGCGCGCCCGCCCGACGACGCGCCCGCGCCCGCCGCGCCGCCCGCGCCCTACGCGCACTTGTGAGTTGCTAGCTTTTGTGATACTTGTTACATGTATACTGATATTATAAAGAGGTAAAGTTTGTGTGTCCGTGACGTTGTAGGGGTTAATCTGGATCTACTGAACCAATTTAGATGTAAATTGGTAAGAATATAGTTTGAAACCTTGGGAAGGACATAGGATACTTTTTATATCGGAAACTATCCGTTAAGGGGGTGAAAATGGGGATGAAAGTTTGTATTGGGAATCAACCTAGGAACAAACCCGAGCGAAGCGGTGGTAAATCGCTAGGACATACATATGGTGAAGGAAAACATCTTGAGGAAACCTGCATGTCTAAAAGAATCTAGCAAGTTTTCGAAAGACATGTGAAGTCCGCCAACCCGCATTCGTCCAGCGTGGTGGACTATGGCATGATCCCCTTCGTATTGAAGAAGGCCCGTGCCCAGCAGTGGAACGTTCAAAAGGACTGAATACATACTTACAATTTACAACGTTCACCAATTGTCAACGTATTCAGTTCCCTTAAAAGCTGGCAACTCTTATGTTCTTGATGTGTATGAACGACGATAACCGATCGATCGACCGAACGATCAGGTGGGAAAAAATTTTTTTTTGCCTTCAATAAAAAAAATAGTCAAATGAGTTGGCAAGTGGTAAGTAAGTATATGAGGAATCGCGTGATCGCAGGTCACTAATTGTTTTATTTGTCAGCGAACTCAATAAGAATAGCCATTTATACTTTTACCCACGTGTACAAACTTACAAAAACACTGACCACGTTAATTAATACTCCTATTTAAAACTAAATATATAATTAAATAATAAAACTACTGTTTCAAATGAAACAACGTTTTAAAAAATGGTGATTTTCCACGCAATATATCGATTGTTTTATTTCTGTAATGGTTTGGAATCTAGAGTTAATTATGTTAATACTAGCGGACCCGACAGACGTTGTCCTGTCTACACGTCTTTAATTTGAAAATTTCAAACTTTTTTTAATAATTTTTTTGATGAAAATTATTATTCAAATTGTGAATCTAAACCATTCCCAGATCCCCTTGAACACACACAAAAAATTTCATCAAAATCGGTCCAGTCGTTTGAGAGAAGTTCAGTGACATACACACTCACAGAAGAATTATATATATAAAGATTACTTTAGAACGCTTTCCACGTTCATTTACAGTTTAATCTAATATTATAAAGAAGAAAATTCGTAAGTTTGCATGTTAGGGGTCATCTCTGAAACTACTGATCTGATTCTGAAAATTCTTTCACTAAAAGGAAGCTATATAACCGTCGAGTGCTAAAGACTATTTTTTATTGCAATAACAATGTGTTTGCTGTCATATCCATTGAAATCGGAAAAAAATGGTCGTTGAGCTACTTTTATTGTCTATTGCTTGGCATCTAGTTGTAATGTATTAAATAGTATTAAATACTAGCGACTCCCCTCGCTTCGTTTGGGTTGGTCTCTAGGTACATTTTAATTTTTGCTTAAATATTAGATAGAAATAAAAGTAGCCTAATGCCCGATTTCACCAACGTCACCTAAGTTTAAGGGGTCCCCTAAGCATGGTTAGGGGGCTGTTAGGGGACAGTTTCTGTTTCACTACCCCGTTTCATTACCTCCTAAATTTAGGTGCTCGAAAAACGAAATTTAATATAGGGGCTAGTTTAGGGGACTTTTAAGCTAGGGATCCCATACGTAGGTGGTAGCTTATGGGTTGTTGGTGAAATCGAGCATAAGTCACTCCTTGTAATTTCAACTACCTGCCAGTCAAAGTCCCGTCAAAATGAGTTCAGCCGTTTCAGAGATTATCCGGAACAAACATACAGACAGACTAAAATTAAAAAAATGTGTTCTTATAAGTACCGTATATAATTTCATATGCATTTAGTAAAACGCTGTTATTTTGACATTACAAAGAGACTCTTCAGTTTTATTTTTCTGTATAGATTTGTTGTAATGAAATGATTGTATGTTTTCAGCGAGCGGCCTAAAGGCGGCGGAGCGGGCGGCGGCGGGGGCGGGGGCGGCGGCGAGGGCGCGGGCGACGAGGGCGAGGCGCCGCACTGATGCCGCCCTCGCGCTGTTGTTTACCAAAAAGAGAAACTGTACCGACAGTCGTCGTCGTTCGTCGTCGTGAAAGATTCGTATTTATTTAGGTGATATTTTTCTATCGGCTACTGATAAGGTTTCACCTCGTGACAGCGGCGGCCGGGCGCGGCGCGGCGCGGTCGCGGTCGAAGCCCTAGCAATAATTTATCAGGTTCCTAAGACAAGTTCTGTAGTTAGGTTCTATTTGCACGAATATTCGCGAAACACTGCCGCTTACTTCTGAACCCTTTCGTCCGTTTTAGTCGTTCGATCGCTTATTTTCGTTTCGTAATGTTAGTTTTGTAATTTGGTTACGTTTAAATTTCGTATATCGAGGCATTTGTGTGCTGAACGAGGGACCGTTGCAATCGCAAAGTGAATATATCAAAATGGCATAATTTTAGAACTAACTTAGATAATATATTATATAGTCATTTCGTTTCATAGATGTAATAATAATAATATGTAAAAAAGAATTTATTTTGGAGTGTGTCGGGTCGGAAATTGAAAAGTCTTCGGAGAGCTGTGATTGTGATGGTTATAAAGGAGTCATATTTTTAAATACTTTTAAGAGTTATATCGTAATAATTAGCTCGAGTACGGGAGGGAGGGAGGTAGGGGGGGCGGCGGGCGCGGGGGGTCCCGCCCGCGACGCGTCAATTCCTCTATGCACATCTGCACAGGGATGTATCTATCATATCAACTAAGCAATAACTATTATTTGATAAAAGAAAATAAAGAATTTTTTAATTTTTAAAATACTATTTTAACCGTGTTGTTATAAAGTAGTTAGTAAATAACTGAATTCTCTAAAGTCCATGATCATTTATACAGTTCTTTTGAACGATGATCGAATCCTCATAATAATTACATGTCACATATGAAACTTCATATCAACGTTATTTTACGAAATTTTGTACTATTTAGTCGATTTTTATCTTATTGAAGGAACGAGCAGATATCGAACACTTTAGCGTTAGTACATTACCTATAAGTTTCTACACTCGCTATACTATAACTAAGCGCAACATTAGGGGAATCGTGTAATGAACGCAATATTTGATATTTTAGTGAATTGTTAATGATACTCAGTTATTGTTTTAGCGTCTCGAACATATAATACGTAACAAATACTCAAAACATATCTGCTTGTTGTCCTCGGAGCGTAGCTATGTATAAGTTGCAGTTACCAGGTGGGAGTTGGGGAGTCCCGGTATATAGTCTTACCGAATGTTATTCCACGATGCCAATCGTATGTTTTAATGCTCAATTTTGCCAAATTTTACTTGCCGATTGTCTTGTCCATTATTTTGTCTAATATTTACCGCCATCCCTCCGCGTTTCGCTTCGGGGTGGCACGGTTTGCTCAATCATAAACATTGTTCGTTTCGAGTGTAAATCGTGCGTAAGAGAAGTTCACGGTCGGCCCAATGGATTTATATAATTAGTGAAATTTTTTTAATAAATGGAAAAATTTAAATTATAATATTAGCGAATGGAAAAAAAAATATTGAGAATATTAAGTATAAATACTTATATTGTGACGGATGCTCGAGATGCAATATGTTAATTTAGTGCCAAATGATAAGTTAACTCGTAGCGATATGTCGTATCCTAATGCTCTTGTAATTTCTCGCGTAGTGTTAATGACCTATGAGGTTAAAAGGTTTCTTTTACAAGACTATAATAATATATTTATACAGGGAAAGAGTTAGGTATGTACGGTTCGGTATAAGGATGTTGTCGCGGTAAAATACTCATAGCGGCAGGGTGTAACTGCAAGCGAGGAGCGCCGGCGGCGGCGGCGCCATGACACCTCACACAGGGTAGTTGTTAGTTTAGATGTTCCCGTCGCTTACCACTTACTTGGTTTTACACTCTGTTGAAGACGCACTGAACGAGCAATGGAACAGAGAATTTATTTACTCAATTAAGTTTTTTTTTTCTATTATTATTTATAAATTACAATGTTTTTTTTTACTAAAATATATGTATATACAATTATTTTGCATTTTACTATCGTAATGGCAGCTGTCCATGTTTGCGGTGAATGATGAAATCAGTCACTGTTTTTAATGTTTCATAAAATTAGTAAGAAACGATACATCGAACATGACACATTGGGCACAAATATTAGTAAAAATTCTATGGCTTATTTTTCGCTTGCAATTACGTAATAATTATAGATGGTGGACGTGCGGCGCGTTTATTGAGCCCTTGTTATAAAATGTATATTTTATTGAGTATATTTTCACCGAGCAATACGTCTATGAATTGTATATAAGAGATCAGCATGAAGCCGCCGCCCGAGCCCCCGGGACTCCGGGGACGCCGGGACGGTGTTGTGCCAAAATTAAATGCTAGTCTTTAAAAAAAAAATGTTGTTATCATTTTCAGATTTTTATTTAGTCCAGAATGCGTTTGTTCCTGTGCTGTGAAAGTCATATTCTCTAACAAATCAACACTCGGGTGCGAGCGGGAACCGCGCGGTGTAGTCGCTTGTCTTAATTTAATTTTAGGAAATTAATCTAAACATATGTATATATTATAACTATTAGATTTATTATTTACACTTTTTACTAATCCGACTCGTTTTGTGATTTATTATATTATATAAAAACAATCGACTACATCGTACGGTTACGGCGTGTATAGGTCGACAACAACAGGGTTTGTTGATGTTTATGTAAAGATATTATAAGATTGAAAATATTTATAATTAGAACTCAAAAGTTCTAAAGAATATTACCCGTGGTCCATAATATATAGTCAGTTGTCGTCCTATAGTGGTATTGTGATTCGAGTCATAAATGTAGTATGTATATGATGCGTTGTGTTGGTTTGTTGCTATATGTATAGTATTTATAACGATGATATGCACACGATGATTTAGCTTTGAGCTCGTGCAATATTATTCCAAATTGTTTATAGGGGAAACTGTTATGATAATTTCTAAATTGTTATATAAATATTTTTGTAATTATAAAAGACAAAGGCGACTTGAATTCTATTTTTGTTGTGCATTTATTCTCAAATTTTATCATATTATAATTATATTACCACAAACTCATTGTGGACTGTAATGTCTGCGTCTGTGAACATTATTATTAAGCTACGGTAGATGGTTTTTTTTTATATATTGCTGATATTGTGAGTCAATTCTAGTAATGTTAGTTCTCCTTAATTTAGAATAATTTACAACAGTAAACAAATAAATATTGCTCAACTGAGATGCGACACTAACCGCTAAATAAACAGAATAATTTTGTATTGATATGTCCTTTTATATCGTTATTTATGTAATAATTCAGTTTGATTAATTGTGAGTTGTGGCAGCGCATGTTAATGTCCTATGTTTATTTCTTAATAGAGGCCAAATGTTGACTTGCTTATGTGAGACTGTTTTGCCAAGAATCAGAATATTACCTACATTGTTTTAAAATAAATGCTTTTATATAAAATTGTAAGTATTTTATTTCATACCCCATTAGGCTTCCCCGTGTATAAACAAAATTTGTGTGTTTGGAAACAAAATTACACTACGTTTTCTCACGTACGTGAGTTGATTTGAAATAATTTCTTCTACATCCACCTTTTCCTATGCCACTTAACATTGGATGATAACTATTATCTGTACTGTTTGTTTGAAAGCGCTAATCATCGAGTATATTGCTACAATATATAGTGCTAATCTCAGGAACTATTAATCCAATTTGAAAAATTCCTTTTGCATAGATAGCCCGTTTATTGAAGATGTTACACAAGGGAGCGGAGCAAGTAATCATAAATAGCGACAAATCGGACAGACTTCTGGATTTTCAACGACATGGTATTATTATATATGATTTTCCAACGCTAAAAAATATATAGATAAAGTTCAACTTCAACCACGACGTTGCTCCAAGCGACAATGCCGGCTTTTTTTTTTGAAGTAATACTTTCTAGGTGTGACTGAGGGATAAGTCAATACATTGGAAAAATGAGTGTAGCGGAAGTGAGAGTCAAATTTGTTATAAATAATTTTAAAAAGTATATTATGTTTATCTGATATATAAAATTCTCGTGTCATAGTGTTTGTAACAACACTCCTCCGAAACGGCTTGACCGATTCTTTTGAAATTTTGTGTGTATATTCACAAACTTTTGCTTACGAAATTTGTGACGATGTATTTATGTTTGTTACTCTTTTACACAAAAACTATTGAACGGATTTTAATGAAACTTTATAGTAATCCGTATTATTGTTTTAATATTATAAATGTCAAAGTTAGTGAGTATGTATGGATGTTTGTTATTCTTTCACGCCAGAACGGCTGAACGGTTCTGGGTGAAAGGCACAGAAATAGATTTTAGTCTGGAATAACACATAGGCTACTTTTTATTCCAGAAAAAAGTATGATTCCCGTGGGATAGGTTTGTTTTTGTGTTCCTAGAGGCGAACCCAAGCGAAGCGAAGTTGAGCTGCTAGTATATCATAAATATCGTACTACATATATAGGCTATTATTAAAGTAATACATTGACTAAGTATATGGTAAAACATAACTGAAAATAGTGCTTATAAAAGTCTTGTAGAAAGTTAATTTTATTTATTTTTAAAGTTTTTGTTTGAGCAACTTGTGTAATAAGGATTTAAAGGCTGTTACACACAATGCCACCGGCCTTGCCGTCGGGCACGTGCCGGTGCGGCGGCACAGACGCCAGCAGTACGTGCCTCTCGGCAAAAGCTGGCAGCACTATGTGTAGGAGTCTTAAGAGAAATAACAGTCGATGGCGTTTTGGATTTTCTGCGTTGTGAGTGCGTCCTTCTCTGGTTGTTTCTGTTAAAACAGTCTGTGAATAGTTCGTTGTCATTTGTCAACGTGAAACGTCACAGTTTGTAAGTTGGTAAACGTCAGTAAATGCCAAATATTTATTAACCTTACTCATGTATATTCTATTTCTAACATATCACAAAAAAAGTAATAAATAAGCTTAAAGCTTGGGTTTCTATAAATATTACATGGTATTTTATTGATTGTTTTAGTATTGTATTAGATGGCGTTTCCTCAACCCAATGCGCAGAGAGGTATATAGCTACTAGTCTGAAACAAAATACAAATTAGTATAAACTGAAACTCAAATCTATGACAATATAAATTTTATGTACATTTTTATTATAGAATTAACGAACAGGAAGATTTTAGAGGAACTTCAGCTTAAGAAGCAGATGCTTCTAAAGCAAGGTGCTGTAGCTCCACTCACTGCAACAACTATTTCCCTAACACAACCTAGTCCTGTTAGCCAGCTGCCTATGTGTTCTATTCCACCACTTTCTGCTACAGCGGTTAGTTTTATTTTGCATTTCATTTGAATATTTAGAATTAAGGCTTTTGTTTGATGTTTCTATAGTAAATTTTCAAAATTCACAAGTCTTTTTTTATATTTTAATTTTTGTTTTTGATCTTTCCTATTAAATGTATGTGTCAGTTTACTTTTCAGGGATTTCCACAGCTACCTGAAGCTAATATTGTAAATACAAGTCACAGAGCTGCTTTACAACACGCAAACGCTACATCTTGTGGTTTCTTTGTGTCTCAAGACTCTTCTTTTGGAAATCAGATTCTTCCTGTGTTGCCAAGATTTGAAAGCAAATGACTATAATATGTCTGCTCTAATGAAATTAAAAGTCCTGGAAGGTCATTTAGGTACCTTGTCTGGATTTTCAGAACCTAAAATAGAACTTGAGCAGTATGAGACACCACCACACATAGCTGCTGTGGCCCTTTACACCATGCAGGTATTATTCGTAAATAAAATCCCATCAAAAACATTCTGTAAAAATATTGCAAGTCTCGCAACGCATTTCTTCTACCGCAAAAAGCTATGAGATATAATGTAAAACCAAGTCAGTTAATTTATACATTACCTATCTATGGAAGCATCTATCCGACAACTTTGTCATAAATCGTTACCGAATTAGTTAAGTTACAACATTTTATAGTGACCGTAATAATATTAGATATATTTATTTCTTTAATTAATAGAATGACTTGGCCATCGCACGGAAACATAATCACATAAGAGTCTACTACTTTAATTAAATAGTCCTAATTAAACATACCATGACCAAGGTGGACGGACGAGTTGGTCAAAGTCGCTGGAGCCCACTGGATGCGGATGGCACAAGAATGGTTGTCGTGGAAATTTTTGGGGGAGGCCTATGTCCAGCTGTGGACGTGTTTGGGCTGAGATGAACTGAACATAGCACTAGCGGGTCAAATTTATGCATGCACTAACATAAATAATGTACTCAGAACGCTAGTATGAGGTAAATTTTGTTATTTGTAGGTTCTATTATCATGTGCGATGGCCAAGTCATTCTATTAATTAAAGAAATAAATATATCTAATATTATTACGGTCACTATAAAATGTTGTAACTTAACTAATTCGGTAACGATTTATGACAAAGTTGTCGGATAGATGCTTCCATAGATAGGTAATGTATAAATTAACCGACTTGGTTTTACATTATATCTCATAGCTTTTTGCGGTAGAAGAAATGCGTTGCGAGACTTGCAATATTTTTACAGAATGTTTTTGATGGGATCTCATTTCTTTTTGTAAATATTTCTTCTTTTACTCTTTTCTTGTACTATTTCTTATGTGTCAGCTAAGGAATTTTTTAAACGCCCACTCCTTGTCTCTGTGGGCTTTTTTCAGAGGCTTTGATATAACAAATTTTGACAAGTCTGGATGATAAAATATCTAAGTCTATTGTATTGGGAAATTGCGGATTCCTAGACTTTAATACTACTATCTTATGCATTAAGTATAAATATGTATAGTTAATTTAACGAATATTTTAATTTAATTGTTGACCCTAACTAAATACCTACCCCGATACTGATATTCAACTTACATAAGTTTAATAAGACGTAAATCGTACGTTAATCGTAGTTAAGTCCCGAAAGTTGTATTCCATTCCATTTTAAAAGTAATTTTCGAAGAGATTGATATTTCATGACCTCTATATTCCATGTTTTAATACGTGGGTACAGTTACGAGCAATGTTGACAAGGTTTTCTAAATCATATCAACATCATACTTTGTAAAGGAAAATGTACGAGCTTTGTTTCAAAATTAAGTAATCGTCTAGTTGTTTCTTAATTAAGTATATATTTTAATCAATTCATTATAAATAACAGTAATCGAATATTAGTAGGTATAAACTATACACGCTTCACATTACATTTATGTACCCATTTGTATATGCATAAAAATGTATACAGCTACTAAAAAAGCTGAAAATATTATTTTCGCATTTAAAAAATACTTTTCTAATACTTATAGTTGCAAATATAAACATTAATAAATAGACGAATCGAAATTAGGTTAGTAATTACGGGGAACATAGGATCGGACGTACAAACCTACAGGTAAAACATTAACCTAACTTCCTTTTACAGTGCAACTATTGTATAATTAATTAATTTACTATCTTTTTATATATAATTCTTCTGTGAGTGTGTATGTCACTGAACTTCTCTCAAACGACTGGACCGATTTTGATGAAATTTTTTGTGTGTGTTGTTTTGTGTGGTAGGTGGCGCTGCTGTCGGTGTGACAAAGGGTTTGTTTTTTTTAGTAGTTTGATCGCGGGCGAAGCCGCGGGTACAGCTAGTTAATTATAAATTATATTAGAATATATGAATGAGGTGAAAAAAATAAAAGTAAGATATCGGGTATTAAAAAAATAATATTTAATTTAAATAATAGAAGGAAAAAATAGTGTAAATTTAACTAAAATATTTTAGTTTAAGTGACGAAAAATGATATGTATGAACTGCAAAAATAACTTTGTAATCCCATATATCGGATATCTATTTGTATAGGATTACAAAGTTACTTATGCAGTTTGTATATCTCGAAAACAGCATTGAAATTTCGTGATGTTTGAGTTTTTCCTTCTGTTATAGGCTAAACACTAATTGTGTTCAAAATTTGAAGCTCCTATGTCTGCTAGAAGTACCTTAGAATTTTGATGATCGGTGAGTGAGTGAGTGAGTGTGTGAGTGACGATATTAACGAATTTTGATCTGCAACAGTTCTTAAACTACAGGTTCAAATTGAATGTAATTTGGAAATATGCCTAGTTTTATTATGTTCTTTTAGTCCCTGAAAATTCAGGCTTCTAGCTTTATCCATAACGAAGTTATGGGGGGGTGGAAAATGCTCTGAATCGCTTCGAGAAAAGGATGGTACTGTCGTGCCCTTTTTTGCTCGACTTGGCGGGGGCACTCCGTGCCCCCCGATCTATTAAATATATTTTTTAAGTTAAAGTAATATTTCTTTTTTGCTTAGATTGTTTATTGAGCAATATATTTGTTTATAGACACAATATGAAGCTTTAGAAAATAAACTAGTATTAGATGCTGGATGCGGACCAGGAATGCTAGCTCTCGGAGCTACACTCTTGGGAGCGGGTACAGTGATTGCAATGGACATTGATGAGAGTGCATTAGAAGTTCTACAAGAAAACATTGACGATACAGAAGTCACTAATATTGATCCAATTCTATGTGATTTCCTTGGTTCTAAAGTTTTTAAGTAAGTAATTTGTTGATTGCTTTTAAACAGCTACTTCAATTAACTAATATTATATGCAAAATAGATTGTTACTTATTTCTGATTGGACATATTTGTTATTAATCTCGTTTTAAGAAAATCAAAAGTAAATAAGAACTTAACCTGTCAACGACCGCCGAGCCACAGATGGCTCGGTTAACAATTAATTTCTTAGAATTTAACCGCAAGGTGTTATGGAATGCGAAAATTTAAAAAGTTATATTGTAATTTGTTTATTTTAGATGGGACAACTATTTTGATACAGTACTAATGAATCCACCATTTGGCACTAAAAACAATGCAGGCATAGATATGAAGTTCCTCAGAATGGGTTTAGATGTGTCCTGTGATAGTGTCTATTCTTTACACAAATCATCTACAAGGTATTGTTTGGATTTTTATTCTAAAGTATAATTAAAATTAGCAATATTCATGGAACAGTACCAATAAACTGAATATCCATATCTATATTGTCTTTTGTCTTATAGAGTGTTATGTCAAAGGTTTTGGTTTTGATTCTGGTAGGTTATGGTTGTATTAAACATATAAAAATGACATATTCTGGTAAAATAAATTGTAAAATTGGATGCTGTAATGTAACATACTATTCAAAAGGGATAGAACAGATAAGGACGTTATTTATAATAAGTTCTTTCTATAGCATCAAAAGTGTGTAAATATGAGCAATATACAAAAATACAAAAATGAATAAAAATTGGACTTAATATAAATTACAAATACATTATTTTTGTTACAGATCTCATATACAAAAGAAAATCAAAGAATGGGACGTAAAGGGTAGTATAATAGCTGAGTTGCGCTACAACTTGCCAGCCACATACAAGTTCCATAAACAACAGACAAGGGATATAGCAGTGGATTTATGGAAGTTACACCATCCACACTCATGAAATAATAATTTTTTTTTATATTGTTTACATACTGATAACCAAATGACAAGATGCAATGTACAATATGAACTAGTAATAAAAAATCAATTTAAAAAATATATATTTATTGTATATTATCAGTCTTCTTCACTTTATTTTAACAAAAATAGTACAAATAAGTTGTGAATGTGTATATATTATTTTTGTTATTTCATTTGTTTGTACAAAATTTGCAATGTTTGTATTTTTTTTTAAATTCAAATTTTTAATCACCCAATTAAATCGACAACGTCAGTTATTGGTAACAGATTAAAAATCACACTTATGTCAGTGTCAACAAATAAAAAAAACGTTAGTCATCTCCAAATTTGATGTTCTGTGCGAGTTTGATGGCGCCCGAGTAGTTGATGGTGACGGTGGAGCGGCGCATGTAGTTCTTCCAGCTGTCGGAGCCGCACTCGCGGCCGCCGCCCGTGGCCTTCTCGCCGCCGAAGGCGCCGCCCACCTCCGCGCCGTTGGTCGGGATGTTCACGTTCACGATGCCGCAGTCCGAGCCGTGCGGACCGATCCACTGTTTTATATAAATATGTTAATAAGTAGTGTTTATTGAATTAGTAGTACCAGTTTAGGTTATAAAATATGTTAAGCGCATAAGTACCTACCTACAAAATATATATTATAGGAAAGAAACTAGCGATAATCTAACTGCTGGTGAAAATACATATCAATCTTATAATATTAAAGGAGCAAATTTTATAATTATATAAGGTTTTGCCTTTTAAGTTTATCTAAATTGGTGTCTTTTCTGAAAAAACGTAATATTATATCTTTCCCGAAAAAATGCCGAGCGAAGCTCCGTCTCCCATGTACTATGTAATTATATAAGCGTTGAAATTTTAAAACTTTAATAAGGGTTGGGAATTAATAACCTATAACCGTTATTTATCTATTCGGGCACTAACGCGATGATATATAAATATAAGTAATAATTTGAAACGAGTACAACAACATGGATTAATAAACAATAAAGTACCTTGAACACATCACCCAAGTTCTCAGTAAAGAGACTGGAGGAGAGTCCCTGTTCCACCTCGTTGTTGTACCGGATGCCGGTGGCCAGGTCGGGGATCTCCACGCAGTACACGATGGGCGCGAAGCACTCCGTCTGCACCAGCGGCGAGTCGTGCGGCAGCCCCGTCACGATTGTGGGCTCCACGAAGTTACCTTCGCGTTCGATTACCTGAAAGTGTACAAAATTATATATACTGATATCTATTTATACACTATTTATGTTAGACATAGTATAGGTACCTACATATTTTTTTTAAATACATTGTAAGCTGCATGCTTTCTAACATACAGCTTCGCTAGGGTTCGTTTTTAGGTGCCTAACAATAAACCTATGTGGGTTTCATCCAAACTTGTTCAGTCGTTTTAGCATAAATAAAATATATAATACAAATACAAATAACATTTATAATAGTAGTTCGATATTGGAAAATTAACACAAAATACAAAATATCCACCTTCAGCCAGGAGGACCCGCTGTATATAAATCATACTTCGTGGACGTGTCGCGATCAAAAACTAATTTATTTAAGACGAATAAAGCTATAAAACCTTATTTATTATAACATTTCCAATACCTTTCCTCCAAATTCAATTTTGCCGCCTTGTTTCACAACCTCCGCAACTGTCTTCTTGTACGCCTCGAGAGCGGCCGGCGTGTGCAGAGGACCGATGAGCGTGTCGGACAGCAGCGGGTCGCCGATCTTACTGACCACGCCCGCGAATGCCTTCGTTAATCTTGATACCACTTCATTGTACACCTTTAAATGAAATAAATGATAAAAACGTGTCCATATTTAATACTAGCGGCTCACCCTCGCTTCGCTCGGGTTCGCCTCTGACAGATCGCGCGAAAAGGTAAAAAGATCTATTCCAAAGGAACCATTAATTTTTATGGTATAAAAAGTAATCTGTTATTTGACCGGCAAAAGGTATCAGCATGCCAAATTTGACTAAATTAGGTGCATAAGTTCTTGTGTACTCAGCTGTACTATAGTTTTTAACTATCCCACGGGAACTCTTTTATTTTCCGGGATGAAAAGTATCTAAAATGTTGACCGAGGATATAAGGCACCACCATGCAAAATTTCATTTAAGTCAGTCCAACAGCTTCGGAGATTAGCCCGTAAAAACAGAAACAGACCGAGAAACAAAAAAAAATCAAAGAAATCTGGATTTGTACTATTTCTCTTATCTATCTATCTATGTACATACATTTGACCTCTAAAGTTTTATTATATGTATAGATAGATTGTAAATACTGAACGAATTTACTGACCCCAGGGTATAATCAAAAGATAGGAAGTAAGAAGGTAATTAGAAAGAAAATAAATTAAAATGAGTTACGGCTCATATTTGATACTGAATGTCCATCATTGCAAAGAGCGTTAGTCTACTACGCTGGTTAAATGTGTGTTGGTGGACTTCATGACTTTTGGAAACTAGTTAGATTCATTCTGTCAGTTTTCCCACAATATTTTCCGTGCTAACAAATTGTATTACCCAATGGTAATAACTAGTACATAATATTATTAATTAGGGACGACTATGTGTTACATTAGGTCACAGTCTATCTATGATTTAAACATTCAAAATTCAAATCCTTCCAGCCGTTTCGACATGATGGCGTAACCCACATACACACACGAACGCCCGTACACACACACACTAACACGCGTGCACGCATGTGCACACACACCCACACATATGTAAATAGAAACCTTCGCATTTATAAAATATAACAGTAGTCCGAACCAACCTTCTTATGTATGAGCAGTCGGCGTGTAGTGGTGCAGCGCTGGCCCGCGGTGCCGGCGCACGCGAACAGCGCCGCGTTCAGCAGCAGGTCGAGGTTGGCGTCCTCGTTCACTATGATCGCGTTGTTGCCGCCCAGCTCCAGCAGGTGCCGCCCGAAACGCTTCTGCACTTCCACTCCCACCTGATGGCATATTGAGAATGCTGTGTTAGGTTTATATCTAGTGATCGCCCCGAGGTCGAAGAACGAATAACATAATTCAACTCATTCAATTAAGGATCGTCAATAATTAAACTATAAAATGCAATATATTTTTTTTAAATGAGGCCCATAGTTCAAATCGGAATCCAAAGATTAATTACTAGATAATTAGGTAATGTCTTTAAAAAAGGTAAATTCATAAAATAGTGGCATCTCTCATCATCTCTGAGTGTTGGTTTTTTGCGTTCTAAATCAGCCAATGGGGGAAAGCAAAATTTTTTTATTAAACAAAAAAATAAACTATTAGGTACCAATGGATTACCATGTTATAACGCAGTAACCAGTAGGTTAGTTAATTTTGTCTGGTTGGCGAATGTTTGTTGCTTCATTACTAAATACGTAATATACCAATCTAGTGTAAACAACACGTCATTAGACTGCGATAAGGGTAAAGCATGTTGGTTTTCTCATTTCACTCTAACAATAAGTAAAATAGTAGGTATGTTTGTTACATAGTATAAAATGAAGTCGCTTCCAATGTCTGTTCGCTTAGATCTTTTAAACTACTCAACGGATTTCAATGCAGTTTTCAGAAATGGATAGAGTGATTCAAGAGGAATTTTTATATGTATAATACATGCATATTATAGTAAAGAAAGCCAAGAAATTCAAAGATTTGTATTTCATTCCTACCACCCGTTAAAACGTACCTAGGGACGGACGAACCCGAGCGAAGTAAGGTTGAGTCGCTAGTATATTATATTTATTATTATACTCTAAGTAAAATAGACTTAATAAATGTACTTTGCTAGGCCCGGAGCTCGACTCAGGACCTTTGGATTTTTAGCCGTACATGCTAACCACTTTTTTTTATGTTGGGAAATGCATTTACGCATACCACCTGTAGACAAACAGGTAGTTATGTGGGACTCACTGGCTAGAAAATCCAGTACTACCCATTGAAACCCAAAAAAACCTCCCCCATCTTAATGGGGCGTCGCAGGATCGCTTACGCACACAATCACGACGCCCCAGCGGTAGGTCTGCCGAAGCAGAACCCAACAACCATGCACCAACGGTCTAGTTTGCCGTAAGAGAAGTACCAGGAGTAAACCGCATGGTACACCGGCCACCGTAGTGAGCCTTTGCGTCAAACTGAGATGACCGAGGTTAATGAGACCCCCCCCCCTCCCCCTCACAAGTTGTACTCAAATTGTTGGGGAAACATGCTAACCACTAATTGTCATATTTACCTGCTGTCCCACAGCAGTGCTGCCAGTGAAGGACACTAGCTTGGCCCTGTGGTCTTGCACGATGGCTTGCCCGACGTCCTTGCCGCCCACGCAGAGGGCCGCCACGGCGCCAGGGATGTTGTTTTTCACGAGCACGCTCTCGATTATCTTGGTGACGGCGACCGCGGTCAGTGGCGTCGTTTCTGATGGCTTCCACACACTCACGTCTCCACAAACCTTATCGATTTAAAATAAAAATATGAATGAATAAATATATTATTCCACGCTTGAGTGCTGTATTGTATTATGTTGTGTTCCGCGAGTCGCGACAGCATTAAAGCCCAAAAAGAAGGTTTTGACCTATAATTATGTACATAGATAGTATAAACTAAGAAAGGAATAAGTACTAGACAGATTCGTATGTATGTAAGTACATAATATGTACATCCGACCTATTTTTTCCTTGTAAATTCTAATTTGTCCTTAAATTCGGCTTCATAACGCGTAAATATCATAGGATAAATAAAACTACATAATATGTAATAGTACCTACTAAGCAGTCTCAATATGTCCTTGGTCCTAAATAGGTTAATTATTTAATCTAATGTAATACATTTTACTTCATTTTGTTTTTATCTTTTTAATTAGTATTTTACGCAGTACTACCTAAGATTTTTTGTTTGTAATTTTTTTTTTAAAGTAGGTAAGTAATTACTTACGTAATTTATCTATACATATAATAAAATTGTAACCAAGCCGAATAGAAAACATGTCAATATCTGTTTTGTCACGTGCCATTCAAGAACGGTTGGATTAATTTTCATATGACATTTTTATTTTAAACAAAAAGTATATGAATCTATACATATAATAAAATTGTAACTAAACCGAATCTGTACATTAAATATTTTTTGGAATATCATATTGAAATAGATATTATTATCGATACAGAAGCCGAACCTATAGTTTTTAGAATTTTTGTCTGTCTGTTACCGCATCATAGAAAAACCACGGGAGGGATTTTGATAAAATTAGGTATGGTGATAGCTGGTTATCCAGGTCAACATATAAGATACTTTTTACCGCGGGAAAATATCTCATTCTGAGAAAAAAATACAAAAACTGCATTGTAAGAGTATACTAATATGTAAAACCTAAGAATTTGGTTTTTGGTCATCTGAACGCGGGCGGAGCCGCGGGCAATGCTAGAACATTAATAAAGCAGAATTGATTCTCATTACATGAAATCAGAAACACAATACATATTTGTGTAACGATGTTTTCATCGTCGATTTCCTTAACGAAGAAAAATATAAGTAAGTAGGATAATCAAAATATACCGACATGGGGCCAAAATTATCACCAATAAAAAATAATATCTAAAAACTTAAATGATACATATATCGGTAGTCAGTTATCATTAAATAGTCCAAGTGATAATTTGATTAGATTATTACTACAAGTAAATATTCGTAATCACTTAGCAACTTGTAATCTCAATAAATCTTGACTCAGTGATCAAAACATTTGAGTAGGTAAGTATTTTATAAGTGGATGGATATCAAAATATAGCATTAAGGCATATTAACATATATTTAGTTACAACCTCAAAAAAAAACAATTGTTTTTTCATCCGCGCTTACAAACTATCATATAACCAGTTTTAAATTCAAATTGTAAATATTTTATTCTGCATTAAATTATTACAATTTTTTATTGAACGTCATGAGTCTACTAGTAAAAACTACTAAGTACTACTATAGTAAAAGATCGAAGAAGTTCTAAATGCGAAATCACGCAAGTACGGCTGAATGGATCTGGATGAAATTTGGCACAGAGATAGAATTTCTGGTATAGCACTTAGGCTACTTTTTACCCCGGAAAAATGTACGGTTCCCGTGGGATATCCATACTAACATACCGTTCTGAATCTAAATTTATATTCCAAGTAGATACACTTTATATCTAGTAAATTTTTTTATCAGTTTTATAAAGATTAATCTATACATATAATAAAATTCTGAGTCAAATCTGTACATTAAATATTTTTTGGAGAATCTTATTGAAATAGGATTATTATCGATACAGAGGCCGAATCTATAGTTTTTAGAATTTTTGTCTGTCTGTCTGTTAGCGCATCACAGAAAAACTACTAGACGGATTTTGATGAAATTTGGTATGGTAATAGCTGATTAATCGGGTCAACATATAGGATACTTTTTACAGCGGGAAAATATCTCATTTCTGAGAAAAAATACAAAAACTGTAATGTAAAAGTATACTAATATGTAAAACCTAAGAATTTGGTTTTTGGTCATCTGAACGCGGGCGGAGCCGCGGGCAATGTTAGTATAAAATATAATAATCAAACATTATGTTACTATAACTCACCATAGCAATAGCACTATTCCATCCGTAGACGGCAACGGGGAAATTAAAAGCACTAATAATGCCCACGAGACCCAGGGGGTTCCATTTCTCAATGAGCACGTGTCCAGGCCGCTCAGATGGGAAGATAGTTCCTGGCAATGTGCGCGACAAGCCAAGAGCCAAGTCGCAAACGTGGATATATTCCACAACTTCTCCTATAGCTTCGGGTAGGATTTTGCCTGATAAATGAAAATTATGATTCAAGGCGGTGAAGTACCTATAGTCGGTGTTTTGATTTTTATAGTGTAAAGATATTATTATACTTGCTAAACTTATACTCCCTAAGAGCTATAATCTGTACTCGTAATATTATAAATGTGTGTGTTTGTTTGTTTGTCCTTCTTTCACGTCGAAACCGGAAACGGAAATGACAGATTGGCGTGATTTTTTGTGTGGAGATAGTTGGAGGGCTGAAGAGTGATATAGGCTACTTTTTACCGCGGAAGATCATCTAATTCGCAAGGGAAAACAAGTTTAAGTATAATACAATCCAAAAAAATATTTATGATCAGTATTACTTGAAACTTAGTATTAATGCTTTTCAATAAAATTAATAAATACGTGTTTTAGCATTTTTCAAAATTCATCATGTAAGGGGGTAAAATTGTGGATGAAAGTTTGTATGAAACTACCTTTTTAGAGATTTTTTTTTAGTATTTGCGCGAGCGAAGTCGCGGGTTCTGCTAGTAATTTATAAATACAAATACGTATAGGCTATTACAAATGTGTACCTACATACGTGTATGTACATATTTGTGGATAGGTAAGATTAAATTCTGTATTGACTTTTGAGGTTTAGTTTATATTACCCATTTCTAATGAAACTAATTGTCCAAGAGGCTGCAACTTTTCCCTCAGTGCATCTCCGATTTGTCGTACAATCTCTCCCCTCGCCGGTGCCGGCAGCTCCGCCCACGAGTGCCACGCATCTTGGGCTGCTTTAGCGCAGGATTCGTAGTCAGATAGGCTAGCCGACTGTACCTCTGCGATCACTTTACCATTTGCTGGACTGTAGGATTGAATTACCTGTAAAAATAATATATTAATTACGATAAAAAAATCTATTTGTTTATTAATAATTTTCCAGGAGTTATCTATCTATATATCTATCGAACCTTTAACAGTTCTAGAGCAATAGTTAGAATGCGTAGCTGGAATAGATACTAAATACATTAGATTTACGATTTTTCTTAGGAGTTGGAGATAATATTTGATAGCTACAATATATCTTTCATACACACTGTTAAAATTCAGCACACTTATCCGAAACAATTTAAAAAATTAACTCACCTGTCCATTCGCTTCCCATTTTCCGTTAAACACTCCTACATTTTTCTTATCCAAACCCAAATCCTTCAAAAAGGAATATTTGGGATCTTCCACGAGGTAAGCAGAAGCGTTCCTAGCCATTGGCAGTCGTAAACGCAAAGCTATGACACGACTACAAAGTACACGACTCATCAGTGCGACCAACTCACGAATGTGATGCAAGCCTACAAAACTACGGAAGATAAAACAATCTAGTGTGTGAACAATAAAGGCGATACATAACGTACCGATATACATTATCGTTCTTTTACCGATAAGTCAGTTGCCGGGTCAGGGCTTTTATTAATTCTACAATTAATATATTGTATTCATAACACGAAGACAGCTCTTTTCATTGATAATATCTGATTTAAACAATAAGGTATAAAAAATCTTTAAACAACTAGTTAAGCAGAAACATAAAAGAAGAAAATCAAATTCAAAATATTAAAAAAAATCATTCTAAATCTTTTCTTATATTTTTAAACGAGTAATTCTTGTATATAAATATATACATATATGTAATCTGAATCTCGGAAACGGCTCCAATGATTTTCATGGAATTTAGTATACAGGGGGATTGGGGGCGATAAATCGATCTAGATTAGTCTTGTGTCTAAGAAAACGCATGTTTTCAAGTTTTCGTCCAGTTTTGTTTTGCATTATTTCACGTAAAATATGGTCGGTAATTTGCACGCTCGGGCATAAACATCATGGTTAAGTGGCCAAGGCGCAAGATTGTCAATTATAGGTGTCCGGGTTCGAATCCCGGTCGGATACAAAGGTATAATTTGTTTTTTTTTTGTATTTATTCAAGTTTTTAGTTTAAAAAAAAAATTGTACTTTTGACCAAAAACACCGAGCGAAGCTCGGTGGCCCAGGTACTTTAATTAAAATAACGATGCATTTTATGACAAAATCTTTCATAAGAAAATGTCCTGTTACACCTAAAAGTTAGTCATTACTCATTTAAAGTTAACTGGTAGTATGAATTAAAATATTTCACAAAAATATTAAATATCATAAATGTGATAGTGTGTTTGTTTGTTTGTCTTTCTTTCACATTGAAACGGAGTGACGGATTGACATGATTTTTTGTGTGAAGATAGTTGGAGGGCTGGAGAGTGACATAGGCTACTTTTTACCGCGAGAGATAATCTCATTCCCACGGGAAAACACGTTGTAATACAACCCATAAAATTATTTATGATCAGAATTATTTGAAACTTGGTATTATTTGAATATTGCTCTTCAATACAATTAAATAAATACGTTTTTTAACATTTTTCGAAATTCATCCCATAAGAGGGTAAAATGGGGGTGAAAGTACAAACTTTCACCTACCTATGATACCTACTTTTTAAGATAACTGCCTCGGTGGTGTAGTGGCTAGCAAGTACGGCTGCACACCCGGAGGTCTTGGGTTTTACTTATGGAGTCTTTCTGTATAGTAAGCCTCAATAACAGCCCGGAGTTGGGAAGTTGGCGGTGTCTCACCCCCGTGCCTCGGAGAGCACGTAAAGCCGTCGGTCCTGCGCCTTAACTCTCACTGGTCGTATCGAGCAGTCGTCCCACCGGACTATAAATGTGACAGGAATAGAGAGAGCCTTTGTGTCTGCGTGTACACTTGTGCACTAAAATATCTCCTACGCAGTTGGCTAGTCTCAATGAGATTGGCCGCCGTGACCGAAATCGGTCAGGAGAACATCATCACTTTTTTAAGAGTTTTTCTGCAGTTTTAGCGCGAGCGAAGCCGCAGATTCTGCTAGTATAAGATAAATTTTATTTACTTTCTAAGAAAAACTACATTTAACAATAAGGGCACAATGTATCTGATATTCTATTAATAAATAATGTTTGTAATTGTGATAATATTTACAGATAAAAGAAAATTACGTTCACAACACACAGTACATTATTGAAACACAGCATATTTCATATCTTATGTTTATTTTACAAATAAACTTTGTACATTACTGGCAGTGAAGTGATACCGATGTATACCTTCATTAAGCTATCTATTTTTCCAAAATAAATTAATCCACTAATAGTAAGTGAGGTAACAACTGATCACTTAAAGTTTATTACATTATGACACATGAACTACTTGTATTTTCATCTGTGCCTTCTCTCATTTGTTGGGCCATTTGTGCAAGATATGTGTTTTCATCTCTCTTGGCCATCCAGTCTGGTAAAGGACCTGCCCAATCTTCTGGTGGGGATTCTCTTTTTTTCCATACATCATTTTGATAATGGGCTCTTAATCTTGTCATTCTTCGAATCTTTTCACTTTTAATCACAGCTTGCTGTTAGTAAACATAAATATTAGATAATAAATATTTAAAACATTTTTAATATGATTATACCAAAAAGAGTTTAAACTTACTGCAGCCTTAACATCTTTATTATCAACCCATTTCCGACAGTTGTCATAATCTCTCTTCCAGGGGTTGCAATCTAATGATTCACCATATATAAAATATTGATGAAACCTTGCCTTATAACTAGTGCACTCATCATATTCATCTTTGTATATCTCACAATCTCTGATCTAAAAAAAAGTTTTACTTAATAATAAATCCATTTGACACTAATAAAGATTTTTATTCAAATATTTATTTTGATAAATGAAGTCATGATTAAATTCTAATTCATAATTATTATTCTTTTTAATTATATTATACTAGCGACTGACCCTCGCTTTGCTCGGGTTCATCCCTAGGTTGCTTCCCCATACAAACATTCACCCCCATTTTTATCCCCTCAAGGAGTGATTTCCGGGATAAAAAGTATCCTATGTCCTTCCCAAGGTCTTGAACTATCTTCTTAGAAAATTTCATCTAAATCGGTTCAGTGGTTTTAGAGCCTATTTGATACAAACAAACAAACAAATTTTTCCTCTTTATAATATTATATATAAGACTAGATGTACACAAAGTACATTAATGCACTATTGACCATAGCATTAGGAATATGCTGTTTTAAGATGTAACTTTTTATGACAATTAAGAATATCCAGTTTCAAAGGACACAAATGAGTTTTTGCAATTAAACATTCATCAGTCTCTCAATAAATACTTACTAGCCATTTTTCAGAAGGATCTATTGATGCAGGTACTTCTACACTGCTAGCTTCCTGTGATTTTTTAGGATCTTTGAAATCTTCACCTTTCTCTTTTAAGTTATCCATGTCTATTATTTACATTAATTGTAATTATAAAATAAAAATATCTAATATCTAGTTAAATAGTTTTCCGGTATTCTCAACATAAATGTTGAAATTGTATTTTGTATAGTTGTTTATTATATAATACTTCTTCACTTACTTTAAAAGAGATCCTGTAAGAAAGTTGTCCAAATACGTATCGTTATAATTATAATATTAATTTAATAATTGATCTTTATTATTCAATTACATAATAAAATATATTTGTAAATTTTAGGCTAGAATTATAGGTTATATTTCAATGTCAAATTTGACAAATATTTTTTTTTCTTTAGTGGCAAAAATGCGTTAAAGAAAAAAAATTGCTCTTTTTAAAATCAGTCATATTATGCTGCGTACACACCGACCCAACGAATGACCTTCTTTGGACGACTTAGCTAAAAAGGGTTACATACTCTATGGACCTAACGAACGCCAACGATCGTTCGTTAGCGTGTGCTTGCAATCCGAAGCGTGGCGGTAACATCAAAGAAATCGAGACATTAGATCGAACTCAGTGTAGAGTAAAAATGTTCCTTGGTGAAGAGTGTAGGCGGCCACCAAAGACTAACGAACAAACGGATTGCTTCACGATAATTTGTATCTTTTTTTAATATTTCTGGTCCAATACTATTCAAAATCCTGAGAAGACATTCTGCTAAAATTGTCAAATAAACGATGTTCTTTTTCTACTTGTAAGTCTGCAATCATTTTATTTCCACCATATACATTTCTATTCTTAAATTAAGTGATTGTCCACCATTCTCCGCTTTTGTCCAATTATAATTATTTCGTCGTCGTCCATGATCAAATTGCGATTTAAGCCGGAATCAGGCCAACGAACGTGCGATAGCCAATTTTCAAAGTCCTTCGTTGGCGTTCGTTGGGTCAGTGTGTACCCAGCATAAAAGGAATGCAGCTAACTTCATCAATTATCATTTCGCTTTTTGGCTGTTGATATGTGCGCGCATCCTAAAAATTTTAGTCTCATATTTTTTCCAAACGTGCAAAAAGAAGCACAACTTCAACAAGTGTTATTTATGCTTTAGGGATATTAATTGATCAAAATAGTAAAACATTTAATTATTTTATATATAATTTTCTCTTTGCAATGTGTATAACGTTTTAAATAATCATCAATCTGTATAAAAACCAAAATTAATATAGTAGGTTTATGGTACCTACTTAATTTTTTATAGTACCAATAGATAATAGGTATACTCTATGGTTTTAAAATTATAGATCTATGAATCTATCTATAATTGTCATCCATCATCCATGGTTTAATCTTTTTACATGTAGCAAATAGCAATATAATCTATGGTTTAATCAAATCAATACCTACTCAATAATCATCAATCACATAGATGTTTTAATATGTAATGTTGTTATGACTTGCTTTATCAAATATACTATTTGGTGGCAATTTATATTGTTTGTGCATTTGTCTCTGCTCTCCGTGACCTTTGTACATTAATGAACTCTTATAAATTCGATTAATATAATTAAAAAGTGTTTAAACTTTGTCATATTTAGCGTATAGAATTTAAAAAATGTCTTTAAATAAACTAATTGGAGGAGATTGTGGAGGTAATAATTCGCTCGTTCAACTTACTAATATTGTAAGTCGTGATGCACCAATTACGCAGAACCTCTCTCAAGCTGATCGATTTGTCAATGAGTTTATGTCACAAAATTCTCAACACCCACAAACCTTTAATATGAACGCTTTACTGAACAATATGCCTGAAGTAGAAAAAACAATTCCTCAAGCTGGGCAACTGCCTTCAACAAGTCAGATACCTCATGTAAGTTCACAAAGACATGCTCCTTGGTTAGCTGGACCATCAACATCATTCATGCCGGCTTCAATGAGATCATTTAATATGCCTTACGCACCTTCATTTCAACCACAAACTTCTTCTAATGTTCAAATTCAATATATGAACGAGTCTGACTTAGAGAACACATCAGATACTAATGTTAAAGCAAAAGCACAAGAGTATGTAAATAGTGTAAAACAAGATGATGAAGTCGCTTACAATGAATTTATGTCCTTTATGAAGAGGATAAGTGCTGGTGAATTAAATTTAGGTGAAGCAGTTGAAGGGGAGCAGAAAAAAATGACTAAAGATGAAATAGTAGAAGAGATGGCTGAAAAATATAAAGATGAATGGGCTAAACTTAGTAACATTGATGAATATTGGGACACTGAAACTGCTAATGGTATCGCAAAGGAATATTCTTTTACAGAAGGAAATATTATGTTAGAAAATAAAAGTGCTTTAGAAATTGGGAAAGAAAAATTAAAAGTGGGAGACATTCCAGGTGCTGTGCTTTGTTTTGAAGCAGCAGTACAACAAACGCCTGATTCAGCAGAGGCTTGGTTCCTTTTAGGAAGTACACAAGCAGAAAACGAACAAGATCCTCTAGCAATAACTGCATTAAAGAAATCTCTAGAATTAGATCCTAGGCAATTAGAAGGTTATATTACATTAGCAGCAGCTTATACCAATGAAAATATGTCCAAATATGCATACTTATCATTAATAGACTGGTTAAAGGCTAGTCCAAAATACAGTGATATGTTTCCTCAAGATATCAATGTTCAAAAGATGAATCTTAAGGAACTTGAAGCATATGTGACATCTTTTTACCTAAAAGCAGCACAGCTTAATCCTTCTCAAGTTGATCCTGATATTCAGAATGCATTAGGTGTTATTTTTAATATAAACCAGCAATATGACAAGGCAATTGATTGCTTTAAGGCAGCATTAATGGTGTCACCAGACAATGCTAAACTATGGAACAGGCTTGGAGCCACACTGGCTAATAGCGACAGATCAGTTGAAGCAGTTGATGCATACCAACAAGCACTAAATTTAGAACCTGGTTATATCAGAGCTAGATTTAATGTTGGCATTACATGTATGAATTTATCAGCTCACAAACAAGCAGGAGAACACTTTTTGGTTGCATTAAACCAGCAATATAAGGCTAAAAGCATGTTTCCAGGCACAACGTTGGCTGATCCTAGTTCTTCAACAATTTGGACAACATTGAGGATGGTCTGCTCTTATATGGGGGAGCATGACATTGCCAAACTAGTTGATGAAAAAAATTTAAGTGAACTCAATAAATTCTTTGAAATTGATGCTTAATAATATTCTATATTATTGATAACATAATATAATAATATTATGATAAGCATAATTGCATGTGATATTTTATAGGCAATGGGCAATATATGTATATAAGTTAAATATAATTGGATATAGATATTGTTATATTTTTTATATTTTTGGTAATAAAGTTATGAGGATAATTGTATGGTCTATTATTATTATAAGAAACTTAATTATATACTGGGTGGTACAAATGGAGATGGATCTTGGAAGAAAAGTACCTTAAATATTGAAGTTATCAAGATTTACTCAAAGGAAACATTTCTTTATTTTCAAAATAATAACAACTGTATTTTGTTTTTTTTTAAAGCTTACGAGAACTGGGAATTGAACCAAATAAAAATGCAAAAAAGGACACAGTCACTATTTTATGAAATTAATTATTCTGGTCTATGGTAAGGATAAAAGCTCTCGACAAACATTGCATCTTAAAATTAAAGAAAACTATGTTATCATATAAATTGTATATATTGACTCTAACATTGTGGAGCATACATACATACAGGACATAGAAGAAGTGGCCTTAATACTGAAAATATCAAGTTTCACTCAAAGGAAACATTATTAAGTTTTTAAAAATAAGATTTAATTTAATAATAAGAATAAATTCAATATTAAGGTACTTTTCTTCCATGTCCCATTCATTTGTTCCACCATGAATATACCACTGGTGACTCGCCCTCGCTTCGCTCGGGTTCATCCCTAGCTTGCTTCCATCAATACAAACTTTCATCCTCATTTCCACCCCCTTAAGGAAAGATTTCTGGGACAAAAAGTGTTCTATGTCCTTCCCAGGATCTCAGTTCTTCATACCAAATTTCATCTAAATCGGTTCAGTAGATTACCCCCTACAACGACACAAACTTTGCCTCTATAATAGTATAGACTGGATAAATTAATAATAATAATATGTTGGGACATTATTATATTTTTGAAAAGAAATATCAATTGTATTTGGCATATAGTACATAAAACCATAGTTTTACTGATTTTCATGTAAAAAACTGCACAGTGAATTTTCTAAAGGACACCCTTGTGGATGGTTTTTATAAAACCAACACTGTTTGACTTTAATTTTTAAAGTTTCATTGTTTTTCTTTCTTTTGTTTTTCATCATTTCATCTACAGTTCTGGGATACCTTAACTGCACTGTGCCATTTCGAACCTCAAAGATACTATGATTATTTTTGAGTAAAGTCTGTAGTCCACCACATTCAGATTTTAAGATTTTTAAATTATCAGGTGATATAAGTTGAACAAGTTCATTTATTTCAGCTTTTTTGCCTCTTGACCAATTTTGCTCTAAATTACAATCTTCAAGCAAAAAGTTAGTAATTTGTTTAACTATTATGTCAATAGTACTCTTATCTATCTGTGTGCAATTTTTTACTTTTTCTATAGCTTCTCTAGTTTTAAAATCACTTAGATTAGTTGCGTCTTTTCCTAAGCCAATATCTTCATTAACTAAGTCTTGGATTAAAGTAATTTTATTTATATGTTCATTTTCATTGTAACTTCTTGTTTGACCAACAAAGCATATTCTTTTTGTACTTGGAATTTTCAATCTGTCTACTTGTGTCTCAAATCCACAATATTCACATAGTTCTTTTATATGTTGCAAATATTCTGTGTATTGGCTTTTTGATGAATCTTTTCTTCTATATTTAGTACCATCAAAGTTATAAGCACAGCAAGGTAGGAGGAAGAACTTACAGTTATAGGAAGATTTTGCTGCAATTACTGGTATCCATGGTGTAAGTTCGTCAGAATGGTTACCAATGACCCAGTCTACTTTGGAAAATATATCTATGTTTAAAGGAGTTATGGTATATTCCTGGAAAATAAATATACCAATGTAAGAGCACATATTATTAGATAAATTATATTTGTATGATATGTATTTATAAAACAAATTATAACATAAACATCACTAACTTTTAATTCAACTTTATCAGGATACATATCCCATATTTTCCTTTTTCTTACATCAACTCCAAATCCAGTGTGTCCTTCCATAATCAATATATAAACAAGAAGTCCATTTCCACAACCAATATCAGCAAATGTTTGAGGGTGACTGTAATCTTCCCATAAGAGCAGTAAATATGTGGCAATAGCTACATCTTCATACACAAACTTTAATGGATCTGTACTCTCTGGCCAGATCTAAAATAAAATAATGTAAATTTGAAAATTAAAATCAGATGTATGTGGTAATTTTATGTAAAAAATACTATTTTATACCTTAACCATCTCTTTTCCATACTTCATTTTAAGAAGGTTGTATTTTGTGTAATACTTTTCATTTCCAACAAGTGCTAAAGATTCACTACAAATAGGTACTGGCTTTGTAGATAATTCTTCACTCCACTTTATAAGTTGGGGTAAGACTGTATCTTTCAACCAAAAATAAGACTTCATAGTATTGTCTGTAAAAGTAAAAAAATAATATTATAATTTATACATGAAATATTAGAATTAATATGATGTATAGACAAACGAAACTGACCAGGACTGATTAAAATAATTTCATTATCTTTTAAGAGGAAACTATACGGAAATGTTGGACATAATTTTTGTGCAAGTTGTTGAGGTGTAATATCATAAAATGTTACTTTTTTCTTAAGTTTATTGATACAAATCATTTGAAATGCATGTGATTCAAAGTAACTTTTAGGAAGAAGTTCTAACAACATAATTTCTAATTCAGCTGCATGATCAGTAATTTGAAAATTATTTTTTTGGGATAGTTCATTAAGAAATTCTTCCGTATTTGTAACTATTTTTAATTCATATTTTTCAAAGTTGTCATCCCAACCACAATTTTTTGTTTTAATATAATGTTTCTTCAAAATTGTCGAACCCCACAACCTTTTATTTACAACATGAGATTTTGTTATTAATATATTAATAGACTGCCAAAACTTTTGGTCACTAATGGTTTTTGATTTTCTATCGGTCCAGTCTTCCATTTTAATGGATTCTTAAATAACTTTATAAACAAACCATGGATGATTTGCCATAAACTGTAAAGAAATTCCATAAACTGTAAAAAAATAGATATAAGTATTTTTAATTGTAAAATATATTCAATTCTTTGTTATTTGGCTTTTAGGCATAAAATATAATTCCATTCAATATTTTTATTTCGTGGCTTCTAGGGACTAGGAGTGCCAGTTCGGCACAATTTATTTAATACTTTGCCAATATATCACGTAGAAATAAAATAAAAATATATAAGTTCTAAGACTTTGAAATAGAGCGGTAGAAGTTAGAACCATATAATATATATATTAATCATAATATTAATTAATATGTTTATTGTTTATCTAGTAAATACTCTGAGTAGATTTTATAAGTTATGTGTCATTTTGCCATTTTTTTGGCAGTTGGCACCATTATAAATTATAATGTTGCTAGAGACGTTGGTGAATAGTGAATACTGAATGGTGTTGTTTTTTTAATTCATGCATTGTTTAAAGTGTGAAAGGCGTAGATAACTGTAATATAATCGTTTTTTTTAATCTTGAGACATAAATAATTTAACGCCGCTTCATATTTTTATACTTTATTACATTTGCATTTGATTTATTTAACTATATTAAGAAAATTATTTACTTAGGTTATTACAATATCTCATTTATTAATTATAAAATTACTAAAGGCTTTATTTTCCCAACGAGAACATTGGTAGGTATAATAAATTTATTATTCCTGAATCCTGAGTCTAACTTAACAACTTGTCACTCTTACTTGTCAGGTGTCATTTTTTAGTTCACGCTGACAATTTACGTCATATTTGGAATTTCAAATAATTTAATTCAAGTAATTTTTGAAAGCCGCTTTTGTATTTAAATTTTATTACACATTCATTATTTATGTTAGCGTTAAAAACATTCTCAACAATCTATGTAGGTAATGTCATACACTGAGCTTGAACATGGATATCAAGGGTTGCGACAAGCTACTCAGCCACAGTTTTACGTCGGCGATGATGGAAATCTTGTCCCAATAAGATCTCCTGTGAGTACGTACACACACAATGTGTAACAATGAAATAACAAAAAGTATCAATATTTTGTAACACATTTTCCTTATGAGTCACATTGTCTTACATGGTTTTCGGACATTTGAACTAGACCTTACTTTATGCTTTAGTACTAAAATCAATATTTGAAAGTCTATATGAACAGATAATCTCTCATTTGCTAGATGTAAATGAAATAGTAACAACATATGGCAAACATGGTTAAATAAACATATGGAGCATTATATAGGCTTCTGATATTTTGTTTACTATCAAGAACATAGAGTTGTGTTATTTATAGCCTCCAAAATAATGACAATGACAAGTGAGGTAACATACATGCTAATTTGTGTCAAGAATATCTTGGTTATCATGTGTTATGTAGTTCTAACCAATCATTTGTGAGTTCACTTATACTACTTATCATAAAATTGTATATAATTATGATAATGCTATGATTGTGAATGATGGAGTGGCAGTGGCTTAAGGACTGGTGGCGTTTAAAAAGATGGAGAAATAAAAAAAAGAAGGAACAAAGTGATGATGAAGTTTGCTATTGTGATGATTGTCTGCCCGATGTGAGCTATGGTTGAAGAATTACTTTTCAGTTCTATCACATTATTGTTGTTACAATATTTAATATTTATGGTTTATCTTGTTATTACATCACATAATATGTAAAAAGTGCATGCATTAATTATTGAAGGAATTCATGTAAATAATAGCAATTGTTTGATGTTTTCCATTTTCATATTTGCTTAATAAATTATATATTTTTATATCTCATATATATTCCATAATAATATTTGAAATAATATGTTTAATGCTAATGAATTTAAAAGTTCTTTAGTCAAATGAATAAAGTTAATGTAGAGTTTTTCAATTTTAACACATAAATAAAATGTTTACTTCTTCATAGTACAAAAACTGCTTAACCAAACAATAATATAGAGGTTTTAATATAAAGTGCTACATGCTTCAAATTGTTTATAGATAAAAAATAATTTTAATGTATGTATATAGAATTTTATATATACAATGTGGAACACTACCATAGGGCGAGTTGGATCTGTGCGAGTCTCTAGACCCACACGAGGATGGCGGGGGCAAGAAGGTGGTGGTCGGCGTATGCGCCATGGCCAAGAAGTCGCAGTCCAAGCCAATGAAGGAAATCCTCACCCGCCTGGATGAATTTGAGTTCATTAAGATGCTTGTCTTCCCAGAGGAGGTTATCCTTAAGGTTCTGCTCAATATCTAACATCTAGTGGAACAAAATAGCTTTCATGCTTCGCATTAAGTATGTCAAATGTCACATTGTGAAGTATTATTTTGTTTCACTACTATACATTTTACAAGATTTTTATATTAACCTAGCACAAGTGTGGAACTCCCATGGCCGATTTCACCAACCCTAAGCATGGTTAATCTCCTAAGCATGGTTAGGGGGCTGTTAGGGGACAGTTTCTGTTTCAACGAAGTTAGGGGTCACATAAATGTTAAAATGCCACCTAAATATACATGGGTACTAGAATTACGGGCTCTGACGTTGGTAAAACGAAATTTAATTTAGAGGCTAGTTTAGGGTAACTTTTAAGCTAGGGATCCCATACATAGGTGGAAGCTTATGGGATGTTGGTGAAATCGGGCATCAGTCTTATAATAGTTTGTATATTAGTTTATATCTTTCTGCATGAGATTAATTCGAGCAGCAAAAATAGGTTTTTGTAATGGATAAGGTTTCATTCAATTTCAGTAAACTTTGCTTTAAGTGCTTGGGTCGTGTTGCATGTTTAATTCTGGAACACTTGTATTAATGCGCTTGTTTTATATTTCGCGCTTAGAACCGGATGGGTTAGGATTAAGGAAGTATTTAAAATTTACAGACGCCGGTTGAGGAGTGGCCGATTTGCGATTGCCTTATATCATTTCATTCGAAAGGCTTCCCTCTCGATAAAGCCATTCAGTACGAAAAATTAAGGAAGCCGTATGTGATCAACAACCTTCACATGCAATATGATATTCAGGTAATTTATCTAACATTGTTTGCTCTAACTAGGTTTCTCCTATCTGTCGCTATCTTTGTTTAATGTGTAAACCATAAAATATGTCACCACTTTATATAGTAACAACTTATATGATAATAATGATTAAATCTATTTAATTGACCTAAATCTTTGTATTTTGAATGAAATTAATAATGACTACTAGATACTTCAAAGCAATTTTTTATAAACATTCATTTTATAATATATATTTTGTAATATACAATTATGGTTGGAATAATATTAAAATAAATTAATAGAGAGTATTTTATTTACTTATTTTGTATAAACATACAAAATAACTAAATAAAAGGCAACTAATAAAATGATTTTTCTAAAATTAAAATCTATAAATTGTTTCCTACTTAACTAAAAACTGAGCTGCATGACAAAATTTAAAAACCTTTCAGGATCGTAGAAAAGTATATGCAATATTAGAAGGCGAGGGGATCGAAATACCACGTTATGCAGTATTAGATAGAGACTCTCCCGATCCCAAGCGTAAGTATCAGATATAATTGTAAAACTAATGAATTAATGAGATGTTAATGATAGTTAAATTACTAATTACTACTATTGGGAAATTTTGTATGGGCGTGTGAATGTTTTTACTCCTTCAGGCTCAAATGAGTGGCTGGATTTGAATGAAATTTAGCAGATTTATAACCGGGAGTATTAATCTAGTAGTATAACATATTTTTGTTATTTACTATATACCTACAATTTGTAAAATAAAAAAATAAAAATTTAAAGCCTCCACTTAAAGAAAATCTATTTCATATGAATGAGCACATCTTAGTATCACAAAAACTGAGTCTCAAACCTTTGAGCAATATTTCCCTAGAACATTTGTATTTACTGAACAGACCACGAGCTGGTAGAGTCCGAGGACCATGTGGAAGTCAACGGCGTGGTGTTCAACAAACCCTTCGTAGAAAAGCCGGTGTCAGCGGAGGACCACAACATATACATATACTACCCTACATCCGCGGGCGGTGGCAGCCAGCGACTCTTTAGAAAGGTAGCTTAAATATTAATACTAGCGTCGTCCCTATATATTGTACGTCGACTATATGTTATAGTATATATTGTATATATAATATTATTATATACATAGGTATGATTCATTTTCATAACTTTAACTTGATAAATGATTGATTCCCCATGCAAAATTTCATCCCCCCCTTTTACCTCTTTAAGGGATGATTTCTCCTTCCCCGGATCTCTTATATGTTGATAGCAAATTTCATCTAAATAGGTTCAGTAGTTCCAGAAATTACTTCCTACAAACAAACTCATAAACTTACAAACTTTATGTCTTTATAATATTAGTATGAGATTATATAAAAAAGTTATTATTAGTCTCAAGATAAAGGTCTACGGTATGTGAGTGGCTACATCTGGCAGAGATGTGGCCGCTCACGATGGGTCTCATAGGAAATCTTAAGATCACCCAGAGGGCAATGGAAAGGGAACTCCGAGGTTTCTTGCGAGAAAGAATCGGGAATGAAGAGATACGCAGGAGGACCAAGTTCACCGAAACGTCCCTCCGAATGTCCTAGCTCAAAAGGCAATGATCGGGGCATATTGCTCGTAAATAAAAATATGGGCTGCCGCCTACAGGAAGGCGAAGGGTGGGCCTCCACGACCGACGACTTGGTCAATCTTGTTGGAACTAGGTGGATGCGGATGGCACGAGACCAGCAGTCGTAGTAATATTTGGGGGAGACGTAAGTCCAGCAATGAACGCTTTTCGGCTGAGATGATGATGAGTAATTAGATTTTTTATAATTACGTTATTATAAATGTATGTTATGAGTGAGTATGTTGTTATATTGTATTTATGCTGAACTGATTTCCTGTCTGAATTGATTTCCAATGGAGGTAGGTGCTAGCTTCTATTCGGGATTAAGTACTTTTTACTATCAATTGTTAAGATAAGACAATGTAGTCAGCCTAGTGTCTCCTAATGCCTTATAAAATAAGTCAAATTCACTGGCTGTGGCTTCCTTATTATTACACATTATATTTGTATTTTACTTACGCTATATAATGAACAAACACCGTAGCATTTCAAAAGAGTACAATCTTGACCCTTTGGTTACGAAACCCTAAGCAAAAGAATAATAATGTACACGCGTTATATCACTGTTTTAGCGATAAGGCCGCCTCTTGTACACAGCTCTTTTTATATTCTTTTTGTACATTTTTTTGTTGAAGTACAATAAACTGTATTTATTATTATTATTATATGAATACACTTTTTACAGATCGGAAGCCGCAGCAGTATATATTCGCCGGAATCAAGAGTCAGGAAAACGGGTTCTTTTATTTATGAAGATTTTATGCCCACTGATGGTAAGACAAAGACGTGCATACGGTTGACCGTTTTCCTTTGATTTTTTAATTAACCACTTGACTAAATATTAGAAATAGGTTGAAATTGACTTTCAAGATTTGATTACATTAGGTTATAGTTATAAATGAATAGCTTCAAAAAGCGTGTTAAAAAGGGTGAATAAATTCACAGAGGTCCTCACTCCTCAATAAATAAAAAAATATTTTGGGACATTAATACACAGCGCCATCTAATTTCATGGCAAGCTACGAGGCCTGTGTTATGGATACCAGATAGTACACATATATAAACTTTAAATACATACATATTATAAATATAAACACCCATGAATGTAGTACAAGCTTTAGTGCTCATCACACAAATGAATGCCCCCAGCGGGACTCTAACCCGCGACCGCTGGCACAGCAAGTAGGGTCACTATACAACTGAGCCAAACTTGTCGTCAAATGATCAGTCCTTAGAGGTATGTGGCAAGACACGGCACTTTCCAACAGCGCTGCCGAAATAAGACATTTTCCCGCGGTAAAAAGTATCCTATATGTTGACCCGGCTAACCAGCTATCACCATACCAAATTTCATCAATATCCCTCTAGTGGTTTTTCTGTGATGCGGTAACAGACAGACAGACAGACAAAAATTTTAAAAACTATAGATTCGGCCTCTGTATCGATAATAATGTCTATTTCAATAAGATTTTCCAAAAAATATTTAATATACAGATTCGGCTTAGTTACCATTTTATTGTATGTATAGATAATAAAACATGAATAAATTATTTTAAAAATATTATTTTCGGGTATTCCGCTCATGTTTATCGTTGGTAGGATAAACCTGGTATTTTGGGGTTAATTGGTCGGGTATATCAAGGAGTGTTACCTGGCAGCGCCGGTTCCCAGGTACAGACGTGAAGGTGTACACGGTGGGGCCGGACTACGCGCACGCGGAGGCGCGCAAGAGCCCGGCGCTGGACGGCAAGGTGGAGCGCGACTCCGAGGGCAAGGAGATCCGCTACCCCGTCATACTCTCCAACCAGGAGAAGCTCATCTCGCGCAAGGTGTGCCTCGCCTTCAAGCAGACCGTCTGCGGGTTCGATCTCTTGAGGTTTGTCGCTCACGTTTTTTTATGGACTTTTAAAATTGTAGTATTTTAATCTTTGTGTCACTTAAAAATTTTATTTAAGAAAGAATTTACCCCTAAAATAAATTAATGACATTTAAATTGACTTTTAAATAATATGTGTGTTAAAAAGTGTTCAAATACTTTATAAATTATTACAGAAATTGAATTGCAACTTTTATTTTATTCATTATTTCAGTCGCTTTCCAGCTTGGTCGGTTAGCCTATACTCTGTAGGCAACGATAAAAACACAGGATTTTAATGTTTTTTTTTTAATAAATATTAAATGGAGTAATTAATACCTGAACAATTAAATGATTCACATAAAAGGTATTAATTTTATAAATATTACACTTTCATACTTTCTTAGATTTATGCGAATATTTGACATTTTAAATAAAACTATCTTTTCGGATTATTTCGCGGATTTATTTTGATTTTTGGTTCCCGAATTCGAATGCTTTACAGCAATATGGTCACAGGAGAGACTAAGGTTTTAGACGTCTGAAAGGCTATTTTACAAAAATGATTTCGAAAATTCAAAAATGGCACCAAAGTACCTTACAATATTTGTTGATTTTTATTTCTAAACATTCTAAAAAAAATATATAATTATTATAATTGAATATAGCAACATTATTCATTTAATTTTAGCTGTTATTATTATAAATATTACAATTTTTTTTAAAACTTTATTAATTACTAATATTATTTAGTGTTGCTTATTATTATATTAATTATATCCATAAAGACCATTAAAAAAGTTAAAAATAATTATTATTTATTTAAGCAATATAATTGTTTAACATGTAATTTAAAAGAAGTTAAAACATTAATTTAGATTGCTATTATTTGAAGTTATAATATTAAACAACGGTATAAACACCTTTATAAACAAAAATATTAATTAGATTTATTTTATTTAAAATATAACACTTTGCTCAGACATTGAAAGAACCAAATCAAATCAAATCAAACACTTTATTGCGAACTTGGGTTAGTACATACATTTAGATTTTGATAATAACATATTTAATGTTCAGCCAAATTCAGCCTTACAGCATGCAATATTTCAATAATTAAAATATACCTAAAATTACAAACGTTAACATATATTACATAATGACATATTATTCAGTATTATGTTTAACTTCCTGTGTAATGTATGTATAGAAATATACAAGAAAATATGAATACAATATAAGAAGTTTATTATTCTCTATAGATTGTTCTTAACGTAATTAATCTTTAGTATCTCGATGGGCATAAATAAAACAAAAGAAAAAATTTGCATAATAATATACATATATTAATACAATCATAATATTATACTATATAATATTTAATGTATTTATAATTAGAAGCTTGAATAACGATTGTGTGTCTGTCTGTCCATGTGACAGTGATTCAATTAATCGTTTGCATGAAACGTGAACAGTTCACAACCTTAAGAATTCCCTTATTTTATTTATTGATAACTACCATTGCCCGCGGCTCCGCCCGCGTTCAGATGACCAAAAACCAAATTCTTAGGTTTTACATATAAGTATACTCTTACAATGCGGTTTTTGTATTTTTTCTCAGAAATGAGATATTTTCCCGCACTAAAAAGTATCCTATATGTTGACCCGGATAACCAGCTATCATCATACCAAATTTCATCAAAATCTGTCCAGTGGTTTTCTCGTGATGCGGTAACAGACAGACAGACAGACAAAAATTCTAAAAACTATAGATTCGGACTCTGTATCGATAATAATGCCTATTTCAATAAGATTTTCCAAAAAATATTCAATGTACAGATTTGACTTAGTTACAATTTTATTATATGTATAGATTAAAAAGTCGAATGCTACTGCACTTGCTTTGTTTCACCAGAGCGAACGGCAAATCGTTCGTGTGCGACGTGAACGGGTTCTCGTTCGTGAAGAACTCGAACAAGTACTACGACGACTGCGCCAAGATCCTGGGCAACATGATCCTGCGCGAGCTGGCGCCCACGCTGCACATCCCGTGGTCGGTGCCCTTCCAGCTGGACGACCCGCCCATCGTGCCCACCACCTTCGGCAAGATGATGGAGCTGCGCTGCGTGGTGGGCGTCATCCGCCACGGCGACCGCACGCCCAAGCAGAAGATGAAGGTCGAGGTGCGCCATCCGAGGTCAGTACGCATACATATACACTCTGTCTCTTTGTTTTGGTAAAGCGTTTGGTACGTTATCACTTTACTATATTTTTATCTGGCAAAATCTTCATTATTTGAATAAAATTAAGCCAAAATAATTAATTAATAATAATAAAATGAAAAGGATCATATTTATTTATGGTTTTAGTGGACCTTTGCGTAATTTCGTATATATGTGTATGTATATAAGATATCTTCGTAAATACTCATTTGTAAATTGATTTCATAATCTTCATTTAATCCAATAAAACGAATTAAAAAAACGTTATAACATTAGATCGAGACAAAAAAGACTGGAGAGTTTTGAAATAAAAAAATCACTCTTAATTTAATTTTAAAGGTTTGCCTGTTAAATTAAAAATTATAATATTACAACATTTGGCGCTGCTAGTTTAAATATAGGTCTCCTAGTTCAGCTACAGAAGCTTCATTTACTTAATAGCGATATTGTTATTTGGCTTTAATTATTTTGTAAAAACTTGTAAACATTTTTTGGATAATAAATTATCATTATTGTTATTTATATAGATTCTTCGAAATCTTCGAGAAGTACTCGGGGTTCAAGCACGGGCACGTGAAGCTGAAGAAGCCGAAGCAGCTGCAGGAGATCCTGGACATCGCGCGCGCGCTGCTCGCCGACATCCACACGCGCCACGCCGACCCCGAGATAGAGGAGAAGCAGGGCAAGCTCGAGCAGCTCAAGAGCGTGCTCGAGATGTACGCTACCGCTTGTACACTTACATACTATACTCTGTTTTTAAATCCCTCCATGACCGCGGACACGCCGGCGTTACAGTTAACAATAGATTTCTTAGAAATTTACCTGGAGGTGTTAATCTCAGAGACCAAATTGACACATGCAAATGTTAAATTTACATATAATGTTGCCAGCTCTTTTGTGCAGTGTTATTCCTACGTTACCGGTTTGTTGAATCGTAACTTTTTATCTTTATTAGATGATTCACTTCAAAGTTTTATATGTATACCAAAAGGTATCATTAAAATTCACATTATTAGTTTTGTATTATTACGTTTTAAAAAAATTATTATAAATTATTTAAAACTTATTATAAATAACTTATTATGATAAAACGATACTTGATTTTATTAACGTTAATTTTCGATAGAGACATATCACTAATTATTAAGAATTGCAAAAAACTGGCAACCCACGTTATGTCAGTTTTGTGTCCGAGATTAAAAAACAAACTACATATACATTTGTACACTCACATACTACACTTATGTACGCTGACACGCGTGTGTTTGTTACTAGCTCGCTGAATGGATTTGGATGAAGTCACAAATAGATTAAAATCTGAAGTTACATATGCTACTTTTAGACGCCTAGAAACATATGCAGCGAATATAACACGCACTGTACAAATTACGTTTTCACCGAAAGATAGATAGATGTATGTCTTTTTAGAATTTCTTTTGAAATTCTCAACCACAGCCTAAAATTGGTAAGCTAATGTGTTACACCTTCCTACTATGAGAGTTCAAGTCGTGTTGGAGTTGTTGCACCTAAATGTGACACTGAGTGAACAATGAACATAAATTATATCTGAATTAGTACAAACACGCTTTCACTGTAACATCTATTATGAATCTGTGCAGCATTATGGCCATAGCCATGGCTTGTCTTAATGGAATTGGTCTCTATAACAGAAATTTGGTAAGAATACATATTACTAATATTATGTGAAAATTTAGATGGATGTTTGTTACTCAATCACGCTAGAACGGCTGAACGGATCTGGATGAAATTTGGCATTGAGGTAAATTATAGTTTGGAATAGCACATAAGTTACTTTTTCTCCAGGAAAAATGTACGGTTCCCGTGGTGGTAGATTGGTTTTTATATCTTAATATTGCAAACTGAACATAATAGTAACTTAAGTACAAATAATCATGGTATATAACAAACTAGGGACTTACCCTCGCTTCGCTCGGGTTTATCCCTAGCTTCCTATCCATTACAAATTTTCATCCCCATTTTCACCACCTTAAAGGGTGATATCTACGGTATAAAGTAATAGGATACTTTAGGTCTTTCCCAGGGTCTTAAACTAACATTTTACCAAATTTCATCTAAATCGGTTCAGTAGATCCAGAGATTACCCCCTACAACGTCACAAACTTTATAATATTAGTAATCTCTTTATAATATTAGTATAGATAAACAACAGCACATATATGTGTGTATGTCACAGGTACGGCCACTTCTCGGGCATCAACCGCAAGGTGCAGATGAAGTACCAGCCCCGCGGGCGCCCGCGCGGCTCCTCCTCGGACGACGGTAACGCCGCGCACGGTCCGACACCCATTACCTCATACATTATATTATCTATAGTGTTGCCAGTTTCATTGAAAAATAACTACCATTTTATACATATTATAAATTATGTAAAGTAATTACATTTCATTTTGGATATTATGTAATTATTGAAGTTAAAATAGAAAGGGAAATTGTGACGTCGTTAGTTGAACGTTTTATAAAATATTTGTGTATAATTTAAATGAATTTATTTTAAATAATTGTATGTTTTAGAGTTATTTTTTGTTAAGTTGGCAACACTATATCACGTGACACGCTTGCTATGCACTGCGACTACAAATGAGCTTTTAAGTACCTCAATACGAGCACTATTGTCGCAATATTATCATTGTAGCAAACTAGAAACAATTCATTTAAGCTAATTTAATGAATATCAGACACAATATATATTAATGATAGATTACATTTTTGATATTCAGAAATATACTTATATGTATGTACAAGGTTTTTTGTTCATAACATTTTTTTTGCTTATTTTCAATAAGCACTATTAATTAATAGTGTCGATTTGAACACAATCAAACTACTGCTTGCTATTATCAGTCATATTGCATAGTAAGAAGTCGTTATAGTTTTTATTTTAATTAGAATTTTCCCATTCTGTATATAAAATTCATGCACAATCAATTTGAAGGTAGTATTCAAAATTTCATTCAATTTTGTCAAATTTCAATTCACTTTAGAAGGTTTCAAAGATTTGATTTTATTTTGTTTTTAATACAAAACTTGACATAAAGTCCAGTTGTATCATCGGGACTTTTACTGGAAGATATCTGATGTTATAGGGAGTAACATAGGCTACTTTTATTTTAGAAAAAGAATTACGGACGAACCCGAGCTAAGCGAGGGTGAGTCGCTAGTTGTAAATATATTAGTTGAATTATTTATTCGTTATTAATTCCCTACACGAATCGTAATAACAGCGTTGGTCCAGTAGGTTGCGATGGAGAGCCGTCGCTGGTGCTCATCCTGAAGTGGGGCGGCGAGCTGACGCCGGCCGGCCGCATCCAGGCCGAGGAGCTGGGCAGGATGTTCCGCTGCATGTATCCCGGCGGACAGGGACGGCATATACCCGGTGAGTTGAATATTCTGCTATTTTAAGTTTCATTGGTCTAGTAATTAGTATTTTTGTATCGAGTTTATACATACATAGTATGTACAGCTGCGCATTAAGAGGTCCTGGGTTCTAATCTCGAGTCAGGTCAAGTTTAGTTATTGAGTATCTTGGTAAGGATGTCTCAGGAAAAGCTTAGAGTTAGAAATGTTGTTGGTGGTTCACGGTGATGTAAAGCCGTCGGTCCTGCGCCTGATTTCTCACCAGTCGTGTCGAATGGATGTTTCATTGGAATTAGAGAGAAACAGGAATATTAGGTACACTTGTGTCTGCGGTAACACTTGTGCACTAATAATATATTCAGTACAGTTGGTTAGTTTCAGTGAGATTGGCCACCGTGGCCGAAATCGGTCGGGAGACATTATAATAATAACCCATACTAACATTATAAATGTGAAAATGTGTTTCTTTGTTTATCTTTCTTTCACGTGACGGCTTGACGTGATTTTTTGTGTGGAGATAGTTGGAGGGCTGGAGAGTGACATAGGCTACTTTTCACCGCGGGAGATCATCTCTTTCCCACGGGAAAACACTTTATAATACAATCCAAAAAAATATTTATGATCAGAACTACTTGAAACTTGGTATTAATACTCTTCAATACAATTGATTAAATACGTGTTTTAGCATTTTTCGAAATTCATCCTATAAGGGGTTCATAGCGGATGAAAGTTGGTATGAAACCTACCTTTTTATAGTTTTTTTGTTTATTGACAATATGCTGATATGTCCTCTAAGTAATGCAAAATTAGAGTGATTTTCACAAAAATAATTGAATATGTGTGCGCTCAGGCGAGGCGGGCACGCAGGGGCTGGGGCTGCTGCGGCTGCACTCCACGTTCCGCCACGACCTGAAGATCTACGCGTCGGACGAGGGCCGCGTGCAGATGACGGCCGCCGCCTTCGCCAAGGGCCTGCTCGCGCTCGAGGGCGAGCTCACGCCCATACTCGTGCAGATGGTCAAGAGCGCCAACACCAACGGCCTGCTCGATAACGACTGCGACTCCTCGAAAGTGCAAAATATGTCAGTTTTATAATGGTTTTTACTCGCTTTCCATATTATTATATATTGATATTTTATTTTATGACCTCAACTTCTATCTGTATATATGTAATATTTTATACAATAGTTCATACAAAATTTAATATTGCTACGTTCTTAATTTTGGTTCAACAAACCAGATTTTTTAAAAAATGTCCCATGTTCCTTCAGTGAAAAATGTAAAATTTTTAAAAAATAAATATGGTAAGCTACGAGGCTTGTGTTATGGATACTAGGTAATTGATACGCTACACATATATAAACTTTAAATATGTATTTAAAGTTTTATGTATGTATATATTATAAATAATAAATATAAACATCCATTACTGTAGTACAAACTTTCGTGCTCATCACACAAATGAATTCGCCTAGTGCGACTCGAACCCGCGACCTAGCACAGCAAGTACAGTCTGTACAAACTGAGCCAAGCGTGTCGTCAACTATATAATCCGAGCCGTGTCTTCAGGTCCCTTAAAAGCCGGCAACGCATTCGCAACTCCTTTCGTGTTGCAGATGGCGATAGCCACTCACCATCAGGTGGATCGTTTGCTCGTTTGCCTCTTTTTTCTATAAAAAAATACATTAAAAAAAACGTGTACGCGTGGTGTGGTAACAGGGCCAAGGCGCGGCTGCACGAGGCCATGCAGGTGGAGCGCGAGTTCAGCGCGGAGGAGCGCGCGCGCATCAACCCGTGCGCGTCGCTGAGCATCGCGGCCGCGCTGGACTTCGTGCAGAACCCGGCGCGCACCTGCGCGCACGTGCACGCGCTCATCCGCCGCCTCGTGCGCATCGTGCTCGCCAAGCGCGACGACGCCAAGTCCAAGGGTGAGACACACACACACACGCGCGCGCGCGCCGGGCGACGCCTTGTGCGACGCTAATATGTTGGCCCGGACATACTAACACGAATATATTGAAGCGGATATGGATATCCCGGATATGTTACCCCGGATTTGTTAGCCCATATAACTTATCTATACATATAATAAAATTGTAACTAAGCCGAATCTGTACATTAAATATTTTTTTTTTGGAAAATCTTATTGAAAGAGACATTATTATCGATACACAGGTCGAATCTATAGTTTTTAGAATTTTTGTCTGTCTGTCTGTTACCGCATCACAGAAAAACCACGAGGGATTTTGATGAATTTTGGTATGGTTATAGCTGATTATCCGGGTCAACATATAGGATACTTTTTATCGCGGGAAAATATTTCATTTCTGAGAAAAAATACAAAAATTGCATTGTAAGAGTATACTAATATGTAAAACCTATGAATTTGCTTTTTGGTCATCTGAATGCGGGAAGAGCCGCGGGCAATGCTAGTAAGTTATTAAAAATATGTTAGTCTGGATATGTTAATAAAAAGAAGTTAGTCGGGATATATTAGCACCATATATATGTGCTGACATCGCCCTAAGAATTCACATGCATATTTTACGGTTTTTGCTTTCTTTCGTTACGTTGATTTCTTTCTGGAAAGTGTTTTCTGTATCTTTCCCGGCACGCGGCATTCTGCCATTAATTGTCTTTGTCATAGATTGACACCTAACGTAACGAAATTTTAGACGCTCCTGTTACAGTGTAACGACGTTCTACCGAAAAATATGAATATAATACTTTCTTAGATATACGGAAATATTTGTCATTTTAAAATAAAATTATCTTTTTGGATTCGGGGGTCTCTCCCATGACCATGATTGCTGTAAAGCATTCGAAACGTCGGGAACAAAAAATCAAAATAAATCCGCGAAAAATTAACATAACTTTTCACTATCCAGATACAATTCTATACCACGGCGAGACATGGGAACTGATGGGGCGACGGTGGGGCAAGATAGAGAAGGACTTTTGCACAAAGAACAAGACGTACGATATATCTAAGATCCCAGATATCTACGACTGCATCAAGTACGACCTGCAACACAACCAGCACACGCTGCAGTTCGATCAGGCTGAGGAATTGTATATCTACGCTAAATACTTGGCCGACATTGTTATACCACAGGTACACACAGATTTTTTTATCTATAGACCTATTGTCTATGTATATATTTAGCCGTTTTTATCGTCCCACTGGGCCTCCTCACTACGAGAGGGATCAGGCCATAGTCCACCACGCCGGCCAAGTGCGGCTTTTCGGACTTCTTAAGTCTTTCGAAAACTTGGCAGGTTCTCTCAGATGTCTGAGTAAGTTTTCCTACGATGTTTTGCTTCACAGTCAGATAAGTAGTAACCATATTGGAAATGATTCGCGCATGAAAATTTTGAGACGCATATAATAATAATAATATAATAATATGTTGGGACATTACCACACAGCACCATCTAGTTCCATGGTAAGCTACGAGGCTTGTGTTATGGATACCAGATAGTTGATACACTACACATATATAACTTTAAATAAATACATATTATAAATATAAACACCCATGACTGGAGTACAAACTTTTGTGCTCATCACACAATTGACACCCCCCAGCGGGATTCGAACCCGCGACCACTGACACAGCAAGTAGGGTCACTACAAACTGAGCCAAACGTGTCGTCATGATTGGAACCCGCCACACTCGGTTTCCCAATTAAGTGCATTACCACTAAAAACATTAAAAAGTTACTATATGTTGCTTATTGCTCTGCTAGACACTAAACCATAACTTTTTTAAATATATTTCAATTTATTAGAATATCATATCTAAATCACAATTAAGACCTATGTATGTATGTAATTTTGTTCAATGCAAATATATTGTTTGAAAATAAAATACTGGTCAATTCAAAAACTGTCACCTTATTACTATCTATATAATCTGCCCAATTTTTTTATTGAAAGCATTTTAATTCTCTTCTACTATCTGGCTTTTTTTCTTTTTAAGTGGCATTTTCACTAGGTAAAGTATGATTATTTTAAATAAAACTATCTTTTCAGCACTGTTGCTGTCTGTTACAACTATATAATGACCAATGAGACTAAAACCTTGTGCGCTGTAAAGCGTTCGAAACGTCGGGAACCAAAAATCAAAATAAATCCGCGAAAAAATCCAAAAAGATAGTTTTATTTAAAATATCAAATATTCGCATAAATCTGAGAAGTATTAAGTATGAATATGATTGTTTGATATCACACATACAATATTACAGGAGTACGGGTTGACGATGCAAGAGAAATTGACAATAGGGCAAGGTATATGCACTCCCTTGCTTAAGAAGATCCGCGCCGACCTGCAGCGGAATATCGAGGAGTCTGGCGAAGAGAATGTCAATAGGCTCAACCCGAGGTAATACAATTTTTATTATATTTACCTTAATGGTTTTTTTTACTTAAAAATTAATATATTCATACTAATATTATAAATGTGAAAGTGTGTTTGTTTGTTTGTTGTTCTTTCACGTCAAAACAGGAAGATTATCTCATTCCCATGGATAAACACGCTATAATACAAACTAAAAATATTATGATCAGAATTACTTGAAACTTGTTATTAATGCTCTCCACGTGTTTTAGCATTTTTTGAAATTTATCCCACAAGGGGGTAAAATAGGGGATGAAAGTTTGTATGATACCTACGTTTTTAGAGTTTTATTGTAGTTTTAGTGCGAGCGAAGCGGTGGGTTCCGCTAGTATCTTTATATTTTTAGTTTGTTTATATACAAACGCAGCTTCATTTCTCTCTAGTGTAGGGTTATATAAGTTCGTGGGCATTTTTGATGGTTCACCATTGTATTTTTTATGTTATAGTCAAATAAGATTGGCTTGTAAGATAAATAATCATATACATATAACCAATGTGAACAAAACTTTTAAAATTGTCAAATGATACAGTGATTACAACCTACATATACTCGTACATGATGAAATGGTCTGGTACAGCAAGATGTACGTGTGTGTGCACGGGATGTGGGGTGTGTGTATAGTGTGGTGCGGCGCGCAGGTACAGCCACGGCGTGTCGAGCCCGGGCCGCCACGTGCGCACGCGCCTCTACTTCACCAGCGAGAGCCACGTGCACTCGCTGCTCACCGTGCTGCGCTTCGGCGGCCTGCTCGACGTGAGTGCGCCCCGCCTCGCCACTTCCCCCCACTCCCCACCTCCCACCACTCCCCGCTCCCCACCACTCGCTACCTCCCCACCACTCCCCATCTCCCCAACACTCCACGAGGTGGGGAGGTTAAAGACCTTTTTATAATAAAACTTTGTACTACATTTCTAGAATTAACTTTAAACTTGGAAGTATAAACAATTACGTTATTATGCAGCTGTCTTCTTAGTGATTACAGATTGTTGATTATTTGCTGACTTAAGAATAACGTACTCACTAACGACATTGATTCCCACACACACACTTCCTATTTTGTAAAATTTTTGAATGGCCAAATTTGATGCTTGTAGATAATAATATTAAATAGCTCATGCTAATAAATTTAGCGAATACTTAGGTATTGAAAGATGAACAATGGCGACGCGCCATGGAGTACGTGTCGATGGTGTCCGAGCTCAACTATATGTCACAAATCGTCGTGATGCTGTACGAAGACCCTACTAAAGACCCATGCTCTGAAGAAAGGTACAATATACATTATTTCGGAAACTCGCTAGAATCTGAATTATGCAGTGAAAAAACCTTCATACTGTTTTTCTTCACCATAAAGCAAGTGATAATCATGTTGAAAACGATAAAAACAGAGGTGTGACACCCGGGATTTGAATCCACTTCACCTGATTTTAAAAGCGAGCGCGTTACCACCGGCTTACCATTCCCTTAAGAAATATTTTATAAACGGATGATTTATGGCACATTATGTGTCGGGACTTCTCGAAAACGTTTAAAGAAAGTATTAAGTATAATATGAGGACTCGTTTAAAAGTACGTAGTAAAGATGGTGGGTGGTGGGTATGCAATGTTAAGTACAATATGGGGCTTATTTGAAAGTATTTGGTACAATGATTGTGTGGTGTGTGCACTGCGCAGGTTCCACGTGGAGCTGCACTTCAGCCCGGGCGTGAACTGCTGCGTGCAGAAGAACCTGCCGCCCGGCCCCGGCTTCCGCCCGCACAGCCGCAACCACTCCACCACCAACAACTCGGTAATGTTTGCTTGTCTTTGTTTATATATATATATATATATATATATATATATATATATATATATAAAACAAAGTCGTATTAGTTACACCATTTGTAACTGAAGAACTGCTGGACAGATATTTATGATATTTGATTTTTTTAATTTCTTTTTTTCCGGAATAGGATGTTAATAAGTATTAAAACTAAAAAATTAACGAAAATAAAATTAAAATTTATATGGCTAACGCTGGCTAATAACTATTTATATCTATTTAAAACGTACCTAGCGACATACCCGAGGAAAGCGAGGGTGAGCCGCTAGTTGACGTATATATACGAGTTATGATATTTGTTAATATTTTTTAAGTCACGATCATGTTAAATAAGTTGGGAAAATGTACTTTGAATAGTAATAAAGTATTGAATTTTTACTACTTTTAGGAACATACTAATTTGATTATTAGATTTTTCTTCATGGCTTATGAATATATATTGTTAAATTACTTAATAAAAATCTTTTCAACACATTCGCTGACTCACTTAAAACATCGCACAAATTTACTGAGATCAAGAAGCATGGACAATTAATGAAGCATATACAAGTATACATAAGTTCCTTACATAAGAAAGTTTTTCTAATTAAGGACCACTCAAGGGGTTTATATAAAGGATCCATTCTCTATTTATTTCCTATAAAAACGTGTCGTTTGTCGTTGATGTTTTAAGTTTATTTTTATAATGTTAATACGTTTTCTTGTAGAGCCCATCTGATGAAGTTAAATGTATAGAGGAGGAAGGAGAAGATGATCAGATGGCCAGTCTGGAGACTCTGCAGCCGGTAAGGAATTATGTATTAAAAGTCATATTTAAAGCACCAAATAAAATAGTGCCAGCAATATTGTTTATAATTCAATTATATTTATAAAGAAAAACAACATGATTAGTTGTTTTTTATTGAGCTTAAAACAATTTTTCAAGAGTATTATACGTAAACTTCACTAATGCGCATATAAACGATGAAAGTTTTTGTAATATATTTATTATTTCAGGACAATTTGGACGAACTGGACGGTACATTCTCACCAAGGACGACGTCCACATCTAAACTAAGACCTTCAGACCCCATACCTATCTGGTAATATTTTTGCTTTGATACATATATATTTGAACTTGTACAGAAAAAATTCCACATATGTTATAGGCCAAATGATTAATTAAGGCACTATTTATAATGCCCGGTCTATATAAATAATGACAAGTTAAATGAAGACAAGCGATAATATTTATTTAAACTTCATTATTTATCTCCTTGTAAAGAACACTATTCTTAAAGCCCGGTCAATTTAATTATTTCAATATATATTGACCTCTCATTATTGGGCATTTTTTTAAATGTTTGGGCATTATGAATATTACCCTACTGATCACTTTTGATCCGTAACATGCTATACAATTATATACTATATGTATAGCGAGGTTTTTTATCTTAGTTAAAATAAACAAGATAGCTTAATGCGTTCTAATCATAATATTTGATCAGAAAGATTATAACTATCTCTGTTTACAAACTAATATTGTATTACGAAAGTGTAATATGTACACTGATAAAGTATATTACGTTTTATTATCGTTACGTGAGTGTTTAGTGATCCTTTTATCATCCTCCCTCTGTTGTTAATAATATGTAAACATTTTTTTTTATAAATTTTAGTATTTTTATAATAATATTAAAGCCTACAACATCGCAGTTGCAATATGCGACCAAATGAAATATGGCCATGGTTACTTTTAATTTTAAAAATATTAATTAATTTGTAGTTTTACCCCTTTGTTTGAAAATAATCGGGTGCTAATAAAAAACACTAAGTATGAGAACAATGAAGAAGTTAGGTTCTTTCTAAAAAATGATGCACGACAGAGTAACATTGCAGCAAATGGTAAAGCTAGTAAATGAGACATAAAAACAAAAAAAAATACATTATTTAGTAAATGGCTTATTTTATTATGGGAATCTATCTACAATAATATTATAAATATGTACAATCTATAACTCTTGATGTAGGGGTATGTAATCTCTGAAACTACTTTTTCGATTCCGATTTTTTTTTTCATTAATAGGAACCTAAATAAGCTATTTTTCATTTCGATAAAAAGTATTTACTGTCAGAAGTTATAATAACTTAATACGTAAATGTTAAGTATATTTTATCGACAATCGCCGCCTAAATGGTTTGGAATAAAGCTTTAAAATGTGTGGCACATTCGGACGCGCTCGATCGGAGTGAGGGTAAGTCGCTGGTGTTTTTGTACAAAATATGAGAAAACAGCGTGTTAATTTCATGCCGGCTGTTCCTATCCAATGGTAGCTTCCTTACGGACCGACTACACGGATTATTTTTGAATTATTTTTTGACGATTTAAAAGTGCCAGTATAAGTCTAATTGGATAAAGTAAATTTTCGTTTCCCATCTCCAGCAACCTGCACTACACGGTGAGCGGGCACGAGGCGTCGGCGCTGGCGGCGCGCCTCAACGAGGAGCTGCGCGCGCGCTCCGCCGTGCCCTGCGCCCACCCGCCGGTACTCACTCGCTCACTCACTCACTCATTCACTTACACAATCAAATACTCATTCGCTCACTCACATACTATATTTACTCTTTTTTTGTTTTTTAAATTCTGAAAACAAAACCCGATAGATGGATTTAATTTATTTAAACCAAATTTTCTCCCTAGTGAGATTCCTGTAGATCGTAAAACTTAGTGAAATCTAGACCTAATTTACGTACACTTTTTTAAATTTTCATAATTTAATAAAATAATAATGTTCACTAAAATATATTTCAGTATACACTATACATATATACCGTAGTGTGCATTCATACTAATATTGCTAATATTATAAATGCGAAAGTAATTAAATAATGTATAATAAAACTGTAGAGGTTGAATCTCTGTATATAGATTTTTCTTTTACTAAAAACCGAGTCAGGGGGATGTAAGAAGAGAAATAGAACAAATCTAGTTTTTTTTTCAATTTTTTTGTTTCTCTGTCTGTACGGGCTAATCTCCGAAGCTGTTAGCCCAATTTAAATGAAAGTTTGCATGGTGGTACATTTTATCCCCGGTCAACATTTTAGATACTTTCCCAGAGTTCCCGTGGGACAGATAAAAACTAATAATTAGTAATTTATACAGCTTAGTACACAAAAACTACTAATTGAATTTGGATGAAACTTTACAATAATATAGTTCATACATCAAAATAATAAATAGGCTATTTTTTATCCCGGAAAATGTACGGATTCGGTGGCATAGATTTGCTTGTCTAGAGGCGAACCCGAGCGAAATGAGGGTGAGCCGCTAGTACTATAATATATTGACCATGTTCCAGTGTGAAGAGAAAGAGCCCAAAGACGGCGAGGAGCCGCAGCCGCGCGCGCGCAGCTACGACCAGCACAAGCAGGCGCACGACAACGGTATGCACACACACACGCACACACACACACACGCACACGGTACGTGTCGTGGTGTACTGTAGTAACTAACAGCTCGAGTGTGGATTTACACTAATTGTAAAAACATTTACAATACCTTTGATAGAAGTAGTATCAACTAATGATTTATAGAAATTATTTATTTGAGAACTAGGAAGGTTATTAAAATATGAAGATTATATGTATTATATGTGTTATGACATTTAGTTTGATTGCCGCAACATTATAATAAGGAATACAAAAGAATTAGGTTCTTTGAGGAAGCATTTATGTAAATAAATATATAAGAATTTTTTTTTGGAATGTAATAGAAAACATGTCAATATCTGTTTTGTCACGTGCCATTCAAGAACGGCTGGATTGATTTTCATAAGACATTTTTGTTTTAAATAAAAAGTATATTAATATAAGTATATTCTCCTTTTTTGCAAGTTGGCAAAAAATAATTATTTTTAGTTTATTTCAATCGGTCATGAAGATCAAAAGATTCAGCTTGATTTCTAGTAGATTTGCTGCAGATGTCGTTAGCTTATTTATTTATTTACTTATTGTTATAAATATAAAGAAAATACACTTTTAAATTCATTTTCAAATGAATTCAAAATTATTCTATAAATATTTGTGGTTATAATAATTGTATGGTTACACATAGATTGTTTAAATATGATAAAGTAAATTTTTTATATTTTGTTTATTGGTAGTTGATATTTATCTTAAAATATGAATGTAGTAAATTTCAATTTATTTATTCATCAAGAATTTATTTCCTTGTTCAATTTTGAGTGAAAAACGTTTAAAATAGTATACAGTAGCTTATTTGTATTGTAATATATTTTTTATGAAACTTATATACGAAAATGTAAGGAATAAACAAGGCACTTACTTCTTTTTGAGTAGTCACTGAAATCGGTATTATTAGCTTAGGAGATGTAAAAACTGTTATAATTTTTTTTTATTTATTTAAGTAAAAACAGTCATATACAAAAAATCTAAAACAGTAAAAAAATACAATTAGACTTAGGCCTAAGTTATTACAAATGAACTGATTTGTCATCAAAAGTGACGGATGCTAAATAAGTATGTTTTACAAAAATAATAAGTGAAATTACATAATTTTTTTTGTATAAATATAAATATATTTATACCGGTCATGTATAAAAATATAAAATATCATTATCCGGTCAAATATAAAATATCATTATACCGGTGACGGAAGGACGTGCATGTCTTGATACTTTTTCTTGACCTTGCCTTTGTATCTCATCACAAATGTAGTTTTCAAATCGATAATTTTCCTTTTTAATCATATTTGATATTATTTTTCAGTCTAGTTTTAACTCACTTTTGTAATTAGTGTTGCCAGGATAAATAATTTTTTTTTAAAGTTGAGGAAATATGTTTTAAAACACTATTTGATTATTGTTAGTTATTAATTGTATCATCAAAACATTTGGACAATTAATGACGTTATATTTGCTGACTTAAAAGACGCCAGGATGATTTCATTTAAAGCACCACAGCCTGGCAGCACTACGTATAATGTCTGAAGTATTAATTTTTATAATTTTGTGTATTATTTGACTTATGTACTTTGGAGTGTGTAGAGACAACGCCTCGGCAGCGCCTCTCTGCCAAAGTGAGCTCATTCTGGTCGGCGATTTTGTGTGTGTTGCGTAGCATTCTTGCTCCTCGCGAATGTGTGTGTGCGTTTGACTATCGTTTGTCCTTTGCATTTGCATGACGAGTGTTACTAATGACACTTATGTGTTAAGACATAAGGTAGTATTTATCGAGAACGTTAGCTTCAGTCGCCATGTTTCTCCTTCGGTCATACGCTCGGTGTGACGGTTAGAGTAATACGGTGACGTAGAGGCTAACGTTCACCCAAACAGTCGTCAACCGCCACACTCGGCGGGCTTTCGGAATTCGGTCTTCATCTCGAACGCGGTCTCTCGTTCTCTTATCATCATCGGCACGCTTCGATGCACCGTTTTTTTGTATTATACTTTATTTATCTATTATGTTTATTTATCGTTTATGTATACTTTATAGCGAGTCCTAGCTAGTGTATTTTGTTTCTGTCACCCCTTCTCTAACACCGCCCCCATCTCACGTAACCCTCGTATCATGTCGTACCGCGCCGCCCCCGCCGCCGCCGGCGGAGGGCGGGCGGGGCGGGGGCGGGGGCGGGCGGGGCTGTAGCGTGCGCGGCGCAGGGCGGCGCCAGCGGCACAGCATCGCCGGCCAGATGAGCTACCTCAAGATGCTGGGGCTGGGCGCGCGCGGCAAGCTGCCCGGCGCCGCGGGGCTCTTCAGCACCGCCGTCATCTCCGGCTCCAGCTCCGCGCCCAACCTGCGCGTCATGATACCCACGGCCGCCTCCAGCAACAGTACGTGTGACGGATTTTAATTTTTTAACTTATTCGAACTAACTATTCTCATAATCGGATTACTAATTTAATTTAAATGTGGATGTTTGTATGTGTGTGCGCGTGTGTGAGTGGGTGTGTATATTTGTAACTAAAACTCTAAAACGGCTAGACGGAATTGTACACACATAAAATATGCCCCGGAGTAGGACCTAGATGTCTAACAGTAATCTATGTTAACTGTAAGACACTTAGGGCGATGAAAGCGATGATTAGTGGTTATATAATATGACTATAAAGTGTTTTATACACATATAGACAGTATAAATAATATAATAATTTAAAGGAATTACATGTCAAATAACGTCCAAGCGCGCCTTTCGCATTTAACATCAAGATTATCATATCTGAACTCGTTTAATCTTAAAAGGAATAAAATTATATTTAGATAGGTATAAGAAGTATATGTGAGTAACTGCCTCGGTGGTGTAGTACTAGCATGTACGATCGCGGATCCAAAGGCCCCGGGTTCGAGTCCCGGGTCGGGCCAAATTCAGTTATTGAGTAATTCCATCAAGAAATTCTCAGTAACAATTCGGATTTGGCAAGTTAATGGTATTTCACCCCCGTGTCTTGGAGAGCGCGTAAAGCCGTTAATCATGCGCCTTAACTCTCACCGGTCTTGTCGAAGTATCGTCCCATCGGACTTTGAGAGGAAAATGAAGAGAGAGTGCACGTTGTATCTGCACGTACTCGCACAGCACTTTAATATCCCCTGCGCAGTTGGCTAATCTCAGTGAGGTTGGCCGCCGTGGCCGATATCGGAGGACATTATCTATAGAAATAAATAAAATCGAAGTATCTGTTTGTAATGTCAAAATAAAAACGTTTTACTAAATACATATGAAATTATATATGGTACCTACTTATAAGGAAAATTCATTTTTTTTTAATTTCTGTCTGTCTGTTTGTTCCGGATAATCTCTGAAACGGCTGAACTGGTTTTGACGGGACTTTTACTGGAAGATAGCTGATGTTATAGGGAGTAACATGGGCTAATTTTATTTTAGAAAAAGAATATAGGGTTCCGTTCAAAAAAAATTAAACGTACCTATGGACGTGAGTCGTTAGTTATTATTGTGTGTGGTGGGTGTCGCAGCGGCGCTGGAGGGGTTCGGCGGCGTGCCCGCCATCCGGCCGCTGGAGACGCTGCACAACGCGCTGTCGCTGCGCCAGCTGGACGACTTCCTGGAGCGCGCGGCGGCGCCCGCGCAGCTCGGCACGCCGCCCGCGCCCGCGCCCCCGCCCCCGCCCCCGCCCGCGCCCGCGCCAGCACAAGCAGCCCTCGCCTACCAACAGTGAGTGCTGGCTTGTTTTTAGGGTTCCGTACCACAAAAGGAAAACAGAACCCTTATAGGATTACTTCGTTGGCCGTCTGTCTGTGAAGGATTTGTTTGTCAAAAACGCGTGGAGGTATTAAGTTGAAATTAATATCAAATACTCAGGTCTGCAATCTCTTGGAGCTATGAAAAAAATCAAACTTCTAAATTAACGCAATCAACAGATACGGCCATTCTTGCCGCATATTTTGACGCTCACAAGGGTTTTAAAACATATAGGGTAATTTCCTTTGATCTAGAATATAGCACAAGTAAACGGAAAAATCCAAAAATCGTAAATTTATAACTTTATAATTGCAATTTTTTTCTCCGAACTTGCCCGATTTTTTTGTGTTATAGAGGCAAAAGCAATGCCATCATCAGACAACCACCAACAGCGAGAGATTTGTTGTTTTTTTTTTAGAACTAGAACTGCGAGTGCGTTACAAGTATACAATATAGTTTAAACATATTAGTTTTTATGTTCTAGGTGCAGGCTGGAGTGGACCGTCTTCTTTAATGTCGTCGTCGGGGGAGCTGCCGAGTGGGCTGTCGTCGGCCGAGCCCTCTTCCCCCAACTCCAACTACGCCTCCAACTCCGACCACAACAAGAACAGCTCGGAGAGGTATATTATTTATGCCCGCGACTTCCCGCCGTCTACCGACACGCTCAGTGCATGCGTACAGTTGACGTAGACGGGCAGGGCTGCCAGTAGAGACATACTTATTTTATACTGCTAGGTCACTGAGATTATACCAAATCAAATTTTCTTGTGACGAATCAAAAATTTCAATAAACATACGTAACAAATTAAAATGAAATATACCTACATAAAATAAACATTTTTTACAATTTTCGTATCCAATTATACGATCTGGCAGCCCTGTAGACGGGAGAAACCCACACTTTAGTTCAACGGTTAGCGTTCAACTGTCACTCGCTGTGTATACTTAATCATGTGTTCCGAACTGCGTCTCGCACTCGCGGAGGAAAATGTAATATATAATCGATTTTTTTCACTAATTTTGTTTAAATTGAAAAGCATTTAATGTGACAATTGGCAAATTTTGTTACTAAAACATTAATTCGGAATACTTTTTTAAGATCTATCGCTCGTTGTTTGATTGTGCTATCAGTTATGAAAGCGCTGATTTCCAGCTTTTTGATTTTGATTTTTTATAGTGATTCACTTACAAGTCATACTCATGTATGTGGTACCGGAGTTTTTTAGTTTGTTCATAGTATTTTTGTTGTGCATACAATATTTATTTGGGTCATTCGTATAAACGTGGTGACGCTTTGTAATCGACCAGAGATGTAACGGATTTTATTAAAATTTTAAGACTACCAATTTAATTTTGAAACATTGATTTTTAATATCGATTCGGAGTCGATTGCACAGTGTGTCCGCGCAGTAGACAGGGAGGTGCATTAACGTTGTGGGTTGCAGTAGCAATTGGAGTAAACAGGCGGCCACGCCCGAGTGGGAGCGCGCCGCGCTGTGCCTCGCCGCCGCGCTCGCGCCCGCACCAGGTACCGCGCCCGCGCGCACACACACACACACACACACACGTCATACATGTACATACACGTGTGAGGGATGTTGTGTAGGAAAACCACACTATAGTGTATGTTGTATACATAATATACCCTAAGAGGTAGAAAAGTAACGTAGAATCATTGAACGCACCGTATTCCATTCACGAATCACGCCCTTATTCTTCTCCTTTTTAGTTATCCAAGTGTTTTTACTAATACCATGTCTATTTTATTTGTTACCGTTTTGCATTTGTATTTTGGGGAAGAAAAATTATGTTCAAGTTATAGAATTGTTACAAAGATAATTGCAGTTTTTTAAAAAATTAGTCATCTGTGGTTCATATTTTTGGCAAATTTATATGTCGTTATTACTTTTACTTAATTTATATGTTGTTATTATATAAACTCTTTATTTCACTTTTATTTAATTGAAAACTTAATATAGTTAAACGAAAAGTCGCGATATTTACAAATTTTGTAATTTTTTTTTAAACACTACCATTGTTGAAGAATCTACTTCAAAATGAAAATTTAAGTCTAAACACATGATACTATTTAATTTAACTGAAATAAAAAACTGAAACAATTAATTTTTATTTCTAATACTATTAAGTTGCACACAGTACAGTTAGACATACACTTGTAAGAAGGCACTCCGCTGTGTCCGTTGCATGGTCATCGTCATTGCACGCCACACTTGTGTATTATCTTCTGTTCATATTGATGCATGCACTTAATATGCAAATGTTATTCTAATATATACAAAGCGGAACATTTTTGCATGTTTCTTAGGTTAACTAACTTATTAATATATATAATTGTGTAATAAAACTTGTGTATGTATGTCATAGGTTCATCTATTAGTGGGGATGTGACGCCGGTGTCGGCCGCGTCCGAGCTGGAGTTCCACAGCAACGAGGCCACCGCCGGCTCCATCACAGATCACGACATATTGGTAAACTCAACTCGTCCGTCATAGAGACTTACAGTTGGTAACATTGTGTTGCGTGTGTGTATGTGTGTGTGTATGTATGTTTGTTATTTCTTAATGCGGAAACGGCTGGATGGATTTAATTAAAATTAGTACACAGATACAAAAAAAGCCAAGATCAGTTGATAGTATTTTTAATAATCTGCATAATCTATGGAAGGGAAGACTGAATGAAGTATCTAACGTATTAGACGAAATAAAATAACACTAATGTAAAATTATTTTTTAATAGAGTGCAGAAGGTGAAGAGGATGAGGAAACATTGTCAGTGGACGCGGGCGGCTCTCCTGGCAGGGTCATCCGGAACGACCTGTCGCGGCGCCCCGCGTCCCCCGCGCCGGGCCCCGCCCCCGCCCCCGCCGCGCCCGGGCCCCCGCCGCAGCTCTACGGCCTCAGCTACCACGACATCAAGGACACCTTCTACAAGGACATGCCTTCCAGTAGCAAAAACTACAACGTCGACAACGACCTCACAAGCAAATGCACAAAGGACCCCCTGCACTACGCCGACATAGAATCTTTAAACCTTCAAAGCAAAGACAGCAGGAGTAAGGAGAAGAAACACGAGCTACTAAACAACGGCAGTAGAAGATACAGCGATGGTAGCGCACAGAAATGTAACCTGAACTCGACGGTGTCGGGCAGTAGGTTTACCACGACGCTTGTGACGGAGGACCCGCTCAGACCGGCCTCGCCCGGAGACAGTAAGTCCAACAATAACTTGGTAAATCCCGAGGCGACCGCCGACGGTCCGCTAGTGACTAAAGCTAAGCCCGAGAACATTAAACGTGGCTTCAATATCACTCATAATAATATAGAGTAAATAGAATATTTATGTGCTTTAATCACTCATTGATACGCTACTGCGCTAGATAGTACATTGAATGCTTGGTAAATTTTCCACTGAAAATAGGCTGTATAAATAATGTTATTGTTCAAAATTGACTCGCTATATGTATATATTATCGATTTGTGTACCTTTTCAATTTATATTAAATTTTAAATTAATATAATTTCTTTTATTACTGATAATAATTGTATTTGATTTTTGTATTCATTGGGGGTTATATTTAATAGTTAGAGGATTTTGAGTTAAATATATAATGATGATATTTTCAGATTGTGAACATGATCCAGAATCTACAGACACTGTGTGATATTATGCATTAAGCTTTCTGCTTGTCCATATATGTATAGTAATATTGTAGTTGACATAAGTATTTTGACAATATATTACTATTGAAGTTTAAATTTGTGTTTTATATTTTTTCAAGCCCCTGCTAACTGTGTATCCTACCATATAAATAACTAATAAGTAATATTATACCACATTTTTTTTTGTATTTTAATGAAGGAATTTGTTAACAAATCTATAAAGTCGATTGCAAATTGTATTTATAGATAAGTTGTATCCAGTTAAAACAAATACATATTATTTCTGACGATGGTAAAATAATACGGTAGAACCGAAGTTAATAATGAACCTCTTTAATGGGTAAAATCTTAAGTTTAGAATTAGTTCGCTCGTTTTGAAAATACCTCTTAAATGAATTTAGACAAAGAGGTTTCTTTTCTAATTAAAATAAGGAAATTTATACAACGTATTTGTCAGAACCTCAAGCTACAGAATTATATTATGATGGGAGTCCGCCAAAGTAAATGTCGAAGTCAAAAATAGTTGTGTGATTTGCTGTACAAGCTACTCATGAACGAGTGGCTAATTCGTTCATGAAGCTACTATTCTCGATTGTGCCTAACAGATCGTTCTAAGAATAAGTGAAATTTTATATATGTGTTAGTTAAGTAAATATATTTTTGGGAATAAAATATGGGAAATAATATTTTTTATATATTTCTTTGTATTCTTTAAGCATTAGTTCTCTTCCCCTTGAAAAAAAAGATGATTTATTGTGACCTTATTTAAGGGAACGTACCCATACTACGTCACCAGATTTTACAATCTAATATATAAAAATCTTGTGTCAAGGTGTTTGTAGTCGCACTTCTTCGAAACGGCTCGACGGATCTTGATGATTTCTTTTGTATGTTTATGGTAGGTAAGAGAATAGATCGTATTTTTTACCCTCCTATTCCCCACCCATTTTTTAATCGTGATTTTAGTATTTTTGTATGAGAAAAAGCCAAATAATTTAACATTATACAAAAATACATAGGGATGAACCCGAGCGAATCGAAGTCGAGTCGCTATGAAACATAAAGAAAGTTTTTTTTTGTAGATTGAACGCGGGCGATGCCGCAGGTTCTGCTAGTTTTTTTATAACATCTAAAATCTTCTAAAGTCGTAAACTCAGCCCCTTACTCTATTTTAAGGTCTAATCTCTAACCTTTCCAATTTCTTATTTTAGTCCCTATTTTGGATTTTATTAACATAAATTTTCTGAGAAACCTAGAATATATTCGAGGCTTTTTTTGCGTTGGTTTACACACATAATACAATATTTCATCAATTGCACCGACTTTATTTGAAACTTCTATCAGTCTGCTGGGACAATCTGAGATAACCAGGATCAGAAGTAAAACCGGTGACTTTCGTGCTCTCATTACCGCTTGGGCGTAATACTATCAGATTGCTAACTTTGGTTTATTAGGAAGAAAATATTCACAAGACCCAATTGCCATTTTTAGCCAAAAACTACGATCTTAACTCATCTTGTATCTTTTAACACTGTACATGCTTGCCACTTAACTGTCTAAAACCAATAATATGCATAGGAAACTATAATATCAAAAGTTGTACTTATATGACAATTGATGTGAATAAAAGGTTGCAAATATGTGACAACCTAGGTTGATATAACCTTTCTGATACTAAGCATTTCTTTTATTTTCTACATAATATTTAAAAAATAAAACAATATCTGTAAAAGTTTTTATTTAACCCAAATAAAATAATTTAAAGCTCATGAGTTAAACTTAAAACAACGACCAGACCATACATCACTAATAACAATCTTAAACGTTGGCATAGTTCTCGCCAAACTTTTTGGCCGACCTGAATAGGCGCGAGCCGATGCGCAGAATGCAACATGCATGAATGGATTGGAGGCGCGCCGGGGACGCGAGTTCGCAACGTCCGAGCGCTTGTGTAGCATAGAGTGCGTAACATGTCTATACTTAAACACATGCACACAACACATTTAATTACAAAATTCTTAACTCATAAGTTATAATATTTATTTTCTTACTCTTTGTTGTCTAAATTTTGTAACTTATGCCTTGCAGATGTTATAATGTGATTGGTATATTGACAGATGTAAAAAATGGTACAATATACCACATACCATAATCCATATAATATATCAAAGTCGGGTTTGTTACAACACTTATAATTTGAGAAACTTTGTTGGATTTGTCTTCACCCCGAATAGCAGAATCACTATTACAACATCGGAAAAATCCATGAAAAGAAAGCTATTCCATACTAAGCGTCAAAACGTACCTAAGTGAAGCGAGGGCGAGTTGCTAATGGTATAATATACCATATTAGGCCACATACAATGCATTTAAAAAGTATTTGATGATTAAATGTAATATTTAATTATATTATTAAATCTATATTAAAAAAACATTGCATATGTAAAAGTAATGTATAACAATATACATCCATATAAATAACACTTTACTAACATATATTTATAATTGTGTTAACTATTGTCCATTCCAATGTATCTGTGCAAGGTCTTGCTAGCGCCAACTTTAGGTTGCCTAAAAGTTTGGCTAGAACTATAATTAAAATTAGCTCATTTAAAAACTAACACAAAGTACACACTTCTGCGACAGCTATATAAGTGTACAATCGCATCAATAAGCAATTCACTCATATAAAGTGATGTTTACATATTTTATTACTTTTCACTCATGTATCACAAATACAAAATGGAGATCATTACATGTACCGCTTAAAAGCTTCGGTTTCAATAAGCTGCTATACTTAAATTTACTTTAATCTGATTTTAACAAAGGTATTTTTGGTGCCTTAGTTATCAATGATTTAAAAGGATTAAAAATACCCCTATGCTGAATGCCAGGCCAGAGGAGCACTACTGTTGAAAATATGTAAAGTAGAAAGATGTTGTTTATGGAAGCAGCCATCCATGCCAAAATACACAGCATACTGATGGAAATTATGTAGTACTGAAAAGAAAAAAGGTTTAATCATACTAAATAGAGTAAATGGAGTAAAAGGTGTAGCATTAGAATTAATTGTATTCTATTTTTCAATTAATACTATAGTATATTTCAAAAAATATGACAATAACTCACCATTGGTGGACTGCTTTCTCTCATAGCATAGAATGAATTAACGTTATTAGCTATTTTATTATAATGTATTACAATACTTGTACAGATATCTTCGAACATTTTCTCCTTCTGACCAGTCCATGAATTAGGACTGTAAATAGTACCACATATAATAGGTACTATAAAATCAATAAAGTTTAATACCAGGCCAACAACAGAAATTGATGCTAGAGTATTAAGATCCATGAGCCAAATTGAAAAGAATAAAATAGACACAGCCGCAAGAATAGCACAAGGATGCCATTGTTGTTCCCATAAAAATACGGATTTTAATGGTAAGAGAGCCATGCGCCAGCCTTCTAGAAGCCTCTTCAGTTTTTTCACTTGTTGTTCCTAAAACATGTTTATATATTTTTTATTTTCGGTTACAGCTTTATTTCACATAAACAGTAAAGTAAAATATTATGAAAAAAAAACGTTCAAATATTACCTGAATTAACTCAGCCATCTTCTTGTTTACCAATAAATATTTCTTAGTATTTTCGATGACTGTCTTTGTCTATATTAAAAGAAAAAATATATTTAATACGAATAGGATTGGGAAAGAATTCTCATTCCCAAATTACGATTCACGAATATTCAATACCATTGATGACAATAAAAAAAATCAATACCTACCTATTCAAATCAATCCAACGAAAATTTTTTGCACTCTGTCAAATAACAAATTATGACCAACCAAAGACAATCAAATTGTTGAAAACACAAAAGTGAAAAGACAAAGAAATGAAAGGAAATGAGTAATATTTCTCTATGGACTAGAGGGAATGAAGAGTAGTGTTGCTTGAAATTAATAATTAATAGGGGAGGATTTTGCCTTTCTCTCCCGCGATCTTCGATGTCGCGATCAGTATAGCCCTCAGTATATTGTAAAGCTATAAAGCGTGGATGGTTTTTTTTTTCATTTTATTAAAAATTTCAATAAAATGACAAACTGTACAGTGCTAGGATGTAAAAAAAATAGTATCATTTGTTCCCAAAGAACTCAAGAAGTTGTGGGATGAAACAATAAAGTGACCAAAATTGGTGAAATCACCATATTTATATTTAAGGCTATGTAGACATCATTTAAAGGAAAGTGTTTTTAAAACTCTGGAATCATCTACAGGTGAATATTTTTTCGATTTTTTGAACTTTTTTACATATTAACTACAGAGTTTCGTACAAACTTACATCCCCCATTTCATCACATATGGGATTGAATTTTGAACAATGCTAAAACACGTATTTATTTAATTTTAATGATGAACATTAATACCAAGTTTTAAGTAATTCTGATCATAAATAATTCTTTACTCATATAAACTTTATTACTCCCTTTTAACCCTTCAAGGGATGAATTTCGAAAAAAAATTCAAATACATTTCTTATTTTTCAACCAAGTTCTTTAAAAAGGAGGAGGTTCTCAATCCGGCTATATTTCCTCCCTGTACCCGGTGTCGCGGCTGTAGTTCCCATTTTATAATGAAAAAAAAAAAACACCCTAAGGGTGGAAAAATAGCAAATGATGAATTTAACCTACTTTTAATTGTTATATAGCCTTGAAACTATGCAAGTGTTTCTATTTCCGTTGATAGTGCAGTAGTTCGATATAGTTGACCTGATCTAATGGTAAGGCTAAAAGGTAGTTAGGTGGAACGCTTCAACGGCTAATAGTAGATACATTGTGTTTGGGCTTATTTTACTTGATTTGACAGTCGGTGCCAGCCGAGACAAATAAAGGTACACCGACTTGGAAGATATCTGATTAGGTATCTATAGTAAATGAAAACTAACAATCAGTTATTTTTTACTTTTTAGTGGTTTTTTTTGAAGTAATTTTTCTTGTAAAAAGTTTTTTATCTAAAAGCTAAACACCACTTTCTGTCAATTTATATTAAGAATGACAGAGTTTCATACAATTTTAAATCGCCAATTTCCCCACTCAGGAATGAATTTCGAAAACTCCTTTCTTATCGGATGCCTATGTCTTATAAGGAAAACGTCCTCCAAATTTCACGTTTCAGTGAGTGACGTCACGTGAGCAGTTTTGTGATGCTTGTGTTTGTTTAGGCTGTGTGTTGATCCATCAGTCAGCTAGGACCACCGCAGAATGCACCTCTCCTTCTCAATTCTTCCTTCAACTGGTCTAACTTCCAGGTATAATACATGGTACAGGTAAGATGCGATCACAGTAGAAGCAAAAAACCAGGTATAAAAGAGATAGAGAAGAGACCTTAGACTGAATGTAAATAGGCTGGCAATACGTGTGGCGCCCTCCTTTCAAGAAATCTTCCCCATTAAAAAAAATAAAAATAATGTGTAGATCTTCAATCAAAATTAAAACACGATTTTCATTTCACCCCCATAATTTTCACCCTCTCAAGGGATGATTTCCGGGATAAAAAGTATCCTATGTCTTTCCCAGGGTCTCAAACTATCTTCTTACCAAATTTCATGTAAATCAGTTCAGTAGATCCAGCGATTACCCCGTACGACGTCACAAACTTTACCCCTTTATAATATTAGTATAGATTTAGCATTAATATAGATTAGAAGTATAGATTAGAATATGATTTATATTAAAACTAGCGACTCACCCTCGCTTCGCTCGGGTTCATCCCTAGGGTATGTATACGACTTCCCTATTTGAATCGGATATAATTAAATTTTTCATTGGTTTTAATTTTTTTTCGTAAACCTATTTTTTTTTCTAAAATAAAAGTAGCCAAAGTTACTCCTTATTACATTTATTATCTATCTACCAGTGAAAGTCCCGTCAAAATCGGCTTAGCCATTTCAGAGACTAGCCGGAATAAACAGACAGACCGACAGACAGACAAAAATTGTAAAAAATGTTGTTTTGGTATATGTATCGTGTATACATCCATATGCATTTAGTAAAAAGCTGTTATTTTGACATTTCAAACGGACACTTCAATTTATCTATATCATAGATCATATAATAATATACTAATATCTGTATAGATTTGTTTTTGAGTAATGTTACCATCGTATATTGACATTATTATTTATACGATACAAAAAGCCACTCAATTGTTTTGCCTTCCCGGAACCTCTCCACTACCTAACACTTAAACTTTATGGTAGTTTGAACGCGCTAATCTCAGAAAATACTAATCCGATTTGAAAAAAACTTTTTGCATTAGATTGCGGTGTACTGCAAAAAATCGTACACCGCTTATTCGTTTCAGACTGAGTTCACACGGCATTTTCCTGCACGTTATTTTACAGTATACGTTTTAACGAATATATTATGGCACATACATTGTACATAGAACCGCTCACACGTCTTTTGTACTGCAAAAATCTTCCACCGTTTATACGTTTAAAATACTCACCGGACTTGTCAAGCAAATCGAATGAACTTTAACGTATTCGGTTTGCAGTGGCTATGTGCCATTATATTAGCTCTGTTTCAATGTGTGAGAACTGCGGATAATCATTTTTAACTTTTTATAAGTCGCGTCATCTAAAAAGAACCCTGGAAGAAAGTAGAGGGGGTATGTTTGCGCATGGGTATACTCGCGCACTAAAGTAATAAGCCTATTATTTTATTTTTCATAGGATTTCGCTATTTTATTTTAAATAGAATCATCATCCTTTGTCATTAAATAGAATTAAAACATGTTTATTTCAGTGTAAAATGTTTTAATCTTTATATATAAAAACCGCCGCCGCAACTTTTACCACCAATTCTTCGTTCGTTTTTGTTTTACATTGAAAACTATATTAGATAGAATATCATTAAATAGAATTCTATTTATTATTAAAATATGTTTGAATCAGTGTAGTGTTTAATCTACTTACAAATAGTTAAATTAATACGTTTAATACATTTTTTAAATTATTAACTGCATCATATAACTATGTTTATCAGACTCTCCCTTTATAAAACAATATACGTCCAAAATAATTTTTCTTTCTTTTCTATAAACAAAACTATTTCGTAATTAAAAACTATTGTGTGCGCGATGGTATTTCGAACTGACGAACCAATAGCGCGCCGGGAAGCATGCGGCGCGTGCCCCGCTGCCCCGAGCCGCCCCACGCCTCGCTTCTTACCACCAATTTGACGGAAAAATCGCAGCTTGACAGCTAGCGGTCTTTTTAGATGACGCGAGCTATACACGAATGAAAATCTACCGTATATATACCGTGCAGGACAATGCCGTGTGAACCCAGCGTTACTTACAATGAATAATAATAAAAGAAGTTTGTCTAAGACTACAAATGAATTTCGAATTATGGAATATCATAAATGAACTTCTTTCTATTATTTTAGGTTAACAAATAATTCATAAGAATATTTTTTATATATATCATATAAATAGGTCAAATAATAATTTTATTAAAAAAAATGATTAACATGATAAAAGTATGAAAGTAAAAAATATAAGCAATAAACATATTATCAGTATCTCTTAACAGCTTGAATGACACCACAGCATCTTTTGATTTTATTTAAAATGAATAAAAGTTAATTCACCCTGCGAAAATATCTTTTACCCGGAGTTTGCGCTTTCTCATGTGTCAATGTCTGAAAATAGAAATGGTAATTTTATCAAATAATAAATGATATCATAATATGTATGTATATTGTATATACAAGTAATTATTTATTTTTACAATAATTTTGACTATTGTGCAAGTGTGCGTGAGTACGTTTGAGTCGCGTGTGGGTGTGCATGCATATGGACGTGAGTGTGCATGCGTATGGACGTGTGCGTGCATGCGTGCGTGTGGATGTGTGTGCGTGAGTGTGGATGTGTGCGTGCATGCGCGTGATGTGTTTGCGTGCATGCGCGTGGGTGTGTTATCTAGTTTAGTTAAAAACATTATCTTAAATCTTTTAACTTATGGCAGACAATTACATGGTAATTGATGTATCATTTTCTAGCCATCCAACAATATATTTTTTATCCTAAGTTGTACATAATACAATATTATTTTGAAATACTTACAATAACACATTCATCATCTGTAAATAAGTAATGCCTCCCACATTTTGCACCTGTTTCAGGAATAATAGACTCGGTTACTAGTTCATTGTCATTTATAAGTTTAGTAACACTCTGAAAAAAATTATTGTTATAATTATTTAATATATATGCATTTAATTATTATTATATTTTTGCTCATATTTTATTTCATTGATAGATAAATTTGCATTAATGTTACATAATTAGATAATATTTTTATTAATAAAATGTAATTTTGACTTTGCATATAACATTAATATCTATTAGTATATCTAAATTCCTGATAATGATTATGGTCTATATATTATGTTATATATGTATATTTATGTGATTAACCACCTTACCTTAATGGTTGTGTTTGGCATTTTTTCTTCATACTCTTCACCTAATTTAAATTTCATTTCCACAGTTCTCAAAAGTGATGAATTTTTTATTGTCATTTCTTCACCATTTAATGTGATCTCCATTAAAGGTGATGACATTGCCATCATTTTTCTACCCATAAATGGGACACCTAAAGATGGAAAAAATATTTTATTGATATAATGTAGTACCTACTGAGTATTTTATAAATATGTATATAGGTAAGAATTTAACCAAACATTCATACAGAACTACATACCTACAGCTATAAAGTAGTCATCAATGTCTTGATTTTTGTAGTGTTGATATTTTCCAGGAACTGATGGCATTGTTCTATAAAATTTTATTTACAGTAATTCTTGAAAGAAAAGTAAGTGATTCTATTAAATATATAATGATTACTGAACAGTGTAATTTACCTTAGCAATTATTGATAAGTTATCGTCGAAAAATTGGTCACGTATATAGATAACAATTAAATGATATATAAAAATCACTATCTCAATCAATATCGATTCATCTTAGCTTCGCGTCCTGTAACCGTTTGCAATTTACTTGGTAAGTAAATCATCAACGAACTCGATGTACTACTTACCTCGATAAAATGCAGTACCTACTCGTATGCAGACATAATTAATGATTAATGGCAGAAATAAATTAAAATTATAAAGTAAACGTTTGTAAAGTATTACAAATCAGGTTAAAAAATATATACATACGTTTTTATATGTTTTTAAAATGAATTCCATAATTAATTTTTACGACATTCAATAAATAATAAAACAATCAATCTTTCGTGCTGTGGTAAAAAATTAATATATTTCCAATATACTTTTATTCAATTTAATATCTATGTTCAATTATCTATTTTATGCCATTTACGCATATCAATTAAGTACTTTGAAGTTTGAAGTTTGAACTTTCACTTTTGAAACAAAGAGAATATTTTAATTTTTAACCACTTTGTTTTGAAATTTCATTCAATTTCAAAATTCAAACCAAAGAGAATGTAGCTTAAAGCTTTTATTTGTCATCCATGAACGTAACCATGTTCATACTTCATAGAGTATATAACCCTTTTTAAACATGTTTTAACCATAGAGGATAGATGAGTATTAAAAAATAAAAATCATGGATGATAAATAAAAATAAAAATTCAAACATCGAATTTCATCAAATCCCACAGATAAGTTATTCACGGCTTAAATTCTTATTTTTGATCTACAAGTATGATGTTGACAACAAAATATATTAGGGTTACGTTGATTGATATAATAAATGCTAATATATTTTTCTACTTCTACTTCTTTTATTTTAAGGTAAAGGAAGTGAGAAAGAATTAATTACTTATCGTATCGACTGTTTATTACTAGAACTATTGTAAATTATAAGAATACATACATCTGTAACCCATGAATCACTTATAGTTTTCTATATATTTAATAAACTACGTACAATAGATTTTTATTTACGCATTGTGTCATTGGCATCTCGTATATTGTTTTTATTTTACATATATAGCTCGGAAAACTAGATAGCTCTCAGTAAAAAGAGTAAAACTAAAGTTCACAATCGGCAGAACTACATATAACTAATGTTTATAAAAATACTTCGAAATCATGGATGCATATGTGCTGCAAGACCTAAATCTAATGTGTATCAAGCTGCATGATTTTTGTTTTAAATCAAAGAAACATTTTTAGTCTATGGTTACTATTTCACTATACTTTAATCACCTGTGTGTACTATGGAGTATGGATTGTAAATTGTAATTTGTGACGTGTGTGAGCGAGATGTGAACTGAGTATTATGATATTATTAAAAAATATCAAACTCAACGAATAAGAATTTGATTACTTTTGTAAGAATAAGTAATTTTAAATAAGTGATGTTTATTTTAAGTTAAATTCAGTTTTTTGCTATACATTTATGTCGAAGATTATTTGAGTTAAACGTACTGTTTATTCTCTAAACAAGATTTTATCAATTAATTTCTCTTAGTTTTATTTTGTTTAACAACTTGTAAATAATATTAAACAATGGGTGAAAAAGATGACTATTTAACTTCATACCGAGTGTTCTTTGAGAATTTTGCGGCTACTGTCGATCCTGAAGATCAATTACCTGTGAACATCGCAGGATATACAATTACTGAGGCGGAGTTACCGGGAGAAGTCATATATTGGACTACTCAGTACTTGACTGAAAAGTAAGTAATACATAAATAATAATATTAAATGATATTTTTTAATATAATACATATATATCATTTTATTGTTTATCTTTAATATAATATATGCACGGTATTTAATATAAATAAGTAAGACATTTAAATGTTCTAATTGGCTAGTTGCTATAACATTTAAAAATAATATTATTCCAATTTGTATTGAATACATGCATGTATGAGTACTTAAGCAGATTGTAAAAATATTCTTATAAAGTTTTATTTATTCTTTTTTTTTTACTTCTAAAATTAGGTATGCCATAAGTTTTGTTACTTTAAAATTAAAATATAATCTTAAGATTAATATTGAAAATTATATAGAGATAGGTTTTAGTTTTTATACATTTAGTTGATTTAAGAAAATGCAAAACTTAAATTACATATTTAACAACTGCTTAAATAATTTTTACAGCTATAGTTTGAGAATATTGTTTCTCCATACAAATAATGGTCAACTGATTATTAAGTCAGATTATTTATTTACATTAAGTACATTGACCTCTCAAATACCACCATTTCTTTACACAATGAAATGTTTACTCAAGTGTAAATGGGTGGATAAGGCAATAACTTATAAGGTTTACTGTTTAAATTGTTCCTAAGTTTTGTAAGTAGTAGTCCTTTAGTTTTACTTTGTTAAATATAGACATAATGGAATCATATTTTTACTTTTTTATTCATACATTTGTCATTAACAAATTATTCATAATGCCATAATTATTCATAGTGTAATCCTCCGCAATATGTAAGCATTAAAAATTTGTGATGAAGTGCATAGTTGTTTGGCTGGATTAGAATTTAGGTATTGGATATCTGGTAAGCTTCAAGGCCGGATAGTTACTGGATACCCATTTTATCTCTATTTAAAATGCTAGCAATTTTTTTTTTCATCATACTGCTGGTTCCAAAGAATATCTCATTTAATGTAACAAACACTTCAGCTTTAACATTAGTAAAGATAGGCTACAAGACTATTTCTAATGCTTTTTTTTGTGTACATAAAAAAATAAAACATATTAGACAGAAGTATAAATTTTTATTTAGTCTCAGTTAGTAAAGTTAATATTTGACCACATAATAAACTTGCGACTCACCCTCGCTCCGCTCAGGTCCCTAGGTACGTTATAAAGGTTAGTATAGATAACATGGGAACCATACATTTTTTCGGGATAAAAAGTAACCTATGTGCTATTCCAGATTATAATCTATATCTGTGTTACATTTCATCCAGATCCGTTCAGTAGTTCTGGCATGATTGAGTAACAAACAAAACATCCTTCCATCTAAACTTTCGCATCCAACTAATATTATAAATGAGGATGTATGGATTTTTGATACTTTTTCACGCAAAAGTTACTGACTAAATTTTAATGAAACTTTGCAATAATATAGCTCATACATCGGAATATAACACATAGGCTACTTTTTATTACGGAAAAATCATGGTTACCGCGGGATAGAGCCGCTAGTTTGTAATATTTATGGGATTATGGAATTATTATTCAATTTGTATTTAATTGTACTTATGTTATTTATAAATATAAAAAAAAAATACTTTTACGTGCAAAATGTTACTTACGTAAATACATATACTCGTAGTGAATAGCAAACAAACGTTATCTAATCGCGTTAAAGTTAACTAGACTGCGAAGATTTTGTGATTGTTCAAATGGATTTTTTAATCATAGACATTCACCTGGTGTTGTTATTTTTTTATTACAAACGTACGTACGTAAGTTCATCGAGCCTAATTTTTCAACAGAAGTCCCATTGTAATCCAAGGAGCCATTCTCGAGAGATGCTTAATTAAACAGTAGATTTCGTTAACATTAACATCACGTCACAAGTTGTAACCAAAACAAAACAATACTGGTTTTTCAAAAGAAAGAAAAATAAATTATTATAGGCCTAAGTAATCCTAAGTTATATGTATATTAGGTTTAATATGGCAGTATTATTTAATTTAACAATAAGATTTTGTTCTATACATTATGTTTCCTGTTTGTTCGTATGTTGTGAGGTGTCATCATTATTACGTATTATACTCGTACTTGTACTATAAATAATTCTAGCAATTATACTACAGTAGTTTATAAAAAAATATATAATGCATCAAAAAAGAACCTTCAAAAATTTGTCCGTCTGTGCTCTAATATGTGATTTGTCTAGACGCTCTGTTAAGTTTAACTTATACCGTGTGTCTTTGTAATTATCCATATGTTTCTATTATATTTTCCGCACATCCTACGTTATTACATAATATTAATTACTAACAGAACCCGCGGCTTCGCTCGCGCTAAAACTAAAAAAAACTCTAAAAAGGTAGGTTTCATACAAACTTTCATCCCTTATTTTACCCCTTTATTGGATAAATTTCGAAAACTGCTAAAACACGTATTTATTTTTAAGTTTCAAGTAATTCTGATCATAAATATTTTTTTGGGTTGTACTATAATATGTTTTTCCATGGGAATGAGATAATCTCTCGCGGTAATAAGTAGCCTATATCACTCTCCAGCGCTCCAACTATCTCCACACAAAAAATCACGCTAACCGTCACTCTCTTCCGACGTAAAAGAAGGACAAACAAACAAACACACTTTCACATATTATTTAATATTATAGCATGGATTCATCAAGAATATCAATTGTAATTTTATGTACACCTTTATTCTGTAGACAGCGTTGTTACTAGTCATGTGAGTCATTGTTTACGTTATCTTATCGTCATTTTATTGATGACAAAACGTTAAAAGTACTTACATATTATGCGAAAAATAGCTTTACATTACTTGCCAATGAAAGCGAAATTTAATCGATCTCATCAAATGTTGAGGTCGTGGGATAATACTGTTTTAAACGCGTTGTTTTTTACTTCCATTTATTTACAGTATCTATACATAGATACTATTAGCATTGCCCGCGGCTCCGCTCGCGTTCAGATGACCAAAAACCGAATTTTTAGCTTTTACATATTACTCTTACATTGTAGTTTTTGTATTTTTTTCTCAGAAACGAGATATTTTCCCGCGGTAAAAAGTGCCTATATGTTGACCCGGATAACCAGCTATCACCATACCAAATTTCATAAAAATCCCTCCAGTGGTTTTTCCGTGATGCGGTAACAGACAGACAGACAGACAGACAGAGAGACAAAAATTCTAAAAACTATAGATTCGGCCTCTGTATCGATAATAATGTCTATTTCAATAAGATTTTCCAAAAAATATTTAATGTGCAGATTCGGCTTAGTTACAATTTTATTATATGTATAGATTTATGAAAACATACAAATTAAAAAGTATGTACTTATATATAAAATTTGTAAACAAAGCTAAAAATATTCTATTATTGTAGAGCATCAAAGTTCTTAAACATCTTCATCATTTTAGTTGGCATTATTCTCACATAACATGATGGCTAATTTCAATAGATTTCTCTAATAGAATTAAAAAAAATTGGAAAATAGTTGGAATATTTTTTTTAGTTAAATTTTATTTTAATCGGTCAAGTGGATCTAGAGTTTTACCACTTCAGTCGCGCTCTCGCACTCATATTCATACGTATACACGCACTCTCATACAAAGTGGGGTTTTTGCGTTTAATGTTTATTCTTTGACAAAAATATTATATTATTTCTTTAATATTATTATTATAATTTATATTTAAATAGAATACAAGTGAAGCTCCAGCTAGTAACTGGTATACTCTCTACTAAAAAAAACAAGTCTTAAGACTAATTTATTTCTTGCGGATTCCATCTGTTTTAGAGTACCGCTGTGAAAACTTAAGATTGTGTTGGTGCTATATATTTTACGAGTCTCAAGGAAGGTATAGGTTTTATTAGGGGTAACACCATCGATTACCGCCGTGTGTAACCGCTACTGCCTGGAAAGTAAAATTGGTTTTAACTCGTTCTTCTATCCTACGACGATTAAAAATGGAATTTATGTTACTTTAGCAATTTCTCTACCAGTGAGTTTTGTTAAAATAGTTTCGAGTCGTTTTTGAAATTAACGGGTAGAAACAGACAGATGTAGAGAAAAAATGCTTATTTGGTCTAAATGAGTCACAATTTTAAAGTCCAAGCCAAACTAGGTTGTCCTGGGCTAAACTGGTATATCCTAGTACACTTAGGATGAACCGGTTCGGCCTAGGATAAACCAGTTTAGCCTGAAATCGGGTTTGGACGGTAACATAATATACACACACTCGTTTCATCGATAAAATCAAAATGAATTGTTTTATGAACGTGATGCAGTACAATACAATAGAAAGATTGATTCATCTGAATAACATTAGATATATAATGATAAATCTACATAATGATAGTGTACAGTGCCACATGCTCCATGTTACATCTTATAATATATTCTTTATGGTGTGGGCGTTCCGTGTAGGTGGTCATTTGAAAGAAATTTCCTAATCTTTGCCCATGGATATTAGTAGATTTTATGCGATGTTGCTTAATCCCTCCACGACCGCGGATACGCCGGCGTGTCAGTTAACAATTAATTTCTTAGAAGTTTACCTGGAGGTTTTAATGTTGTATAAATTAATCTTACTTTTTCAATTATTAATAATATTATATAAGATAAATTCTTTAAGGCATTCTCTTAAAAATACTATACGTGAGACATTTTAGCTGTATTGTCTGTTGCAAAAATTGCCTCACTGACGTGGGCGTTAGGACACACGGATGTGATAATAGTGCGACGGTGTCAATGGACGCGGTGCTCATCATAAACTTTCACATTTTAATTCACAAAAAGATTGCAAAGATTTGAGCGTAGATATGTATATTGTTTTCGTTTTTAATAGGTGTAATAAATGGTGAAATTATAATCTCTCCGCATTCTCTTAGGACTGCACCGGTTGCAGTGTATAGATGAGAAATAAATTATTTTAAAAATCTTATGTACGTAATTAATGCAAATTAATGCTTATAGACAACGTGCATAATATATGCTATGGCTTTAAAACTTTATTTGTTGGCAAAGTCTCGTCACGTTAAATGATATCATAGGAATAAAATATATACTTTACAATGAAACTAAAGGTCCTTTGGAAAAAACCTTAAAAGTTGCCAGCGTTTGTAGTTCTTAAGAAGTCAGAATTTTATTATAGTGGAGTCCGACAAGAGCACTGACCTTTTTATGTTTCCTACAGACAGACGTACGCGTCCGCATTTTATTTTGTAAATGTAGTTCTCATTTGGGGAACGAAGGAAATTTAACACATGTTCCGCCTAAATACAAGTGAACGCCCTTACGGTTTGCTCTTTGGATCAACATCGTAATTTTCAATGTTTGCTATGAAGCTATACGTTGCTAATATCGTTGAAAATTTCTTATAATTCAAAAAATATATATAGAAATATTTGTTGTCAATATATTAAACAAAGAATACTGATAACAATTATCACCTATCACAAGGTATCTACAATGTACATAGCACTGCATATTTATGTATATTTAGATTAGCACTTGAGTTCATGTTCTTATGTACCTACTACACTTTGAATTAGAACAGTTGAAAAGTCATTAAAGATTTCTTAATAGAAATCTTAATGTAGTGTAAATGTTTTAGTAATCGCTAGAGCTCTACCTACGTCTTTGGTGAATAGATTTAATACATATTACGTAAACAACATAGATATGTACCTAACACAAAGTAGTAGACCGTTCGTTCAAAATTAAACTTTCTTCGTGTATTTTTCACTGAATATTAATTTGTTAGTTTTTAACCACCGAATGCAAAAAGAGGGGTGTTATAAGTTTGACGTCGATGTGTGTCTATCTTTGTGTGTGTCTGCCTGTGGCATCGTAGCTCTCAAACGGATGGACCGATTTCGATGCTGTTTTTTTCATTTGAAAGCCAGTTTCTTGCGGTGGTGCTTAGCTATGTTTGGTTAATATCGGTCCAGCAGTGTAAGAGAATCAGCTCTTTTCCAAAATGATGTAAGGCATTTTGGCGTATGATTACTGGATTAAGTGCTTCACGCGTGCCAGTGTAATCGTTAAATGACAATTAATTTGCGTAGGGGACTTTTTAAATTTATAATTATAGATTAGTTTTCACAGAATAATACTTTAGCGATTTTTAGCATTCCTTTCATACTTACTAACGGTAGAGCGTATGTATAAAACTTGTATAGTTATTAAGGATAAAATTTGTCTAATTATTGCTTGTATTTTGATTTTATATTAAAACGAAATAAAAAAGACTAACAGTTGTTGGCAATTTGCTTTTGTCAAGTTTTTCTTTCCATAAAGGAAACGTGTATTAGGCACGTAGGTATCAACTTGGTTAAATTGTAATGACATTTACTTTTTATATTTTGTAATAGGTATATGCGTCACCATCTTCCTTTTTTTCAACTTGTTAATCATGTCTGATAGTAAAATAAATAATAAATATGTTGGGACATTAGCACACAGCACAATCTAGTTCCATGGTAAGCTACGAGGCTTGTGTTATGCATACCAGGTAGTTGATACACTACACATATATAACTTTATATACATAGATATTATAAATATAAACACCCATGACTAAAGTACAAACATTCACGCTCATCACACAAATGAATGCCCCCAGCGGGACTCGAACCCGCGACCGCTGACACAGAAAGTAGGGTCACTACAAACTGAGCCAAGCGTGTCGTCGTGGTAGTAGGTACAGTACATGTAGAATGTATTTTAAAAAAGGAAAATACTGCTGAAAGTAATATTTTTTAGACGAGTATGTAACCCTACCAGAGTTTTGTTCAAACCGTTACTTGTTTTCTAAGGAAAAATCTATATGTATATAGATTAGAATTGTAATTAAAATGGTTTAATAATAATATACAATAGGTTTTTGAGATATTTCGAAGATTTATAATTATGCGGTTTTATAAATTGTTTAATAATTACCAATATTATGTATAGGTACTGCTTTTGTTTATAAATATCGTTTAATTCCAGACAATGTCCGCTAACACTGATGGCTCCGCTGCAGCGGATCATACTTGAAGAGGTGCATGTTGCGTCTAAGAAGCATCCTAATGAGTTTGGATACGATTCGGATGATTCAGGTGGGTCATCACGTAGCCACTCTACGTATCATCTTAACACTTCCTTATTTGTATATGAAGTCATCACAACAAAAGTAAATCTAAGCTTTGTTTCAATTTACATGTGTCTATGTCTTATATGTATGTTAGAATATAACGAGTACCTATATTCTAGTTGGTTATCTATTCGCATTCTGAGCAGTATAAAGCTATTATTGTTTTAGGTGTGTAAATGTAGATTGTAGAGTAATTTTACAACGTTTTAACTTTACGCGGTAGTATTAGGTATACTACCGCGTAACCGCGTAAAGTTAATTTTATAAGAAATTAATTAAAATTCTAAGAAATCTATTGTTAACTGACACGCCGGCGTGTCCGCGGTCGTGGAGAGATTAAAAATATATATTAAAAATGTATAAAATAAAAAATTACAACTTTAATATGTAGGTAATAGTAGTAGCCTTTCCACTCATATTCTACAGTATTTATGATCTACGTTGTTTGAAACAAATTATTAAGAGGGAAGGAGGGGAATATAACAAAGACGATGATGAATGAAAAATCCGTCCTTCGTCGATTCAATGCAGTCGAGAAGGTCCCTCGAACAATGCTGTGGTTATTTTTGTAAAATAAAATTTTAAAGATCGTTTCGGGGAATTCTGTATGAAGAATCTAAAATATGCAAATAATCAGGATAGGCCCCGCGAGAATGTTTTGTCGTATTTATTATTATTAACTACGTTGCGTGTTAAAATTTTGTATTTCCGGTTCTGCGGTTTCAATAATATTTATTCTTCTTAGGTACTTTTATTCGTAGGTTTTACTGATTGATATATTGTATGTATATGTATGTAGTGTAGAATACAAGGAGCTATCCATGCATATAATAAAACTAGCGGACCCGACAGACGTTGTCCTGTCTACACGTCTTTAATTTGAAAATTTCAAACTTTTTTTAATAATTTTTTTGATGAAAATTATTATTCAAATTGTGAATCTAAACCATTCCCAGATCCCTTTGAACACACACAAAAAATTTCATCAAAATCGGTCCAGTCGTTTGAGAGAAGTTCAGTGACATACGCACTCACAGAAGAATTATATATATAAAGATTGTAACTAATCCGAATCTGTACATTAAATATTTTTTGGAAAATCTCATTGAAATAGACTTTATTATTGATACAGAGGCCGAATCTTTAGTTTTTAGAATTTTTGTCTGTCTGTTACCGCATCACGAGAAAACCACTGGACAGATTTTGATGAAATTTGGTACGATGATAGCTGGTTATCCGGGTCAACATATAGGATACTTTTTACCGCGGGAAGATATCTCATTTCTGAGAAAAAATACAAAAACTGCATTGTAAGAGTATACTCATATGTAAAACCGAAGAATTTGATTTTTGGTCATCTGAAAGCGGGCGGAGCCGCGGGCAATGCTAGTTAAATATAAAAATGACACTTTAAATTCCTCTGATATTAGGAAAGTTACGCATCCAAAGTTTCATACGATAGCGAAAGTCTTGCCAGTTTTATGGAAGCAATAATTTTGTCGTGAAATCCCGAAAGCTAGACAGATCAATACAAGTTCATAGAATATAATAACGTACTCGTCTCTCTTTTTTATATTTAACAAAGAAATCGTAACTTTTTTACGTAACTAATTTTTACGTTCGTCGTTACGTTAGGATTGTTACGTTTTGTGTAACGTACAAAATGGCATCTTCCGCTTTAGCGAAGTACATTATGGCACTTTACATATTATTATATTTTAGACATCATTCCATAGCTGAAAACAATGCTCATTGAATTTGCTTAGATATGACATAATGTTATCGTTTAATCTAATAAGGTTTACATCGTGATGCTGGTCGTATGAAATATTAGGACTTGGCTACGTAATATCTAGAATGACAAGTAGTTTTTTTTTTATGTAGCACACGTGATTTTTTTATTACGTGCAGAAAGTGCTTTGATTGTATCGTGGCACATGGTAAATTCTTGACCAAGTTATTTTTTTTGTAGTGTTAATTATTTCCACTCATAAATTCTTTTGTATTACGATCAGTTCGAGGTGTAATTAACAATTCATTAAGAATACACAAAAATAACTAACCAACTTCTATACTTTTGATAAAATATGTACATAAATATTAATAAAAATACTTACGTACATATTTTGTACACTTATGACCAGTTATTTTATACTCGTAGACTTTAGCATAGAATATGTCAATACATATAATTTTAATCTATCTACTTCTAACGTTCGACATTCATTTTAATATTACATTGATCCACCTCTCTGAAGTCAGTAAGATACCTACACCGGTTTTTGATGCATTCTAAAATAAACAAATGACACGCGACATGAAGCTACGCCCATGCGTTATGTTCCAAAGAGGTCGTAAAATGTTTATGACTGTAAACAAGATATTCGCATTTATTTTTATTTCGCTACAAATAGTTTTTACCTTTTTTAGAGAGAATTTCTGAAAAAAAGTAATGAAATTAATATTTGAACAGTTCGGTTTTTTATAAAAAAAAATATCTTTGTAGTAATACTAAGTATTGGAATTGTATACATAATATGCATTATTTTCGATTTATTACACTGCATTCACTAGTCAACGATGCAGTTTGAAAGGCAAACTTGACCACTGAAGGTGACACATCTATTATTATCTGTTCTGAAAATAAAATAAAATCGTTGTGGTAGGTTGTAAGCTATGTTGCAATGCGTCACTGTTAGGTTTATAAGAAATATATTATCGAATTCCTTTTTTCGTAGTTTGGATTTTTTAACAATAAAGTTATTTTACAACTAAGAACTTGTCAAATTTTCAAAGTGGATATAATGATATATATATATATATATATATATATATATATATATATATATATAATTTTTACTTTTTATTCCTCGCTTTCAGTGGGATATTTGTCTTAAAAGAAAGCAATGTTGCGAGCTAGGTATATAATATGTTAGCAATGACACAGACTGAATTAACAACACCACAGAATTGTGAAAATCTGCCATAGGAAAAATTATCTTTTATGTTTTATTTTATTTTGTAAACATAATAAAATATGTGTACGTACCTAAAAACATATTGTAAATTCTTTTTCATTTTATAGATTTATATATAGATATCCGTAATATTTATTATAACATAACATATAAAATAATATATTATATTATTTTTTACACAAGACCAAATTGTGTTGAAATAACGCATGATCCATATATGAACCAATTATAGCATTTAAGTTATACTTTAAAAACTTACATCACAATCTAACTTTTGTAAACTTATTTGTAAAGAACTACTGAAAGTAATATATTTTTTTTAATTTTGTTTTCAGAATACATAGCTCTCCGTCTAATGCAAGCAGTGACGGCACGCGTCAATGATGTGTGCCTCCGATATTTGGACAATTCCCGCTTAGACACTCTCCCTCCCCCACCGCCGGCCTCAATGAAAGAATACCGTACAGTATCGTCTGCCACCAAGAACGTTCGGAGAGTAATGGAAGATAGACATGTAGAATTTGGAAATCTTGAAGCTTTATTTGGAATTGAGGCGAGTATTATACACATAGAGAAAATTAAATAGAACTCGATCCTGTAGAGGATATTCTAATATCAATCTATGGCGATGTAATTAAAAGTTGAATTCAGCAAGTTAAAAATTACATAACAATGAATTCTTTGTTAATTATTAAAATCATGATTAAACTTATACAATACTAGAGTAGCGACTCATCCTAGCTTCGTCCGGGTTCGTCCCGAACTATGTTTTAACGGCTAGTATGGAATAGATAGACTATATACTATATGATATATAGCCTATAGCCTTCCTCAATAAACGGGCTATCTAATGTTAAAAGAATCTTTCAAATCGGATTAGTGGTTCTTCAGATTAACGCGTTCAAACAAACAAACTCTGCCTCGTTATAATATTAGTGTAGATTATATATATTAGTATAGATTATTAATATTAGTATAGATTTTAAATAAAATTTCATCGGGTAGTATTCATTGCTAATAATAATCGTGAGAAAAGCGGAAGGATGTGAGGAAAAGATCTGACACAAACGATAAACAAATTCAGTTTCCTTTTAAAAATCTGACTCATTCATAGACGTAGACGCTGTAAGTCTTAGTCATAATATTTGAATTCAGTTTATAAATGCATAATGGTAGGTCTCATAATATAATTTAGGTCATACCTTCATAATTATACTTTTATATATGTAGGTAGTACTAGCGACAATCAAGTTCAATATCAACTATCTGCCAGTGAAAGTGCTGTCAAAATCAGTCCAGCCCTTTCGGAGATAAGTCAGAACAAACAAAGAGACAAAATTTTGAAAAAAATATGTTTTTCGTACATAATTCCATATGCATTTAGTAAAAAGCTGTTATTTTGACATTACAAACAGACACTTCAACTTTATTTCTCTGTATGTATATTTAAAATAATCTAATTTTATATTAGTCGGCTGAATTTATTTAAGAAACATTAGATTATTTTAGAAACACTTTAGAATCAAACGATTCTAATTTTTAATACGTGATCCATTCATAATTTTTATAGCTTACAATATAATAAGCGGTTTGGTTTACAAATTTTGCTTGGCGCATTGCCTAATACAACATTTTGCATTATAATTAATAAATATGCCAAGCAAAACATATTGGGCGAGATCGCTTTACAGCTAACATATTTCTTTGATTTTAACAAGACAGTGAAGTTTTTATTATATTTTGGTGAAAATATATTTGATGTGTTATTAATAATATTAAAAACATTAAATTTGTTAAGATATATTTAGGCTTTGAGATATATTTATTATTTACCATTTCATGTATTAGCTTAGCTAGTCTATCGTTTTGGTATATTATAATAACAGCTAACTAAAAAGATGAAAACAAGTAGATACACACATACATACATACACTGACAAACACATTACTCTCCTTTGCGTCGCGCAGTCGGGTAAAAAGTTTTTTTTTTTTTTTTAAGTAATTCGTATAATATTATAGTATTTGTATAAATAAAATAAACAATGAAAATGGACGACTGTCGAAGGGAACCTATAGGCTTTAAGGCCAAGCATTAATCTGTTAATATGGTATTATGTACCTACTTACTGCATCTGATTCTCGTGATTCAGAGTTGGGTTCTTGCGGAGATTAAAATTCAGGAATTATATCAGAATTTACATTTTTAAATTATGTTGTGTACTCCAATAAAAATGACCCTTTTTTTTCAATATATGAAAACGGGAAGCTTAAGTAAGGTGCTTAACAGTCCCCGGGGGAGAAGCCAACTCCTACCGGGCGCGTCCCCAGGTGGCGGATAGGGGAATGCCACCCGCTTAGGGCGGCGGGTGGTACCGGAGAAATCCGGCGCGGACCAAATGGCTTGGGTGGGGCCGCTCGTCTAGGAACCGCTCGCCGAAGACGTTACGGCCACCGGTGGTGGGACCGCTTGGTCCCACAACCGGATGATGGGTGCCGGTTGCGGGACTGTGGTCGCAGTCCCGCATCCGGCGGAGGAGTAGGCCGCGGCGGGAGAGGAGTGCCGGTATTTCGGTGCGCCGTTCTCCCTACCTTCCGCGGCCTAGACGGGGCCGCCACCGTTTGATGGCGGACGCGGTGGGGCTGCAGGGGAAGAGGAGTGTCGGTGTTTCGTTGCCGCTCTCCTTGTCCTCTGCAGCCGATTGGAGGTGGCCCACTTCGGTGGGCGGTGGTTAGGTTTAATGGGGCTGCTCCGGGTACCTCTCTGGCGTAGCAGAGTTGACTGTGGAGCAGCCCCATTGGTTTGGTGGTCTGCCTAGCACTTAGGCAGACCTGCCGCCGGGGCGCCGTAGTAGTTATGCGCAAGCGATCCTGCGGCGTCCCATTAAGGCGGAGGGGAGGGGAATGTCGGGTTTTAGTGGGTAGTACCGGCTCTTCTAGCCGGTGAGCCCCACATCACCACCTGGGGGATCAGGTGGTATGCGTAAATGCATTTCCCGACATAAAAAAAAGGTGCTTAACAGTCAACCGATAATTAAAGATAACTTTGTGCTTAATCCAGATTATTTTTAGTTGTTATATTAAAAAGATACCTTGCTTCTTTGATTCTATCGAGAAGTTCTAATAACTTGTAAACATGCTCATAAAAAAACAATCAGACTACTATATTATATGTACAATATTGTGTGTATGTTTGTTACTCCTTCATGTTAAAACAACTGAATGGATTTTGATGAAATTTAGTACACAGGTAGGCTAAAACCTGGAGTTCATAGGTTTCTGTTAGGCATCCAGGGACGGACCCGAGCGAAACGAGGCTTAAGTCGCTAGTAATACAATACGTCTTTGAACTATGTACATATAATTTATATTATATAACTTCCTTAAATGCATATATAATATAATATTAATGTTTATCTAATTTGTACAGACGACAGAACCGACGAGTTTCTACGCAGTGTACGACGGGCACGCGGGCTCGGCCGCCGCCACGTACTGCGCCGCGCATCTGCACCAGTACCTGGTGGAGAGTCCGCACTTCACGAGGGATCTGCGACAGGCGATGCACGATGCTTATCTTAGAACAGATGCTGAGTTTGTGCGGAAAAGTAATCAAAAGGTACAGCAAATAATGTGGTTTTATGGCAATATTTTTCTTTGGTAAATACAGAAGCTACTGGTTTTGTAGCGTTTTATGTTTGCTAGCGATAGATAGTCAGGTAGTAACAGGTACTGGGTCAGTGGCTGCATTGTTTAGATACAGTAATCTATATCAGCATTATGACCTTGAAAAGTTTATATGTTTGAAAGTTATGGTCAAAAAGTACTTATCAGCAAATTGAAAATTTCGGTGGTCTATTGGCTAGCATGTACTGCTGAAGATCCGGACATCCTGGGTTTGAGTCCCGGGTCGTACAAGCTAATTAATAGTACCAAACATTTCCAAGTTGAGAGAATTATCAAATAGTAAAAACTGGATTTGCCAACTTATCTACTTACATTTGGGCTATTCCACACCAAATCGGACGCTTTAAAAAAATATTACTTTTGATTTTCTTAATATTTTGGTATTATTTAGTACCTCTCAAAAGAGGCTTTCTGGTAAATTTTGAGATTTTTTGATCACTGGTTCAAAAATATCGTATGTTAAAAAAAACATTTTTTTGGTTTTTTGCTCATAAATTTCTTAATAATAATCGAAGTTCAATTTTTTTTTCAAAATGTTTGTTTTTGGTTTGGTTTTACATAAAAAATATATTTAAAATGTTTTAATCGAGACTTTTGAATTTTAAGTTTTTAAAACTACATAATTTATGTGTATCCTTCGATTTTTTTTTAAATTTTCTATTTTGAACTTCTATCTCTCATGCAACTTTTAAGCCCAGTCTGGTAGTGGGCCTTCCATAATAAATATATTTTATCGATTCTTAAAAAAAAAATAGAGTACATTCTTAATATTATGAGATATGAACGACAACTATCTCCGAAAATGAAGGAGTCGCCGTGAGCGAAACCGGTAGTGAGTTTACCATCATTGAACGTGTATTGTGTTGTGTGTGCGGGCAGCGCGCGTCGGGCGGCAGCACGGCGGTGTCGGTGGCGCTGCGCGGGCGGCGGCTGGTGGCGGCGTGGGCGGGCGACTCGCTGGCGCTGCTCGTCAAGCGCATGCGCCTCATGCAGCTCGTCAACCCGCACAAGCCCGACCGAGCCGTGAGTCTTGTGTGCTCCACTGCTAGTGGATAGTTTCGTGTGCGCGCGCGCGCGTGTATGTGTGTGCGTGTGCGTTTGTTATTCTTTTACGGTGAAAAAGCTGGACGGATTTAGATAAAATTAAGTACATACATAGATTTCATCTTTAACGAGGGTAAGTAGTAAGTGGCTAGTATGTATTATATCTATGTTTATATACACCTCGTTGGTTTAGCGACCAGCATGCATGGCTGCAAAGGCGTAGGTCCTGAGTTCGAGTCCCGGGTCGAACAAATATGTATTTGGTTTTCCTCTCAAGAATTTTTTTGCGTATGCCCGCACTATTATATTTCCTGCCCAAATACCTAGACTCAGTTTACCTAGACTTAGTTTCACAAGATTGTCGACTCTCACCAAAATTAGTTTTGTTTATGTATAATTTAATGTAAATATTCAGTATATATGTGTCTCATTACAATGACATCGTACCTATTCCATTTTTCCGTTGAAATGAAGCTTTGGTGAGTCGTTCTGTGAAACACATCTACCATGGTGTGATAAATGACGATTACATGAGTTGTATCGTATCATTTGATATACATATATATAACACAAGTACAAGATGATTGTTGAATATTAATTATTATAAAATCTATATATATATATATAATTTTTACATAAGTACCTACCTATTACATTTTTATTTAGCGTTAGTGTAGTCAGTGCGTAAAGAACTATTTGGAAATGCAGTTTTGCTGCATTGCTTTTTAAAATTTTCGGTTATATGACATATGTATTATTGATATTATAATATGTTAGCTATCCTGAGAAAAGTTAAACAATTTTAATTCAACGCATTTTTGTCTTCTAAATATTCTTTAGAAATTTATTAAGCTTTAATAATAATTAAATAAATAATATGTTTGATTCTATTAATTAGAATTATGGATGTGACTGAAGAAGATATGTAAAAGGAAGATTTTCATATTTTATAGTTCAGCAGAAATTTAATTTCTTAAATTATAGTTAAGGACTTAGGTGATTGAGTCTCAAATGATTTCAGTCGAAAGAATCAGTGACGAATAGGATAAAAAAAAGCATACAATAAAAACACACACACAAACTTACAAATTCACAAGTTCAAAAACTTTTTCTCTTTATAATATTAGTTTAGATCAGTAAGGATTTCTGTATGTCCCAGGACGAACGAGAACGAATAGAATCGACGGGAGGTAAAGTGATGTTTTGGGGCACGTGGCGCGTCAACGGGCAACTCGCGGTGTCACGCGCTATCGGTGAGTGGATTGTTTTATACCAGTCGAGCTTTGGGTAGCTTTAAACTATTTAAGTTTTAGGAATAAAGGAAGTAAAAATTAAATCTAGTAGCCTAAAATTTGTACATAAAAATTTAATAATGACAGCTTGAAGTCTATTGAAATAAACAATAACAGAAAAAAGCTTCGGCTTTGTAGAGCTTTTTAATATATATATATATATATATATATATATATATATATATATATATATATATATATATAATAAAAAATATATAATAAAAAAAAATAAAAAAAAATAATTTTTCGAATATAAATTATTTTTTAATTTATATTCGAAAAATATTGATAATAGCGAGATTAAACTACATCATATACATAGTTCTTAGATATGTAAATTAATAAAATTAAATCGATTCTAGTGAGGGAATTTTTCGAAAACAAAGTTCTTTTATCAATAATATTATTCCTGACTACCGTTTTTAACGGGTCGTCTGAAATCTTTATGATATATTTTTAAGTAGATTACACCTATGCAGGTGAATAAAAGTGTCTGTTTGTAATGTCAAAATAACAGATTTTTCCTAAATACTTATGGAATTATATACGGTATTTATAAGAAAAACACATTTTTTTAAATTTTTGTCTGTCTGTTTGTTCCGGATAATCCGATATGGCTGGGCTGATTTTGATGGGACTTTCTCTGGCAGGTAGTTGATGTTATAAGGAGTAAAATTAGGCTAGCACTTTTATTTCAGTAAAAGAGTTAGGGTTCCGCTCAAAAAAATGAAAATGTACCTAGGGACTAACCCGAGCGAACCGAGGGTGAGTCGTTAGTTTTTAACTAAAATATTATATAAATATATCAAATCTTAACAAGCGTCATAATTATTAAAACATGAATAATAAAAAAAAAGAAGTTGAGAAGAAACACTTTACATTAAAATTAGTATTTTTATAGTAATACTAGGGACTCACCCTCTTACATTTACATTTTAACCTTTAGTATAGATTTCTCAGAAATGAGATATTTTTCCGCAGTAAAAAATATCCTATATGTTGACCAGGATAACCAGCTACCATCATACCAAATTTCATTAAAATCTCTTTAGTGGTTTTTCCGTGATGCGGTAACAGACAGACAGACACACAGACAGTCAGACAAAAATTCTAAAAACTATAGATTCGTGCTCTGTATCGATAATAATGTCTATTTCAATAAGATTTCCCAAAAAATATTCAATGTACAGATTCGCCTTAGTTACAATTTTATTATATACATAGACTATTAACATTAACACTTTGCAAATACAGCACCGGCAACAATATCTGCCAGACAACTTTGATATGAACGGTTATCGTCACATAGATTCGATCTTTTAAAAAGTATAACTCATTTTGTCCGTACCGCAAATTGTTGCTACAAAATTTTGTAAACGGAATTGAATAAACTTATCAATTTAAGCTCTTTTAAACATTCTTGCACAAATTGTTGCCGTGACTCAGTTGTTTGAGCGCGATAACTAAGCGCGAGTTTTATCAAAGTTTTGATCTTTCCCCATGTTTGTTACACTTAATCTTTTCGAGGGCTTCAAAATAATTAACACCATTTTCACTTGTATAAACAATATCTACTGTATGTATGTATGTATGTATGTGGATATATATATTTTTGATTCCACGCGGACATGACTTGTACAGTAATAATTAAGTGTACACTTGTTTTGTATAGATATAACTAGCGACTCACTCTCGCTTTGCTCTGTTTCGTCCCGAAGTACGTTTTGATGCTTAGTATGGAATAGTTTTTTTTTTAATTTTTTTCTCAATTTTTCCGATTTTTAATAGTTGTTCTCCTATTCAGGGTAAAGAAAAATTCAACAAAACAAAGATGTTAACAATCGGTCCAGCAGTTCTCGAGTTATAAGTGTTGTAACAAACCTCTTTTTTAAACTTAATATTAAAACATGTACTAAATAATATTTTAGAAGTCAATTTAGTCAAGTTAATCAAGTTTATTTATTTACTAGCGGACCCGACAGACGTTGTCCTGTCTACACGTCTTTAATTTGAAAAATTCAAACTTTTTTTAATAATTTTTTTGATGAAAATTATTATTTAAATTGTGAATCTAAACCATTCCCAGATCCCCTTGAACACACGCAAAAAAATTCATCAAAATCGGTCCAGTCGTTTGAGAGAAGTTCAGTGACATACACACTCACAGAAGAATTATATATATAAAGATTTAGTAGTTTCGATTGGGTAGAAAATGATTATTTTTTATAAAATAAAATATTTAAATTCCTGGTTAAAAAAACCTACAGACTCATGCGTATTTGTAACATAAACAAGGAGACGGAAAACAGCCATAAATTAATAAAATATTAGTTTTATATTTATATGATTTTAAATTATGTTAAAACATTTTAAAATTTAATTTCTACCACCAAAAAAAAATGGAAATTCACTTCATTACTTAAATTTTGACATTAATAGGGTAGTCGATTGTCCCGAGCAACGGGTGTGAAAATTCTAGCACGCGGTTAATCAGTCGTTTTATTATTACGAGCCCAACAAGGGGTGGCCGCTTATTCATCGGAGCTCGTATTTTATATCCCCTTGAATACAATGGATTTTGTTGTTTGTCACAATCTTATTTGACAATTATGATTTTGTTTTCGAGTAGTTAGAGTTGTTGTAGTCTCATAAAGTCAAATTGTCATTATCTTTGACACTACACTAGAATTTGGGTTTGTTTTTGTTAGAAGTAGAATATTTAAATCGAAACTTAAATATGGTCTGTTTCTTCCGAAAAGTACTGATTTTGTTCAGAATTAATTATTTCTACAAATTGTGTATTGAAATCTTAGTTAAGACTAGCGACTCGCCCTCGCTTCGCTCGGGTTCGTCCCTAGCTTGCTTTCCAATACAAACATTTTTCATCCCCATTTTCACCCCTTTTAAGGATGATTTCCAGGATAAAAAGTATCCTATGACCTTCCTAGGGTCTCAAACTATCTTCTTACCAAATTCCATCTAAATAGGTTCCTTAAATCCACAGATTACCCCCTACAACGTCACAATATATATAGATTCAAGATACAACTCACAGTTGTACAGTCAGTGAGTTTGTAAAGGACAAGTATATATATCCTTAGGAAGAAGTTAAATAAAACGGACAGTAAAAAAAATATGTTAAAGATTTTAATTTTATACACAGTACTGAGATGTATAATTCCAGTACTCATTACGGTCGTGTGTCCGTCCATTAAGTCGTTAGCGTGATGCCGGGGGATGAGCGATAAATTGCCATATCATGCCCTGCGTTGATATAATATTGTAATTTATAAGTATTTCTTGTCATTTGAATACGTTTGCAAATTATAATGTCGTCACCACAGAAAGGATTATGGTGTTCGACATGATTAATTGATGAAGGGATAAGAATATGGTTATATATTTTTGTGTGCGATTTATATTTTTAATGATGATTAAATACAACTTTTTCTTATTTAATAAGAGCAATGGTAGACTACGAAATTAGCTGAAATGATAAATGTTCTCTATATATTTTGAGATTGTAGAAAACAAAAATACAAGTTGTATTGGAAAGCAAGTATGTATGTTATTGCCTGTAGGAAGTTAAAATTGACTCAGTATCCTACCGCAAGTAATTTAGAAGGGTTAAAATATTGATTACAACGTGCAGTCGGAAAAGTGAAATGTCGTTCTAGCAACTTTCGCAATTAAGGAGATTAAATATTACTAGTATATGTTCAACTAAGCTTAGCAGAACATTTTTATGGTGTGCACAGAGGCTTTAAAATATTTTAATATGACATTTTATTATAACATTGCATCTGGTAACAAAGGCTGTCTGGTTTAATTTACAACTTAATCGCGGTAAGGTGCGCGCGTCGGGCGCCGTCGAGTCGCCCCCTGCTTATTCCCTCAACCCGCGTTGCACGAAACTTATATCGATCACATCGGACACGCTGCACTCGTAGACAGTAGTGCGGTGACTGCCGACGGACGTAAAACTATCTAACTTATAATATATGATACAGCTTGGAATGACTAAATATTAAGATATGGATTTCGAATTTACAATTTTTCTGCAATAATGTCGTATTTTTCTTTTATTTATAGCAACAATGATATCTGCATTTAATGCTATTATCATTTAATTCTAATAAAGACTATTCAAACCCAATAAAAATGTTTTACGATTGCTTAATTTCGATATACAAAAATGACTAACGATTTCGTTTAACCCTTTGTATAGTTTCAGTATAATTCCAAGACATAAATAAATTAGTCACAATTCCGATAATGTCTAACTTTTCCTGTTAGAGTACTGAAACATTTATAACTAAACATGGGTTTGTAAATATAAATAATTTCATTACACGTCAAGTTTTCGACCATTAATAGCGGTGGAAATTAGTTTCGAGGGATATTTTATTATACGAGTAAATAACTTGGTTTATGGAAAAGTTAGCTTTAAGTCGCGGCTGTGCTTGCGTGTTGCATATTACGCCATCTGGTCCTTAACAGACCGATAAACAAATATTTTTAATGGTTGTTTGGGCTTTGGTGTCCTGCTAATTACCATAATATTAACTCAATGCGTGTAGCTTGAGTATGATATATAGACCATTTATTTCATGGATAAATATATTTAGATCAAACGGATCTTATTAAGTAGATAATTACTATCCCCAACGGATGTTATGATTTTTTTAAACTTGGAATTGTACTTATTAGCAGTAATGGTTAGCTACTTTAGCTTATTAAGAAAATGAATTTTAATCATTATCATAATGAAAGCAGATTCTTAATACCTAATTAAAATATATTTACTATTATAATACCTAGTATATCTATCGATGTTGTCCCATCTCTAGTGTATTATGAGCTAACAATGGTGTAACAATGGAAACAGTGTTGACATTTTCGTTACAGCTCGGCCCGTGCCAAGTCCCCCATATCGAGACCATTGATTTTGCGTTCCACGAGAGATTAGGTCCCGCAGCATTTACTCTAAGCCCCTCTAACTCCGGCGTAATTTACCCATCCGAATTTTACGCCACATTAAATTACTATAGATTTTGAAATGACCAGCTATGGGCAGCAGCTTTTATAACTTGATGCAAAATTATCTATATTTCTATACTTACCTTTGGTGCTTAATTAAATGTATATTTAAAATGCTAGCAATTATGTAGTCTCCATAACGTAACTTCACGCCATTTTATAAAACTAAATAAGGTTGTAATAAAGAAGAAAACATAAAACTACTTATATATTTGTACTGAATTATAAACTAACATTGCCCGCGGCTCCGCCCGCGTTCAGATGACCAAAAACCAAATTCTTAGGTTTTACATAGATTAGTATACTCTTACATTGCAGTTTTTGTATTTTTTCTCAGAAATGAGACATTTTCCCGCAGTAAAAAGTATCCTATATGTTGACCCGGATAACCAACTATCACCATACCTAATTTCATCAAAATCCCTCCAGTAGCTTTTCTGTGATGCGGTAACAGACAGACAGACAGATAGACAAAAATTCTAAAAACTATAGATTCAGCCTCTATATCGATAAATAATAATGTTTATTTGAATAAGATTTTCCAAATAATATTTTATGTACAGATTCGGCTTGGATACAATTTTATTATATGTATAGATTATAATTACACAGTACAATTTTGAGGAGTAAACATATTTGGTTTTGTTGATCATCTAATGATATAGATTTTATATATATTATTCGAGTCGAGTTTTCGTGAGTTCGATAAGGATGTGATTAGAACTCATTAAAGTTTTTTTATATAAAAGTTTTTACTCGTATTCATTGAATCGTTTGTTCAGGTGACGCGAAATACAAACCGTGCGTGACGGCGCGGCCGGAGATCACCGAGGTCGATTTGGACGGCGACGAGGACTTTGTTGTGGTGGCCTGCGATGGTCTCTGGGACGTCGTAAGCGAGGACGCTGTTGCCGTCTCTGTCTACAAGCAGTTGATGAATGATCCAAGTAAGTGACTGAATATATGTATGTATTGCCAGCTTTCATTTGGGACAGGAAACAAAGTAACGAATTTGATCAAAATAAACATCTCCAAAAGGATATTTCAAATTATTCGCATTTCCTGTTCAGTAATTAAGGTATTTAAAAGGCAAGAAGAATATTTTGAATGTGCATTTATTTTAATCGACTAATCAGGTAGAGCGTTTTAGGTATAATTTCCACCTATATTGGTGTTGATTTAATAAAAAACTTTACATGAAAAACTCTTTGTTTACACTACGTTTAGCATTGCAAAACAATTGAGGTTATATATAACTTTAAGGTTTTAATTTTGCGGTGTCCTTACAACTGGTTGCCACTCCTGCTTTTAATAATATAGGTATAAAATACGCAATATAACACTTTGTCATGAGTCAAGTGCCTTTTCACTTATGTCATTCCTATAAATAGCAGCAGCAACGGCTTTAGTTTCCAGATAAGAAAGTCATATCAGCTAACGCTTATATAACGATGTTTATGTTTAAATGAACTTGCTACTTAGTTCATAGATCCGGATACTTAACGTGTTCGAACATGTTTGACTTTAACACTTAAAATAGCTTTCACTAATGAGTTCTAAAGAGTCCTTGACCTGGTTTAATTTCACTTCAGTTTGATTATTTAATAATTATATTTGTTTTGTAAAGCTATTTGGCGATCGACGTTGATTGGCACCACTCTCAAGTATTATGTTCATTGAGTCACACGCTCATGACGCAATGAATTTGTTGATACCCATACGTTCATATACAACCAAAGAAACGAGATCGTTAGCTCTGCTTTTAGATATTTACTCTTACGGAAGTCTCGGTTCCACTTACTGTGGTTGTCGTAACTTGGCGCCCTTCAAGTCTTTGTAAAGTGTCTTTAATGGATCGCTACGCTCAAGGCGAAAAGCTTTTATGTTGCTCAACAGATTTTTGTTGTCGCATAAATGTAAGGGTTTTTCATTGTACCACTTGTATTTAAGGGAGAGGGTGTTGTATGCCACTTTTGCTATTGTTCCATATGGTTTGAGGCGTCAAAAAGAGTAATTAAAAGTTTTTGAGATTACAAGTTTGCTTAGTTAATTCTGAACTAGGTTTTCATGTCGGTACGTACGTCTCTTCGGTAACATGCTTACGTAAAATATAATTAGTTAATTATTTGAAGTTTAATCTGATGAGTTATGATTTAAAGTTAAGTTGGATTAGTAAAATTTCTAAAGTGCTGAAGTTTGCCCAAGACTCTCACTACAATACAAAATACAATAAAAGTTAAAGCAATAAATCATTTCCTTTTGAAATATTAACAAACAGTCCCACAAATAACTACCTTATTATAAACAACTACCACTTATTAAAAACAACTGTTTTATACATTTTGGTAACATAAAAATAACAATTAATTAATTGAATATTTAGTATAAGAACAATATATTGTCAAAAATAAAATTTTACTTGACCCATTTATATATACTTAGATATGTTATACAGTAAACAAGAATCTGACGGCTCTGCTCTTCCGATTTAGTGACATGTTGATATTTGAATCAAGTCTTACAACTAGCGGACGCAATTTTCTAGCTCAAGTTACTATCTGAGTGATGTCCCCCAAGAGAAACTAACAGTTTGTTTGCCTCGATTACATAAAAGAAAGTATCGTATTACCGATATCTGCCGCATGATCTGCGGACATATTGAAATTGCATATTAAGTGTTCTATAAATATATATCGGATTTCATTATAATTTGAAGCAAAATTGTGACGCCTAAATTGATAATCGTAGAATTATATTTGGTTCATTTAATATTTGTGTACAATAATATGTTATATATATTTTTATTAGGCAGTGGTAGCCAAGTGGTAACGCGCTTGCTTGGGAAACCGAGTGAAGCGGGTTCAAATCCCGGGTCTCGCACCTCGATATTTTCATGTGCGAATCATTTCTAACATGATTACCACTTGCCTTACGGTGAAGGAAAAACATCGTGAGGAAACCTGTATGTCTGAGAGAACCTAGCAAGTTTTCGAAAGACATGTGAAGTCCGCCAACCCGCACTTGGCCAGCGTGGTGGACTATGGCCTGATCCGCTTCGTGTTGAAGGGAGGCTCGTGCCCAGCAGTGGGACGTTAAAAAGAGCTGAATACAATTAATTTTTTTGGAAATATATAACACATTGGACTTGACATAATTCATTTTACATCATGAAAATTTTGTACCTACTTGGCAGTATACTCTTATTTTATTACATCCTACTCTCTTTATAATTTCTTAGAAACCTTGGTAAAATTTGCGAATCTTTTGTGAAAGCACCGCTATTCAGATGCGACATTGAAATTTGAACTTTATAATTTATTCGTGGAACTGTTCAAAAACTTTGAAAATAGGTCTCGCAAATACCTAACTCGAATAACAAAACGCTTTTGTGTAGCTTAACGAGATTGCGCCGCAGTCTAGGTTTCAGCTACTGCGGTCAAGCCAACAACTCCACAATATTGTTTCGTAATTGCGTCGGAAGTGGGGAAGCGGGGAAATTCGATACATTGTTTTCACTCCCTACGTCCTCAGTGCCCTGGTTCCACCCACGTCTTGATGAAGCCTTTCCAAATGTGTTACACAGTGCTGTGTAAACACACCATTGTGTTGATGCCAGTTTATTTGTCAATGATAAATAACATGTCTGTGCTCTTCCCGTCTTTTCAATTTGTCATCTTCCTTCGTTCTCTTTGAAATACCTACATAAGAGTGTTGCACCATGCATGTTTGTACATGATATTATTTTTTTTATATATATATTTATACTTAACACCAGCTATCACCATACCAAATTTCATCAAAATCCCTCCAGTGGTTTTTCCGTGATGCGGTAACAGACAGACAGACAGACAAAAATTCTAAAAACCATAGATTCGGCCTCTGTATCGATAATAATGTTTATTTCAATAAGATTTTCCAAAAAATATTTAATGTACAGATTCGGTTTAGTTATAATTTTATTATATGTATAGACTTATTATTCTTTGATACTTTGAAAGCTTAGAGATAAGGATTAGATAATGAAATGGATAGTTAGTAATGAGCAAAATGTTGAGATAGATGATGTTATAGTCACAAAGTCAAGCCATATAGGGTGATATGTATAATGCTTTACCTTTCATTATAATCTTCTTATATAGCATATTATAAACAATTTACTTCCAAGAACACGAAAAAGCCGTATAAATGGCGTCAAAAAAATTCTAATATCTACACATTTATGCAGAGTTGTAGAGTAAAATTTATTTGAATAATTAAATTGTACTTTTGAAATTTCAACTTTTACTCCAGTAGACACATGAGGGTCTTATTGGATTATGAGTTTTAACAGTTGAAGCAGTCGCAGTTGATATTTAAACTGGGGCGGGGCGGTCAGGTGGCGCTAATTCGCTCGGGGGCAGTCGGAATTAATACTAATCCTTTGCCTGAGATTTTGAATTCGTCTTTAAAACGCAGATCATAAAGGTCAATTTCCATGTCAGGTATGACGTCGAATGCTATATAACATATGATAGCAGTATATCCTCTCATATGACGCTTTTCCAACCGACAGTGCCGGAGATATTCCTTCCTGTTTCGTTTTTTATTGTACGCACCTAAGTCTATAGAGTAATTTTTATTTTTAAATATTGTGGAAAATATGCATCTATAACTTTTTTCTTTGTTAAATTTTGAAAATTGCCAGAATTTTAAAAAAATGCTTAAAGCTAAGGAACGATATGTGACTAAAAATGCTATTTGCTCCATATTTAAATGATTAATGGTAATTATTTAATTACTAATTAGTAACATTAAGTACTAGTGACTTACCCTCGCTCCGCTCGGGTTTGTCCCTAGTTACGTTTTAAGGTTTATTATAGATTTGAGATATTTTCCCGCAGTAAAAAGTATCCTATATGTTGATCCCGATAACCAGCTATCATCATACCATATTTCATCAAAAGCTGTCCAGTGGTTTTCTTATGATGCGTGAATCCCAGACAGACAGACAAAAATTCTAAAAACTAGAATCGCTGTCAGTATCGATAATAATGATTATTTCAATAAGATTTTCCAAAAAATATTTAATGTACAAATTCGAGTCAGAATTTTATTATATGTATAGATAAAAAATATTAATTTAAATTAATTTCTATCATACATTTTTGTGATGTAATTAATTTAAGTTTTGTAAAATAAATATCACCATCTAAATACTTTATATTGATGATGTAAAATGCAACCAGTGACCGTGTCCTGGTGTCAAAACCCCCGTCTAAAGACTGGCTATTTGGATTGTGCCGATAACATTGTGTCCGTAGATCGACCGATAGCCGATGATAAGACCTGGCAAGTTTACAGCTATTTAGATAGCACTCGATAATTTATACAAGAATTTGTTTATTTACAATACGTATTCTACGATATTTAACTCTTTCCCTTTGTTTATATCTGTAGTATAAATAATTTTGACTTATTAACTCATGTCATTCCTATACAAACCTATTCTAATCCCGTTATTTTAATATTATAAATGTGAAAGTTTCGATGGGGGGATGTTTGTTACTCAATCATGCCAGAACGGCTGAACGGATCTGGATGGAATTTGGCACACATATAGTCTGGAATAGCACATAGGTTATTTTTTATCCCGGAAAAATGTACGGTTCCCGTGGGATATTTTTTTTTGTTTTTCATTAGGGACGAACCCGAAGCGAAGCGAGGGTGGGTCGGTAGTGTATTCATATAATAAGCATATGCTTAGCGTTGAATACCATTATTATTTATTATGATGATATAACTAATATTAGATTTACCTTACAAAAGACTATTATATTGTATTGTAAAGGAATAACAAAAACAAAATGATATTTCTTTGTGAATTCTAGGCACGGAAATATTAAAAATTGTGAAAAATTTGATACTTAAAATTGTATTTCCTATTTCGACTTTTCGTAGATTTTAAATGATTTA